GATCCTTCCGGTCTCTCTCCGGAATTGCTAGGGGGGTTCTGAGGGGGTTGGGGGGGTACTACACCTCCGCCTCCTGAGCCTTCGGGGGCTGCTGCCGTTCTATTGGCTGCTACCCGCATCTGCTCAATTATTTCCTCCAGGTTCTTCTTCGTACCTGCGAACTGGTCTTCCATCGCAGCTTGTCTGTCCCGTTCCATCCTTTCGAGGGCAGCCATAACCTCCGCGGGTATCTGCACAGGGCCATCTTTCGGGAGTTGCTGAACGAAGTTGGTCAGCGCATTTATGTGCTGATCCTGTCGCTCCTGCCTTTCCTGATGCGCCCTAGTAGCTTCCACGATCTGCACAAGGACTTGGCCGAGGTTGCTGGTAGCGGCGGTGGATTCTGCCCGTAGCTGAGCCATGACCTGGTTGAGCTGATTGTCGCGTTCGGCTCTGTCCCCAGCGAACTTGGCATGGAGGTCCTCGACGATCTTGTTGGTATACTCCTGCTGCTGCCGGGTGAGTTCCCTGAGTATGGGGATATCCTGCACGTGCATGCTGAGTTCCTTGATTCCGCGGCTGAGCTGTTGTACCACGGGGGCCCCTTGTCGCTGGACCTCTTGCCCAATAAGGTCACCAAAAGGGTTCTCCACTCGTCGTTCCTCTACGTCCATATTGGTATCCTCGTCGTCGTCCATTACCCGAGGCACCGAGGGCCTGTGAGTAGAAGATCTCTCTCTGATTGGGGTGACGTATGGGGAGAACTCCCGGTGATCTACCTGCCGCCTCCTCGCCTGCCCATAGGATTCTTCCTGCCTTGTCGATGTGAAGAGGGAGCCTATCGGCACATCTCTCTCTTTCCTGTGGCGCCTCTTCGCCTGGGTTTCCAATATACCTTGATCTCTCAAGGCGATTGAATTCTCCATGTTGTAGTCTTCCTCCGACCGTTGCTGATGAGCCCTTGACATCGCTAAGCTGCTCGAGTTTGAGCTGTGGTTGCCTTCTGCACCAGGGTTGAGCGATAAACCAGGGGGCTGGGTGAGCAAGTCCGAAAGACCGTTGGGAGAGAGTGATCTTGATTGGGAAGAGTTCTGGGTAGTTGAGGATTTCGGGGTCGTGTTCATCAAAGGTAATGGTAGTTCCTGCTTCTGCGAAGAAACCTGTATAGTGGAGGTATCCGCAGTACAGATGTTCGGCGCTTCCTCTTCGTACGATGAAGGATGTAGCGCAAAGGTAGTTGTTGATGGCTGCTGTTGCTGCTCGGAGGTGCATATAGTACTTTGGTCTTTCTAATAGGCTAAGCGCTTATTCTTCTACTGAGAGCACGGTGACTATCCGCCACTAAGCAAAATACTCAGAGTATTGGTTTAAGCGAGTAGCTGTCTTATCGAGACTTCTGGTAGTGTATGCGATAGGTAAAGAGTAAAAGTTTAGGGATAAGGTACAATATAGTGTTTGATTATTATGCTTTTTACAGTGAGACTATTTGATGCCTCTACCCACATCAAAAAAGTGCAAAAGCGTTTAACAAAATAACTCCTGATCTTTGTTCTTAAAGTTCTCTTAGGTCCTCGGTGATTACAATAGTGTATGATGATAGCAGCAAATCTGCATCGCACTATGAATACCCCCGTGCTGACTTTTCATCATCTTCGGCTACCTCGTTACAATACCCTTACTCGGTTGGCCATTCAGGCTTGTTCCTTTCACGTGATATTGTCGACCGGATTGCACCCGACTGATGATTGATGATACCCTCAAGTCTTCGGAGAATCGAGCCCTATTTATACATGTTGGAACCTATGCCAAGGCCCGCTCTCTAATACTAACTGATACAACGGTAATAGAATAAGATAAAGCTCCCGAAGATAACCCAGATAGAAAAGCGCCCCCGCATAGTTCCGTCCTCCATTCTAATTCCGACACGTAACCATGAACCTTGCAATTGCCAGTCATCAGGTTGTACCATACTATTATCCTAGACCTACTTCTCTAAGTAGAACAGCCTACAGCCGTAAGCCCCGCTTCCTATTCTATTTCGGGTGAGACACCCAACAGTAAGCGTGCCGTCATAATAGTATGGGCCTAGCGTGGTGACACCGCGTGCCCCCACACTACCCGATACCTTTCTATGCTTGTCCTTCCGTTACCCGACCGGCCTTGCATCACAACCCGTCACTCGTATTTCTCACTGTCCTAAGCCTGTAGAACAGTGCTTCCGTAGTTCCTGTAACAGGGGGAGTGCGAATAAAAGAATTCTCTTGAAAAAATACTGATAAATGATAAATGTTAGAAAGGGGGAAGAGGAGATGTACTCAGAAAAAAGACAAGTGGCATGATTGCCGTTTCGTTTTTCCTTGCGGTACATCACCGCCCCCCCCCCCCCCCCAAATCCACTGTATTCCCGCGGGTCACATACTGAATATTGGGGGGGCCTAACTACCGCCAAGACTTCACTCATAGTCTTTACATACCACCAACAGTACCAAAAGCAATTAACTCTTTGAGCAGACCTTTCCAGAGAGTTAGCCTCCACCCCCCCCCCCTCCTCTAGAGTCTTTGCGGGGCATTCCAGTAATAGTTAACTTATACTTGATCATAATTCAGGGTTAAATATCAAACGGAGATATGGTGCGCCCAGTCTGAAAGTGACATATGCTCCTTTGGAAATGGAACAATATTGGCCCTCTTAGCCAATCAAAAAGAAAAATGGATGAAAAGATTTTTTTCTAGAAAGTATTTGGGAGCAGACTCTATCAGACAGATCTTTGGTATTATGCTTAGTTAAAAAGGTATATAGCTTATACACGTATACCATTTGCTGTCGTCTTTATTCTCAGCCGCATCATACTAGTAATGCACTGTGCACCTCCCACCCAGAGGTATCTCATCTCCTCAACTCTGCACCCCCCCCCCCGGGGGGTCCTAGAAGAACCCATGATTCTATTCCCGCAGCACGCACATCCGGTAGCCATTCCTTCGCTCTTCGCAGAAATATCTGAGACATATTAGGCCCGACGGCGTGGTTATATTCAGGAAATCTAGCTATCTATAGACTGTGGAGATACTAAAATAGGCATAGGAGGTGCCTTCACAGCAAAGAGGTTCACGGAGTGAGGATTAGGTTTACTACTGAGTAAAAATTGGCTGCCAGCTCCCGATCGTGAAAACACACGAAGGAATGTTATTAAACTATGTACTCTACACTTACATAAAGTACCGGAACTAGCCTTTCCAACCCCAGCTGTACCCTTGGAATCAATATCCACCATCCCCTACGTTCGATCCCGAGTGATAGTCCATGACGCATCCCCGTCCCACCCCCCAGCTCTGATGGTGATCCGACTATACATATTCTATCCTGAGGCATGGGGCATGGATTCACCGATATCTCAGGGCTTTGTCCTCATACCTACCCGCAGGATCCGCTGCCTGCCGCACCACTGGTTCGTCGGGACCGGGGAATTGTCTTCCCTTGGCATGATCTTCTGCCCACCAACGCGGTGGTTCAGATTGAAAAAGGCTACGAGCCAGCCGAAGAGTATTATATTCCAGAAGGCGGTGATGACGCCCCGCTGTTGCCTGTGGCCCTGACTTGACACTCTTCCGACTACGCCCGAATCCATATAGTGAAGGGAACCAAGCACCAAACCAGGCGCCTTGTCCAGGAATACAGTGAATCAACCCAACCAGGCGCCGGGTCCAACACCGAATCCACTGAATCCACTTAACCCAGGGAAGCCAGAGAATCCAGAAATCCAGCAATTCCAGTGAGTCTTGCGAATCCAGGGAATCCAGAAATCTACCAAGTCCAGGGAAACCACCCAACCACTAGGCGCCAAAATGTACAGCGCCATGCCATAAGTCGTGGGAAGGCGCGAGGTCGCAACGCCTGAACACAAAATATTTCACCACCACCGATGGCGCCCAGAGACCATGTACCCCGCCAGACAGCTAGGAGGGAATGACCAGCCTCCCTGCTATGGCAAAAAACTGGAGTCTTACAACTCTGGTTGGAGGAGAATAGGGTAGATGTTCTGGAGGACTGGCTTGCCTATTCTATCCTATTGAACATGTTTGGGTACACCTCAAGAAGCTTTACCATCAACAGTACCCCCATTTGGCATATGGTACTAGATCACCTTAGGTATTAAAGCCCCTCGTGGAGGAAGGTCTAATTCATTGCTGGGAACCGTTACCTGATGATTTATTGGTAGCTAGTTGAGAGCATGCCTAGGAGAATAGAGCTGTTATAAAGGCAAGGGGTTGGTACACAAGATATTAAATGTCAAATTATTTTTATTTAGCTACTATTTAACAACTATACAAAAACCAGCTCTCCAAAGGATCAATTGTGGTTGCTGGGTGGGTAGTCGTGGTGGCCCGGGAGGTTGCTACGCCGCGCCTTCTCATGATTTATAGCCTAGAACTATACATTTAATCTTTGAATTTTGCTGAGTCCGGCAAGCCGGTGAGTCAAGGAAAACCAGCGAATCCATTCAATCCAGCCAATCCAGCCAATCCAGTGGGTGAGGTCGCGAATACGGTGAGTCAAGCAAGCACCGAACCCGGCGAATCCAGCGCGTACATTCATAATTTTTGTCTAGTACCCCCAGTCCTTCCGTGCACCCCCAGGCGGTATCCCCAAGGCCCCCGCGCATGCTATAGCCCTCGTACACCCGTCGCTGTGCTTCCGTGCATGGGGTCCTGGACAGTGCTCCCGTGCTGTCTAAGTAAAAATGATCATGCATCATTGGTTGCTTTGGTTGCTACCCACGGCGTTGATTATAAAAATTCAAGTCACTTAACTGCCTCGTCCTCGTCCTACTTTTTCAACACTTGCAGAACATCCCAGAACGAGTGATAGTTCATGCGCCACTGCCCAACGTACCGGGTGTGCACGTAAAATACAGAGACAACCCCCCCCCACCGGGTCCCATTTTTCATGTATTGGTTGATTCTAATGTCGGTAGGGGGCTGGCTAGCTATATAGTCACGGGGTCGGACAGCTGTCATTAAACATGACAGGTACAGGTCTCGACATGACAAGGACAGGTCTCAACATGACATCTCACTCGTACCCGTTCCACCAGCAGTGCTCTTCGTCATGACAGCTCACCCGCACCCGTTCGACATCACTTGAAACGCCAATTATCCAACAGCAAGGAGTATTGACAAATAAATTATATAGATACAATTCTTTGTGCAAAACAAGGATGTCTGTTTTGACGTTCTTGGGGCGTTGCACCTCACCTCCGCGTGAGAACCGTCAAGCTGACATTAGTCATCGCGAGGATCTTATCAGATGCCAAGCCTCGCCCCCTCTCATCGACAACACCACGCTCCTCTGCTAAACAGTCCGATCCCGCACTCCGCACTCCGCACTCCCTTACCCATGTCGACCCTCGGTCAACCCCCTCCGATTTTTCCCCCAGATATAGACCCGCCATCCACCACCGAAGCTCCCCCACCCTGCAGCACTCCTCCCCCTCCCAAACCCAAGGTGCCACCAATCCCCCCCCACAGTATCGCTGGGCCGACACCTACCTCTCCTCCACGCCGTGCAACTCCTGGGACATCCTCGACTACCTCCGCCGCTCGGGCGATGCGGGCCCCTTCGACAAGCTCGTCCACTCGTGGGTGAAGGCTCTTACCGCGCTGGCAAAGGCGGACGGCGACGGCGACGCGACCGACGAGGAGCGGGCAAAGGCTGCAGAGCTGTATGCCCGCTATGATGCGTTGGTGGGTGTCCCCTTTTCTTCTTTTTCTTTCTCTCTCCTGCCCACCCCCCTCATCTAACAGGTAATCTGGTCGCGGCAAAACACCACCGTCGACACAGCGGACGGCGTGCGTCGTTGTCCGCTGAGGCTGCGTGCTGGCTTGACGGTGGGCCCACTGGGGCAGGGATGACGTGCGTCGTCGGTCCCTGTTGGCTGCGTGCTTGACCGGTGGGGGATGCGTTTTTGCTGTGGCTGGATTTGCCTGTGCTGGGTGCGGGGGGGGGCGGGCAGCGGGTTTCTTATCTCACCTTGTCGTTCTCCCCTCTCTCCCTCTGCCCCTCTTTACCCCTCTTTTGTGCTGATATCTATGCTTGGGTCGTTGGGGGGTCCCATGGCTGTCTCTTTTTTTTCCTGGTTTTGCGTCGGCTTGGGAGGGTTACGGCGTTTGGGGGGGGTTTTTTTTTTATATATACTATACTCATAGAACCTTCGGGGGGGAATACTTCCTATCTTCCTGTTGTCCATTTCACGTGTATTTGTGGCTCCCCAGAGAAGAATTTGACCATCGCATCGAGATCTCCCATTTATGCCACTCATCAGCCTAATATCAATGTTTATACATCTCCACACTGTAGAGTGACCTACTGACCCCCCACAGGGCCCCGACAGTGCCCGCGCCCGCGAGTGGTACCGCTCCGCCTCCCGCTTCACCCCCCGCCCCTGGTGGTGACCAACACCATCACCTCCTCCACAAACTGCTCCGTAAACCTCACCCTCCCCGACCCCAGCCCCACCCCCGCCCCCACCTCCCACAAACGCCGCTTCACCGCCCCATCCACGCGCAAAAAAGTAAAGAAACCCAAAAAGACCCCCGTCCCGCACGCCCCCGGCCTCCCCCACCGCTTCACAACCTCCCACGCCTCGCTCGACACCTCGCAGAAATGGCGTCTCCCCAGCGGGAAGAACTGCGAGGACATCCTCTACGCGCACTTCTGCAACGAGCAGACAGAGTGTGCGGCACACTCGTGGGTGGTGGACCTGCAGGACCCCGACGTCCGGGGCCTGTTTGACGATGCGGACTGGGATGTGATCTGCGGCAGCATGCCGGCGTGGCCGCGGGCGGAGCGGGAAGTAGTGGACGCGCTGATGCGGTATGAGCATGTTGGGAGTGCGGGGGAGCTGGCGGCGGGGCTTGAGGAGCGCGTAGGGAGGGGGGACCGGGGGCAGGGGCAGGGGGAAGGTGGGCAGAGGAGTTGTTATGGCATCTGTGAGTTTTCCCCCCAAGCCGTACGGGGGAGGGGGTGGGAGGGAGAGAAGAAGTGCACTGGCTGACTCGGTGTGATCTGGGGGGGGGGGGGGAACAGTCTGCCGCTGTATGAGAACCCGGGCTTATTCACCAACAAGTTCAACCTCGAGAACTGGTATGTGGTCAACGTGTGGTCGGCATTCATGGACCGTTGCATGATGACGCTTCCGGGGGTGCATTTGAGCCGGTACCTCCGCAAACCCCCTCAGTCCCCTTTCCCACATTTCCTCCCTCCCCGCTAACTTCCCCCACCCGCAGAGGCGAATCCATCTCGACCTCCTCTCTCACGCGCAAGAACACGCCCACGTCCCAAGGCCACCGCTACGACGGCGTCCTCCGCTACCACGACCTGGAGATTGGCGCTGTCGAGCACGCACGGGAATGGGTGGGCACATACGGACGCAAGTGGGGCGCCGACACGAGGAAGATCGTAAAGGTGCTGCACGACATGTTGGTGGCTGCAGAGATTTCCGTAGGGTGCGAGGAGGCGTTTCGGAACGTGGTGTTGGCGGGGGTGGTCACTGCTGGCATGTTATTTTGCCCCTCTTCCCCCGGGGGGTCCATTGTTGAAGAGTGCTGACGGGGCTGGGGCGCGGGGACACAGGCCTGCACTGCCAGACGATACGCATAAAGTATGGCGGTGGGTACGTGTGCGTGGTCTCCCGCGGGCAGGAAGTGCGCAGAGTACCGACTAGCCTCAAGGACGCGGGGGAGCTGTTTGCGCTTGCGGCTGAGCTCTGGGGGCTCCGTGTATGATCAGCTTCCTCTCTCTTTCACGCCCCCAAAAAGCCCTCTCTTGGTCTCGTCCGGCTGATGCGTGTGTGTGGAGGCAGATACTGGTCCAACAGACGATCGCCATCCTCGAAGACTGCGAGGATGCCAAGCGGAAGCGGTACTTTGAAGAGCTGAAGGACGGGGAGAAGACGTTTGTGGCAAGGCTGCCGAGGCTGCGGCCGTGTATTGATACGGATGACCCCGACGAGTGATGGGGGGGTGAGGAAGGGGGCCATTTTTAGGCTTATTTAACCATCATATATGCCTTTTTTGACTCTCTGGGATTAGTGTTTTTTTTCGAGTCCTTATCAAGCTTATATGGTTTGCCTGATATTATTTTCTGGCTTACCGGAGTTGATCAGTCCGATTTACAGAAAAGATATTTTGGAAAAATAAGGCGGAGTATGATGGTAGGATAAGCCTGTTTTCACGCTTATTTGCCATAGTGAATTTCGAGAATGAAGTTTTTGCTCTCTTTTTTCCCCTTTACACATTTGGGGTAATGGTTTGCTGCCTCATATAGCCTCTTGGAGGCAGTGTGTTCCTGTCATCATCTTCATCTCCACTAATAATACTGTAAGGGAACGACTTGGCGCCACTTTTGTATAGTTCTTGTTCAAAGGTCATCGTCCGGCGACGAAACCAAACACTGTAATGGGCCTGCGATTAAATGGGCATGCCCGGGCAATATACCTGGAGGAAAAAGACAATTTGTGGGCTGGGCTGGGCCTGAACTATCTTCGCCTGGGCAGGCCTGGTATGAGTGGTATTATGTGTTTAGCTGCGGGCGGTTGAGACTGTTGAGCAGGGTCTTTTGCTTGGAGTTGTGGTGTGGTTGCTCATGAGAGCGCTCATGGCTGTTGCTCAGGGGACCAAACAAAATTCCGGAGCATACTCGCTTGCAGGCGCACGGAGGTCTTGGTGCGAGTGATCTCGTATGACTGGATGTAGCGGGACCATGGGGTTTGCCTGGTTATTAATCGAGGGGTTGATTTTATTCTTTGATTTTACTTCTGAGCGAGTGCGGCGCACGGGAAGGTTCAGTGCTATCGCCCCCCACAGGATTAATCGGTTCAGTGGCGGAAGTCTTGGTGCGAGTGATATCTTGTGACTAACTGTGGCAATTTTTTTTTTGTTTAATTCATGAATTGCATACTAACCATAGGGAATTTACGGGCGCAGACCAAAAACCGATGATATCGTGGGCAATTCACCAGGCGTGGGCGTGGTGCTTGGCCGTAGATCCTAGTAGCGGTACTATGTCTTCCTTTTTGCTGGAGCAAGGCCGCGACGGTCAACGCCGCAGATTAGCTGCGGTGATACACTTTTGCAATTACTGGATCACAGCGGTAGTAGTGCGGGCAGCGGCGTGGTTAGAGCAACGGCGTAGATTGGGCAGTGGTGCTGCGAGCTGCTTTTTGCGGGAGCAACGCCGGAGTGCTGGGCAGCGGCGTAGATGGGGAGTGGTGCTGGGTGAAGATTTTGATCTGTCGCTCACCGGCTGCAACTCCACCGAGAATATCGCGCTGAGGGCAGAGGCAATGTGGGGGGGGGGGGGGGGGGATCTGAGGTCTTGGCGCGAGTGATGTGCTGTGTTTGACTGTAGCGGAATGATGGTTATTTTTTTTATCAGATTGTTCTATGGCTATTGGCGAGATGGTTGTTGTTTTGTTACCTTTAGATGTGGTGCGTGTTTGGGGGGGGGGGGGGGAGGGGGATTACTCGACGGGTCTGGTCTTGGCGCAAGTGATCTTTCATGATTAACTGTGTGGAATCAACAGGCCGGATGAAAAAGCGACGACATCACAAGCGATTGGCACATTATGGGCTTGGGGATGACAAGGTGGAGGGATTGGGGTTAGTTCTGAAGATTTCGCCGTTGCGGCGTTGTGGGCGGCCTTGGGGGCGGGCTATAGTCGCGATGTGGAGGCAGGGATGACTGTGGTGCTGCTTGAACAAGGGCTTAGATCTTGTTGCGCCTTCCTTTTTGGGGGGGGAGCACAGGCGTGGTGCTTGGCAATACCATAGATTTGCATGGCTGTGGTGCTGGACAGCGGGATGGTGCTGGGGAGGGCCATAGACGGTCCACGCCTTCCTTTTTGTGGGAGCAATGGCGGGGTGCTTGCCAATGCCTTAGATCTGGCTATTGCGCTACGCTTTGCGTTTTTGGTGTATCGGCGGTCTTGGCGCGAGTGATATCGTGTGCTTTGCTTTAGCGACGTGGTGCAGGTGGTTTCTTGTATCAGAGCGTTCTACTCCTATTCGCGATGGTTGTGTTGGGTTCTGGTCTTGGCGCGAGTGATAGTTTATGGTCACGTACGGAATGTACGGGCGGGGATGAGAGAGCGACGATATCATGGGTTATTCACTGGGTATGGGACCAACAAACAACACGAACGATGAACGACCTGATCAGTGATATATATTACGCCCTTGGTCCTTCGAGTTTCCTCCCCCAAACAGTAGTAGTGCCAGCAAGCACAACAGTCGAGATACAGCCTCATCTAGGGCAAGGAGATGTCCGCATCTCATGTCGGATTGAGAGCCCTAATCCTATCGTGATACATGGTCACCTTATTACAGACTTTGCGCTGGATGCATCCGTTCTCCCTGTCGCCAAGAGGCCAGGATGGAGATCCGGATGTGGGGCTTCACTTTGCGCTGGATGTCATCAATGGCCGATCACTTCCAATCAGGTTTCCCCTTCAGTATGCTGTCTAGTAAAGGATGTTACTAACTTCTACTGTTCAATATAGTCAGTTCACATCACTGTCCACTACAGTTCACTGCCCGCTGCAGTTCTCCATCACCGCCATCAGGCTTACCGCTGCCTATTGCTACCAGGGCCCGCCACCTAGCAGCTACCAGGGCCCGCCACCTAGCTGGTATCAGCCCGCTGCCTGGTTTCAGGCCCCGCTACATAGTATCAAGGCCCGCCATCACCGCCATCTATCTGCTATCAGGGCCTGCCATAGTACCCAGAGTCCCTGTTACGCTCTCAGAGCACCTGCTACATCCAGGGGTGCCCGCTGCGCCCCAGGGGTGCTCACTACGCTCAGAGGGTCCCCAATACACTCAGGGAGTGCCCGCTACGCCCAGGGAGTGCCCGCTACGCTCAGGTGGTGCCCGCTACACCCAGAGAGTCCCCGCTACGCTCAGAGGGTGCCCGCTACGCCCAGAGGGTGCCCACTACGCCCAGAGAGTCCCCACGACACCTAAGGAGTCCCAGTCCCCACTACACCCGCAGATCAAGATAAGAATGGATTTCAGCAATATTCTTAATATCGAAGGAAGTTTAGGGGATGTGGAGCGACCACTGCCAGTGGTTTCAAGTTCAGAGTCACAACACGGTATTGGGAGAAAAAGAGGAGGATCATGGCTCCCTTGGGAGGATCGGCTTTTAGCTAAAGAGGTATTGGCTCGAGACCCGATAACCAACAGGGAAGGCAGAAAGGAGGATAGATGGAAGGAAATAGCAAGGAATCTAGAATCATTAAATATGCAACGGTCTTGGGCTTCTTGTAAAGACCGAATAAGTAAATTGATTGAGTATCATAGGGTACGTACTATCTACTATAACCCAACGATCTACAGATTTATCTGACCATTCTCTAGCAAGAACAAATAAAAGCAAGGCAAGCAACGGGTACCAATGAAGAGGTTACAGATTTCATTTCGAATATGGACAATATTATTCTACTTTCCGACTCTGTATCCATGGATCAAGAGATCCGTAAAAAGGCAAAAGCAAAACTGTAAAGGAAAAAGGAACAGGGAACTGTAGTAAGGTTGGGATCTCTAGGTGGACTCGTTAGGAAAAGAGATATACAATCAGCTCAGGCAAACGACTCCACTACTCATCCCTCTTGTCCTTGTCAACTCCCTTCTCAACTCCGCCAAGAGTTCGTGAAGTGCGGGGTCACTCCTCACTACAGACTTTGCTTTGACTTCATTTGCCAAGGCAAGTCAAAATCTCCTCCTTTTGGACATCGAGCTCGAAGGTCACCTCTCAAAGACCACCAGCACCTCACTGCTCCCAAAGCACTCCTTTCAATAACTTGAAGGATGACCACCACTCACCCAAAGTCCCCTATGTGGGCAACCGGCATCATGCCATCTTTAGTTTTTCCTTATTTTGTATTTCGTTTGTGTTATCCGGAAATTTTTTTCACTTTTTCTTAGGTGGGGGTTTCCTTAGTCATCAACCTTGTAAGAGGAGTGTGGTTGGTAGCGTACCATAGCTACTATAACTGGGGGAACTGGCATTGGGGATAGGTCTTTATGCCATAGGCTATGCCTGCATGCAGTAATTGTACCTAGAATCAATTTATATGATTTAAAAAAAAAAAAAAAACGACTCCACTACTACCATGGGCTCTTCCATACAAACCCAACCTGCAACAAAAAGAGCAAAGAACTTTGAATCCGTTGAAATGGAGAATATCTTGAAGGATTTGGATGCGGGTACTGAGAAATTCCAAGAAGAGTTACGAGAGAGAGAGGAAAGGGAAAAGGAAATGTTAGAGAAAAGAGAAAAAAGGGAAGAAGAAAGACATGAGAGTATATGCAGAAAGTTGGATAATTTGGTTGAGGCAATTCAGAGGGACAACGAACAGAGACGGGAACAGAATCAGATGATGCAAAATCTTTTGGCAAATGTAATTCAAAACCGTTATAGGGGAAACCCGGGAGAAAAATACTCCTCTAATGAAGGAGGTTGAGCAAGCGCTGGCATGTTTTGGGGGGAAAAATCTTCGGGTATACCATCGACAGCGAAGTATTGTGGTATCTGAGGGTGATGCAAGCAAATATGGGCATTGTGTAGAAGTACAGATACAATGTACTGTAAACCAACGGGAGAAAGTAAAGTCTTTTGACTTTTGAAATAATCCACATATGCGAACTGTTGAATTACTTCTTTGAATGACCATTCCACAACTATTCTCACTCGAGACATAGCTTTGTTCCAATCTTTCTCATCCTGTGTCACTCTGGCCCCTTGGAATGGCGATATTAAAAACCCGTTAATGCCATATGCTGGGTCACCATAAATTTGAACAGGTGTGCCGTCTGGTTTGTATGCGTGAGCCTCGAGCATTGTAAGGATTTCGTTTTGTACCATAATTGTAGAATCGTGCAACTGTCCTTCTACTGGGCCATATAGATGAACAATAAGCCCATCGGGAGCAACAATAGCTTGATATTTGAGATAATGACCCCGTTTCCAACCATTATATACCGACTCCTGTCCGTAGATTGGTCTTGCTATACGGCGCATGGTACCATCCACAAACCCCCAGCAGGTTTCTAAAGGTGCGTCTTTTTCTCGAATTGCGATTGTGTATGATGCCAATCACTCAGGTGACAGAAGATGCTCATCGAAATATAATAAATGTTTCCATTTATCATATATATACTTGAGGAGGGTATTGCAGATCCGTGAGGTTCTTTCAGGCTTCCATCCAAATTGAAGATGCAAATCGCTTAGGCGTGAGGGGTATGCCAACCGGGCCAGCAACATGCAAAGTGCTTGCAATTTTTCTTCTTTTCTCTTATTGTCGCCGTGGATGTATTCAGGTAGCTGGAGAGCTTCCGATAGGCGCATTACTTCTTGCTGGGTGAATCTGAAGTAGGTTTTCCATGCATCCGGATGCAAAGTATTCAGATCCAACTCTCCATTCACTCTTCCCTGGCCTCGCCATCTGGTATTGGTTCGTTTCACCCCCGATGATAAAAGACGAATTTTAGCAATGTCTCGCTGTCGCTTGTGCAGAATAGCATAGGCTGTGTACATTCTGCGCGAGGATGGCCTTCTCAATCTTCAAAAACTTTCAAGAACGGAGCAAAACTGAAATACTTGTGAGCATTTGAAGTAGCGGACGTCAAATACGAAGATTTGACCTACAGACTGGATCTAAACTTTCAGCTGGATGTAATGACAGAAGCCAAGCCAATGATCAACACCCGCCGAGCCACTAAAAAAGACTCCGGACCTCCCAGCGCAAAGTCTGTATTATCCCATGGTCTGGCACTGCATATTCGATGTCTTGGCGTCAATATTCGTTGCGTTGTCGAATATTCTATGGTGCGCCCCCCACTCTTAAAGGTAGCCAAAAGTGACGGAAAGCCAATCGCTTGTAACTTCACCACCAAAAAAGGTAAAGATAATCGGTAAGATAAAAGTATAGTAATAGTGATGAACTATGGTTTTATCTTACAGATCTTTGATATCTACCATAGTCATGAAGTTATAAGAGATTGAAAATGGCTGTTTTTGTATGTAAAAAGCGCCAAGACTGAACAAAGTGGAACAGCATTATCACTTAGACGGTCAGTCCAAACTGTAATCCGAGGAATTTAAACCCTTTATGGCAACGTGATGAATATAACGCTGAGAGAGTAAGAGTTGAAGTTTCTAGCATGCGTGATAGGTTGTAACGAAGTTCTAATTCCACGCGCTAGTTTTATCGTCTAAGGGATACCCATTTATACCCCATGACAAGCAAACCTGATCGCAGGCTGTGGCAGTGATGCTAGAAATGAGCCCTCTGACTGGTCTATGAGTCCACATCCGGGTCACCTTTAAGAGTGTGCGCACCATATCCAAATATCAGTTCAATTATTACTATATATGGCAAGGTAGGTGTCAAGTTTGTATAATATGCAGTGCACCAGATTCTGAGCCTATGGGATAGAGCTGTAACGTGCATGAGCGCGCGTGCGGGGTATGCGGCTTCATATCAGATCTAAACACAGTCTACTCCTGAGGGAAAGTAGCTACAATATACACGACCCTTTTCATTTGCCGAATCACCATGACCGAGGTGGACGACACAAAACTCGAACGCTACAAACTACAAACAGAGTTCTCGCCGGATGGGAGATCCATAGAGCACACCACGTACAAGAGCTCCCTGGAGTCCGGTGTGCGCCGAGTGGTGGTGAAGACGCGGTGGTATGAGGCGAGGCAGCTGGGCTTTGGAGGCAACGGCGTGGTGTTTCTGCAACGAAACGACGACGGCCAGTATAGGGCCGTCAAGAGGATGTACAAAGAGAAGGGAGTGAGCTTCAGGATGGAGCTCAAGGCGCTGACCAAATCGCTAGATGTGAGCTCACCCCTCCACAGCAGGCCCAGGGTGAGCTAGGGAGAGCTGTTTGGCTGACCTTGTTGATGGCGATCCTACGTAGCGTGAGGAGCTATTTGTTCAGTTCTTCGGATGGTTCGAGGACAGGCAAAACCTGTACATCGCGATGGAGTTCATCAAGTTTGGCGATCTGAGCCAATACATCAAGGACCCGGCGATGAAGCATAACGCCCGGCAGATTGCGACGCAGGTGCTGGAAGGCATCGATTCCCTGCACAAGAACAGGATATGCCATAGAGATCTCAAGCCGCAGGTTAGTCTGTGACGGCCCCAAGCACCGAAGCCTTGACCTCTGGACTGATTCCCACGGGCCACATGGCCCTCGCTCCCCCACAGAACATCTTGATGGCCTCTGTGGGGCCGGTGTGGGTGAAGATAGCGGACTTTGGATGTTCAAAGTACCACAAGGACTCCAACCTGGAAACAAAACGCGTCGGAACCCAGCCTTATAATGCGCCAGAACTCCACGGTCTGGGGAAAGAGCAGCCGATCTACACCAACGCGATCGACATGTGGTCTCTGGGATGCATCATCCACGAGATGTTGACATCCAAGCTTGCCTTCTCCCGGACCAGCGCTGCGCCGACAACGGTCTCGACCATGAGTACCCAGCCAGAGGCGGGGGAGTGCACCTTTGATCATGAACTTCTGAGCAGTTTCTGTTTGGAAGAAGAACCCAAATTTCCCACCGAGCTGCTCGAGCATGCAGGCGCCAGCAGCAAGGCCATCAATCTCATCAGGTCCCTTCTGCGCGTGAACCCAGCGGAACGGCCCACAGCGGAAAGCGCTCTGCAAGCGCCCTGGATCGTGGAAGAGCCAGAGGATGGGCGAATCGCCAAACTGACCGTACCCGCCTCCCATATCGAGGGAAACCCCCACATGATGAGTGGATAGACCCGCAAGCACACGTGGACTCGAGCGAAGGATCAAATTCGGCAGCACTAGTGCTATCAGCCCATGGCCAGATTTCAAGAATAGAAGGGGAGAAGGGGAGGGCTCCAAGCGCAGGCCTCCAAACCAAGGACTCCAGCCCGAGAGACCTAATCAAGGCCGCGGTGGACGGCGATGTCAGGACCCTCTCCGAGCTGCTGGCCCTCAAGCCCGATACGGAGCAGAGAAACGATTCAGGCGAGACGGCGCTGCTGGCTGCGGTGCGTGCCGGGATGCTGCAGAGCGTCAACATGCTCGTCAAGCACGGCGCCAACCTGAAAGCAACCCTCATGGATGGAAGCACCCCTCTGCTCGTCTCCGTACAGATGAGGAACACCGAAATGGTCAGGCTCCTGCTGGACCAGGGTGTCGACGTGGATGAGAGGGGAAAGGACCAACGCACAGCCCTCATAACTGCGGCCGGCGTGGGCGATGTGCCGACGGTATCGCTGCTGCTGGATCGCGGGGCAAGCCCGGAGGCCAAACAGAAACTTAAGCAAACTGCCCGGATGATCGCGGCGAGGCTAGGTGTGGGGATCACCCGCAGCTAGTACCGTTTAGTACATAGAGAAGACTAGTTATAGCAACGTTGTAGCATATGCATAGGGTCAAAGGACCAGTTAATGTCATTAGGACATCAAAATATTAGGAATTCGAATTCGGCACAGAGGATTTTGTGGACCGGCCAGTCGGCTTTGTGGCAATCTTTCGAGCAATAGGCGCTGCAGTTGCAGCTCTTGCAGCGTTGCGATGTATTACTGTCGCACATTGTGCACTGCTGCGCTGATGTTTGTGTGGATTGCATTGTCTGTAGAACTATCAGGTTTGCTTCGTAGGTAGTCACGTATTAATATGATTAAATGAGTAGTATCTATAGGAGTGGTGTAGTTTCTCGTTGGAAGCTGCCACTAATGATGATATATAGGTCGGACACACAATATGGCTGAGGAGTTTCCTGTTCTTTGAGAATATTCCAATGCTCGCAAATGAATCCTGGGGGCGAAGGAGAGTTGAAGGAGGGCAAGATTGCGGGGATATCTTATGTAATTAGACTCAACGCCTGCACGTATGGCTGCTGACTGCTGCTCAGCTTCAGCTCAGGCTGCTTAGACCGCCAACAGTCTCGTCCGACTACAGTCGATTGCAGTCGATTGCAGTCGATTGTACCAAGCCAGGTAGTCTAAAATTACTATGCAGGACTACTCGTAGATTCATAGCGTTTCCGAACACGACTAATATTGTATGGCATACAAAAAGGTGGATTTGGCTTTTTGTTTAATTCATTAATTGTATGCAGACCGTCAATTCGGTGCATCATCAGTCGTCAATTCAGGAGTCTGTAGCGGTGTCAGTACAGTGGGGGTTAGGATCGGAGGTCTTGGTGTAAGTGATGTGCTATGTTTGGCTCTAGCGGCATGGTGCAGGTGGGTTTTTTTTATCAAGGTGTGCTATACTACCGAGAATATAAAGTCTGTCCCCTTTGGTACGTAGGTAGGACACCAAACTTTCTTATCCACACATGTACCAAAGCAGACAGACTTTATATTATCGCTAGTACATGGCTATTGACGCGAGATGGTCATCTTTAGGTGTGGTGGGTGGGAGATTATTTGGCGGGTCTGGTCTTGGCGTGAGTGATATTACATGATTAACGCTCTATCCCATAAACCGTCGAGACAATGCTGACACCCCGTTGCAAATGCCAAGAGGTGGCTAGAGCCAATAGGTTTTGTGGTTTTTGTTGATCTCTTACCCAATTGTGCTGTGGCTTTCGGTCTCACATTAGGGGTGTCAGCATCGACGGTTTATCCCTTCCGTCGTTTTCAGGGAATTTGATTTTAACCAAGCAGTGTTACTATAGTAGGATTAAAGGTCTTGCTATCGCCACTTTGAGTACTGCTATCACCTCTCCAAGTCTAGTCGTGAAGGGATGGGATAGTTGCGATAGAGAGGCAAGGATGACTGTGGCGTAGACCTAGCTGCACCTTCCTTTTTGGGAAGCACCGGCATAGATTTGGCTAGCTATGGCACTACGAGCAACGGGATACATGTAGTTTTACGAGGACGGTACCTGTAATGCCATAGTTCTAGGTAGGTTTGGTTTTGGTGCTACTAGCAAGTTAACGGCGTAGACATGCTACGCCTTCCTTTTAGGGCCAACGGCGGGTACTGGACAATGTCGCAGATTTGGCCATGGTTCTACGGGCAACAACGTAGCTTAGATTAGCGGGAACAACGCCGTGGTGTTGGGGGAAGGCCGTAGACAGTCTATGCCTTCCTTTTTTGTTGGAACAACGGCGGTGTGCTTGTCAATGCCGTAGATCCGCAATTGATTGCGCTATGTACGCTTTGCTTTGCGTTTTGTATCAGCGGTCTTGGCGCGAGTGATATCGTGTGTTTTGCTTTATACTGTAGTGTCGTGGTGCAGGTGAATTTTTTTTTTCTATACTATCCGCGGCGAGACCGTTTGTGCACGCGATGATTGTTGGGTTGATATGTAGGTTTGTGTGTACTGGTGGCTTTGATGACTCGGGTGTGGGTCTTGGCACGAGTGATATCCTGTGATCAACACTATAGTACGGAATCTACTCGGGGATGGAAAAGCGACGATATGATGGGCTGTTTACTGCGTGTGGCTGTGAAGAGTGAAAGGGTGGAAGGATTGGGGCGCCGTGCTGAAGACTGCGGCGTCGCGGGTTGCGGGCGGCCCCCGGCCGGCGCTGGAGGTCGGTCTGCGTTGTCTAGCTAGTGATGGGCACGAGGCGAGACGTCTCGGGACTTTGTCTCGTCTTGAACTTTGTCTAGTAAAAGTGCAAGACGTCTCGAGACCAGCCGCAAGACGAGACGAGACCAAGACCTCCGGGAGACGAGACGAGACGAGATTAAGTCAGATCTCGTCTCGTTTCGTCTCGTGCCCATCACTAGCGTCGTCTGAGGCGTTGACGGCATATATATGTATAGACGTTGCTCGCGGTGGGCCCCGTCGCCGACCAGGCGTACCGGTACAAGTAGCTTAAAGAGTTTGCAGATAGGGCAGAGAACCTGCCTGACTTGCCTACATGTAGCTTACCAGACATCTTATGAGCTATCTGTGGCCACGTGAACCTTCTTTGACTAATTGGATGTAGCTACTTGTATGTATATTTATAGGAGAGAAAATTCGGACCAGCTTAAGGAGTATATATGTATCCGAGAATGTAAACCAGTATTACCCGTCTATTTCCTTCCTACCTTTGTAGTCAGAGGGGGGTATATCGCTTCTACATTGTTAAGGGATCTCTGTCATATATACGTACAGCCCATACAGTTATATTATCAAAAGCCTTTTCTGTATCTATATACATACATGCTGTTGCATAGTTTCGACTAAGCAGACAAAAACCTGAAATATCAATCTTCCTTCCCTGCGCAGTCTACTGGCCTCTACCTGGCGAGAACCAGGTGACCGTTCCTCCCCGTACCATCTCCTAAATCAATTACGGCAACCGCTTCCACCTCATCGAAATCGTAATATGATCCATCTCCAAACTTTGTAAGAAATAAATTCATCACCTCAACCCTATCCCCCTTATAGCGCTCGACAACTCGAGGTCCCAACTCTTTGATCTTCTTCGGAATTTCTTTCACTAGTTCTCTTTCCGCAAGTTGATATGCTGTCTGATTTTGCCTATTTTTAATGTCGCAGCGAACTAAATCAATCTCCAGTAACTTCTGCACCATTTGAAAATTGCCACAGTAAGCCGCGAGATGCAGTGCGGTATCTCCATCTATGTCTATTGCATTTATCTGCTCCGGAGATGGAAATCGGTGCAATAGGTAATCCAGTATATTGCAAGGCAGGCTTTGGTCGTAAAGGGGAGATTTCAAAGGCAAGAGGGCTATCGCATGTAAGGCTGTCTTACCACTTGATGGGAAGCAAAGGAAACTTGCTGGTCTTTTGCCGATGGCGAGTTGATGATCGAGAAGGAACTTGAGTTGAGAAATTGCATTCGTTGTACAATTCAGAATCACAAATCCAATCACAGTGCACTTGTCGCCTGGGCTCCAATCGATATCGACACCTCGCTCAAGTAACAGCGAAGCCGCCTCAAAGTTACATGTACTAATAGCTGGCCCGATTCGGGTCCTTTCAACGGTATCCTTAGAATAAGGGTTGATATCAAGCACAGACCTGATGATGTTTGTCACATCACCGGAGCTGATGCAGCAGTACTCAAGGATTGATATAGATCCCATTGGGCCTTGGACGGGCAAGGTAACATCTGCTCCGTTCTCTAATAAGACTTGGAAAATGTCATATGCCCCGTTCTGTATCGCTGTATGTACCGGTGTCTTCGAATTCTGCTCGTATATATTAATATCCGAGTTTCCAACATACGAGATGATGAATGCTAACATGTCCGGGGTCCCGTGTTCTGCGGCGACGTGGAGGAGCGGTCGACCGTCAAAGGTTATTTTCCCATAGCTTAAGACTGCCCTGTCAAGAAGAAAACGGAGCGTCCTTTGCATCATCTCCTTGGCCCTAGTGGCATGAAAATATATTCTCTGAACCTCAGAAAGGCCCCCAATAGCATGTAGCAACAGCTTGTTATTCGGGTTGGCCCAGTTTCTATCCGAGGGGTTTGCCTTCCAAAATAACTCCAGTATTTCAATGAAATGCCCAGATGCCGCTACTTTAGCAGGAGAGGGAGAGTCTATTGGTGATGAAAGTCCGAAGGGGTCTGCTCCACGTTTAAGTAGGATTCGGATGAGAACCAAGTTATTCCTCATGACGGCAGTATTTAGAGGTGTTCCCTTCAGATTAGGCATCAAAGAGGTGGGTGCCAAAGGGTACGATCGCCCCTCGCAATTTGCATTTATTAAATCCGCCGCTCCGTGTTTAAAGAGCAACGCGGAGATTTCGGTAAGCTCTTCGGGATCACCGAAATCGTCCAAAAAGTGGAGAGTTGTTTCCCCATAGCTATTTCTTGCTTTGACATTGGCTCCTGCCTTGATGAGTAGTTCCGCGATAGTGAACAAACCATGTCGACAGGCGGAAAGCAGAGGGGTATCGCCGTTGTAATCTTTACTCTCCAGCGATAGCCGTTCAAAGTCATCAGAATCAATCATTATTTTGATGGCCTCCGCGAATCCTGAAAAGACCGCGAAATGCAACTCGTTGTGTCCAATACCAGGGTTTATTGTGGGTTGTTTTGTCCAGATATCCTGCAGCTCATGGGCGTAGAGTTCTCCTCCGCGCTCCTTCTGATGGTTAATGGGATGGTCTTCTCTATCGATATTATATTTCCATGTTCGATAAGTCCGACACCGCATGGTACCATAGATCCCATTTCCTATTCCCGTAATAGGAAAGGGGAAGTACTTTCTAAGCTGTGCCACTGGCTCACAGCTTGGCGAGGTACGAACTGTGAACAATAATTTGATAGCGATCTCTTGTTCATATGGTTCACATTTCTGCCCATACACCATCGCGAGATTTCTTTCCTCTGTCGTCGCGATAGGCAAGAACATGGCTTTGAAGATAGCCACGTCCGCTATTCGGTATTCTGAATCTAGAATTCGTTTCGACTCCTCTGGGTTTCTTTCGACACCCCATCCAACAAGATGTGCAAATGCACGGAATAATATAGCTTTGGAGCTTTCCTCGCCATCATCGAGCACGGTGAGTGCCTTGAGGTACTGCTGCTTGATAGACAGCGGGAATTCCGTCATTTCGCGAACAATCCGATGGAAATTGACGCGTTTATGATCTTCCACGTCCACGGGGGGTCCAATAGTTATCCCTGGTGGAAGTGACAGGGATGGTGGATCTCTAAGAATTTGAGTCAACAGATAGATTCTCTTAATAGCTGAAATATGGATTGGTGATAGAGGCACGGCAAGAGAGCGGATTATCAATTGTAAACATGTGCCGTTCTATCTGCTTCCCCGGTCCACATTTTCTCTCGTGCTCGTTTCTATCCAGAAATCTTAAACCAGAGATGATCATGAGCGCTACATACCCAAAGTACCAGGTATTCCAAATCTCAAGGACCTTTCCCATTGTCCCTCGCGTCTCTACGTATGGATTCAAAGCGCAGTCAAACAAGCATGCCGTAAAAAGCTGCACCGATGTGTCTTCCTCTAGAAAACTATTTGCGGCGTTCCGGCCCAGTATAACGTCCTTCATATCGTCCACGGTCTTCCTCAACTCCAGGTGGTCTTTGATAGTTATACCGTCCAAATCGAACAGGTTTCCGATTTCCTCCCCGGTAAGGACTGACCAGGCAAGCAAACCGTAGGAGAAAACATCGCTCTTTTCTAGTTGGCTCCAGGTCCGGAGGCTTTGCCACCCCGGGTCGTTCCATGGCCACGTCCTTCCCTTAAGCCTCCACATTGGACCTTGGTCCGTTTCAGCGCAGCTCTCATCCGACCTCTTCACGCTGAATCCGAAGTCCGTAAGTTTAGCTCTCAGTCCAAACGCTACCCTACCACCATGATCGTCGTACTCGTCGAATATAAGAACATTGTCCAGCTTAACATCTCCATGCACAATACCGGATTCATGCAATGCGTGTAGTCCTTCCGCCACATCTCTGCAAATCTTAGCTCTGATCCCCAGCGATAACGTCTTGTAATGCTTCGTCCGGTGAAAACTATCCAAAGATCCATGTTCGGCATATTCAAGTAGTATTGTAGGAATTCTCATAATTGGGCCAGAATTGATAATACTGCCAGGTTCAAAGTCAGGCAGGTTGCATTCCCATTTAATCCCCAGAAAATCAACAATGTTCTTGTGTAAATAAAGCCAAGGATGCGTCAAAATCTGGAGTTCTAGTTTCACGGCCCTTACTCTCTCATCTGCTGCCGAGTCCTTTGTATTCCCCTCTTCGTCCAGTTCGATCAATGGCCTCTTACAGGTTATAATTCCGCGGCCGGGCTCAACCCAGCGGAACCGCTCTGGCGGACTTATGTCTCCCGGCGGAACTAGCTTCGTGGTCCATGAACGCTCAATTTTAACATTAACAGGAAGCTTGATCTTTGATACATAGAACGTCTTGCCCTTCCCGAGAAATTGCAGTGGTTCGGGTTCATCTCCGGTAATTAGAAGAGAACAGATCGAAGAGAGTCCAAATGGACCGAGAACCGCCAACGACTCCGCGAGCTCGCGGATTAGGTCCTGAAATGCAGATCCTCGCTGGAGCGCCGCCTTAGAAGAGGTGGCGGCGGGTGTGGACATTTCAGGATGTACTGTAGCTAACACTGTTGCCACACTAGTACTGCTGCTAGATGAAATAGCGGCTTTACCGCGATTAGGACGAACGTATCTTGGATATGCTTCGGATGACATGCTTGGCTCCCCGGACTAAAGTAGCTGAAAGAAGCAGATAGAGGTTTTCTTAAATGAATAGTACTGGGGCTATGGAAGAGCTCGCAAGGTATTTTAGGGAATTGTAGAGTGGGAACACTCCACTTTATAAGAAATCATAAATGACTTCGCCTCTAGCTATCTCTACATGTAGCTACCAACTGTTTATAATCTCATCAGGCCAACGCCTTCTCACTTAATCATATCCAACGCTGATAGGATAGTGAGCACATGGTAGAAATGTGAGAGGGATTATATTGGCCGAGTAAGAAATAAGATTAGTCTAGCTATTGGCTCTAGCCTATGTATTTTATGGGGCCGGTCTTATTATGGTTGGGAAACTATGGGGAGGAGGTGCGTGAAGACGGCGTTTCCTTGAACAACCGGCTAATGATTCCCCATGGGCTCTAAGTCCTACTGCTCGAATCGTGCTACGTAATGCCTAGATTGACAGAACTATCTTCGACGTTGCATTAACTGTGTCAATCTACAAATATTATGCTCGATCAATAGAACGATGTACCGGGTGTTGAGGGTAAGTGATCAGAATCTGATAAGTGAATGCTGCGGTGAATACGTGTATTTTCCTTATCAGATTCTGATCACTTTTCGCTATACCCTAGTACAATACACAGAATTAAACCTAGGAATCGTATACATGTTTAATGCAGCTAGAAGCTATATATTCAAATATTATCCTCGAAAATAAGTCAGGCCCGATCAAAAGGCTAACCACAAGCCATATATAGCCGGGAAGATAGGGTGAACTCCACACGTAAAGCTTTGCGATCCTGCTTATGCCCAATTGATTATCAGGGCACTCCTAGCATAGCCTCAGCCTTTCTACTAGTGACGAAGATATAATCCTAGCCGTATGCAGCTAGGGGCCGGTCGGTTCAGATCTTGTAATGGAATGCATATAGATCCGCTTGTTCATTGATAGCAGCATTCAATGTTCATACATGGCTTCGAGGCGTTGGGCACAAACTTGTACCGATCTACCCCGGCGAGGCCCGAGGAACCAAAGGTGAACTGATAATAGGCCTATGCGTGAGAGTACGTACACAAGTTGAATACCTCCTCTCCTCTATGTAGGCTGTTCTTCACTGAATAAATGAAGCAGTATCCACCTGCACCTTTTTTTCTTCTTAGGCTCTGGGCGACAATTACCAATCCTGTGGTTCCGACGCTTTGTAAATAGCTTGGCAGGGTACGTACCATTATGGTATCAGTAACTTCGTGTGACGGGTTTTTCGCACCACATTACCTCCTGGAGTGCATATTTAAATTTTTAATTAGAAGGCGGCCTTGGCAATCCAGCGAGTAGGTACATGTAGTTGAGTTGAAAATTGAAAAGGTCGTGGCCCATCCAGGAAATGATTGACTGCGAACTGCGAACTTGCAAAGGCTGCAGCTGAGCACTATTAACCAACAAAGGCAGAAAGGTGCTTACCCGGACGCTTTTTCACCCAAATTCAAGATCACATGACGTTCATGAGAACTATACTCGTGTGAGTTACATTAGTACATCTACGCATATAGGTAATGATGTACTAGTCGCAATTAACTCGACATGGCGGATCTCAATTAATAATACACCGGAATTTTTTTGTTATCCCGTACGAAATCCTTAGAATCTTGGCAATCCGGCGCCATATCGAGTTGCGACTAGCTGGAGTTATAAATGATTTTAAAGCTTAAGGCCTACAACACATCTTGATATTTCACAAAATTTGGGCAGCGATTTCTTCGCTTTGCGCCCGGTATTAATTAATGCGCACCCATAGCTTAAGATCTGCGCACAGCTCCGCCAAGATCGTGCCCTCGACAGGCCCGATGCGCATCGTCAAGAAAGAAAATAACCGAGAGACAGGAGGTGCATGCAGCATCTTGCCCTCAAATACGTACTGTCGTTCATGGGGTATTGGCGGACACTGGGTGCTGACGGATTGCAGGCAAAACTTGGCTGGGTTGTCTCTTTTTTGGTTTGTTCAACACCCAGTGCCCGTCAATACCCCGTGAACGACAGTACTCTAGGTAAGAATGCCAATATTACGTTATTAGTATTCCTCATACCATGCGGGCCAGGGCAGTAACCCTGATGCTATCTTTTTTTTTTTTTTTTAAATCATGTAGTTTTATTGATTCTAGGTACAAAACTCTACATGCAGTCATAGACTATGGCATAAACCCTGATGCTATCTGCCTCTCGCTACTATATACTAAGTGCGCAGCTGTAGAATGTGTATCGGACTAGGTATTATTCACCCAAGTGGGCCCCAATTATTGGTACCCGTAGCTTCATAGCGTTTCCGAGCACGACCAATATTGCATGGCATACCAAAAGGTGGATTTGGTGCTTTTTTGTATGGTATGCAATAGCAGTCGTGTTCGGAAACGTCATGAAGCTACAAGTACATATATACCATCGTTCACGGGGTATTGGCGGATACTGGGTGATGACGGACGGGGCAAAAATGATACAGCCAAGCCAGATTTTACCTACAATTCGCCAATATCCAGTATCCACCAATACCTCGTAAACGACAGTGCAGGCTACATAGCTCATATTGATCTATCGTGGAGATCTAAAGGCACACGCTCATGATCGGACTAGGTACCCCTCACCCAACCGCAAATGGATCGAGATTTCACATATGAATGTTCTTTGACTGCACATTCGGCGGCCAGCTAGTACTTACGGGGGGCCCCAACTCCCGGCCAGTAGGATCTCGCTGAGCATGAGCACGGAAACGGAGTAAATGCTTCGATATATTGTACCGCAAATTCTTGGGTTTTGTGGGGTTGCCAAGGCAACTACATTTAGTTTAGATCCTGTAGAAGAGGGTTGTTTTCTTTCTGTAAAGGTGAAGATCCTCAGCTTTTTGGAAACCCTGATTTAGTGTTAGGTGTATGGCGGGAGAAGGCATAGGGGGTGGGTGTGTCAACTTCAGAGGAACTTTTTTTGTATGGGAATTAGAGAAAATTCCACCGTCAGGCTAGGCGCTAGTACCATTATGGGGGTAAATCTCCCAATTCCTATAGATTGATTGGCTGCAAACGCCGAAGTTTACACACCTACCCACCATAGCTTCTCGAGCCATAGTTAAGAGGAAAATGATCACAAGAACGCGAATGATCGATCTGCAACAAAACTCCCTTTTATTGCATCAACCTCTGCCTAGCTTCGCCTTGCTTAGCTATGTTTTATCTTGAGAAAGGTCAATATTGTACCGGAAATATCCTTATGTAGGTACTCATATCTCTCCCAGGGTTCATATTGCTACATTTTCCCACAGGCCCATTAATATCTTATCGAAATAATTCGGTTAACCATACTTCAACACTCATTCTTACCTTCACTATACATCTCGCTTTGAATAGTCTTCCCACAAGTAGCAGTCTTCTACTTCCTATCCTCCATTGCTCTATAAGCAAAGTTATGGAGACTGCCGGGTTCGTCTTCGGTGTCCTCCCGGTTGCCGCCAGTCTATTTAAGTCCACTCTCTCCCTTTACACGTATTACTCGGAATGTCAAGAGCTCGGTAAAACGTCCTCCGAGCAGCAGGTGCTTCTCCGAATAGAGCAATTCCGTTACCAGAGCTGGGGGAACATTGTCGGTCTAGATGCAGACGACTTGATAACAAACTCACAGAGCTATCCCGATATCAATCTACCTCTCACTGTCGATATTTTGTCGTCTATAAGCCAACTATTACTCGACGCTAGTAAATTGGAGAAGAAATACCGTTCAACTACCACACGCAATTCTAATGCTGGGCTAGGGGCGAACCCAAATACACCGGCGCCGTTTGAATCAGCCGTAGAATCTGGACGAGAAAACCTTGCCACCCTCGCGCAAGATATCAAATCCTGTTTGAGCCTTAAGTCCAGTATCAAATTCCTCATATGGGACAGGACTAAACTTGATACCCTCATCAGACAGCTCAAAGCCTTCAACGATGGACTTGAAAATGTAACGGCGCCTCATAGCCGAAACCAACTATACGCCAAGCTCATTACGCAAGCTCTAGATCTCAACGCAAATGGCCAACAACAGCAGCTGCAAAGTCTATCTGCGCTCATCAGTGCAACTGAAACTACATACCCAACATTGGCGGAGATGGCTAAGCGGAGAGCGGCTTACCTTGAGTTGCAAGATCGGCAACTGAAACAAAGAAACAACCGCAGGAAAAGCCCTTCGGCGGAAGACCCCCATCTCAAACTGGACCATACCAAGATGGACCTCATAAAGACGCCTGTTAGCCCAGGCCGCTTTCTAGGAACATATTGTGGTACCCCGGTGATAGTTGAGTGGAAAACACTTTCCGTCGATGGTGGTCTTTCTGAGAATGAATCCCTTTGTCGGATTCGGGACTTGGCAAAATTCCTCTCCAAGAAGAACGATGGTAAGAAGGAAGATCTTACTCACCTACTAGAATCCATTGGGTAAGTAGATTGATTATCCATAATCTGGCTTGTAATTTATTAATATAATTCGTCTTAGGTACTTCCGTTGGCCTGGCGAGACAGACCGCGTCGCACTCGTTTACGAAAACCCCAGAACCAGTGTTGATACTCTAAAGGGGTTGCTCAAGAATCCGGATTACGAACAATTCAACCTTGGGGCACGATTCCGCCTTGCACGGTCACTTGCGGAATGCGTCTTCTTTCTACATCTAACCGGGTGGCTCCATAAGGGTTTGTACAGTGATAACGTGGTCATCTGTGGAGATGGGAGTACCGGACAAAGCTCGACGGAAACAAAGGCTCTGCAACTGTACGTCAGCGGGTTCAGCGCCGCAAGACTCGACGGGCAAGGCGAGAAATCGGAAAAGATTGAGCTCGAAGCTCACATCGATCTGTATCACCACCCAAAATATCAAGGGCCGATGAAGGACCGGATAGAATACACTCGCCAATACGATATATACAGCCTTGGACTCTTATTACTAGAGTTGGGGACGTGGCAAACGATCGACGAAAGTGGGGGTTTTAAGCAAAAGAAGCATGACCCAACGAGGTTTCTAGGCAGGCTTCTAAATGGGCCAGTCGAAGGTTTAAGCTTTACCATGGGGCATACATACAAAAGGGCTGTCATATGGTGTCTTCGGGGCAGTTTGAAACGCACGAACATGACTTTAGCGGCCTGAAGGACGATGAGAAATCGATGTTGTTTTGGAAGAAGGTTGTCCTGGAGTTGACAAAGAGCAGTATTGAAGAGTGATTGGGTAGCTGAGGAAATGTTATAGTTGAGCTTGGTTTTATGCTTTTTCAAGTTTTCCTACCATTTATATCCACATATATCAATTTGTACTTAGCATGAGACGAGCCCAGGCATGGATCTTTTTTTTGTGTTTAATTCGTTAATTAGCCCAGCCGTGGATTGAAGTTATAGCATTCTATCTCCCAGGATTGTTGTTAGCAGAGTCAACCCCGAATAATCCGTCCATGTGGGGATACTACAATCTAGTCTCGATAAACGCACACGGTTTGCCGTATTCTTAGCCCTCTATTGCGTAATACATGATAGAGGACTGGACCGTTGGAGCGATGGGTGGAAATCTCGGCGGGTTCTGAGGTCTGCCGCGGGCGGGCGGGCGGCGATCGGGGATGACGTTGAGGTCAATTCTAGGCTTGCCCTAAATAGTATTAGTATGTCCCCATGTAAGCGGACACGCTGTTTAAAATTAAATGGGCCAGCATGTCGTGGGGGACCGATAACTTTGTACACCGAGACTCATACATATCGTCAGTTGTGTTATTCCCTGGGGAGGTGGGCCTGGGTACCCCCGATATTTAATCAATTAGTTCACTTTATAAATATAACTCAACCTCGTTTTATACCATGTGCTGGATCCATGGTTTTCAGGCTCGTTTGGATCGCTTTGTGATATTTGCTTAGGAGGACGAGCTATTATATCCATTAGCACATATCAACCCCGGCCGTGATCAACGAATAGATACCTCAAGGAAATTCCAGACACACGTCTAGCTGGCAGGAGGCTCTCTTCCTGGGATATATTGCCTGGTAAACGACCTTAGCACCCTTTTCACTGGCGAAATAAGGTCGTCCAGGGAAAGCTACCTTCGACAGGACATGTTTTTCGCGCGTATCGCTCCTGAATTCAATTGAATTTTATGTGCGGATATTCATTCACCCGCCCGCTTGCCTATATTTCGGTGTCAATTCATGAGATGCGGATTCGCTGTCTAATTAAGTGATAATTCGGCGGAGAATCGGGCATCGATATTTTTTATCCGTTGGGTATCGATTAGGGCGCGCCGGTGGGATTTCGGTTGGGTTTTGGTTAGGCGCAAGATCTGGATTCGCAACGTCGGAATAACTGTGGGTTTGAGGTGGAATCGGGGATTGATCTAGGCGCCGATCAGCAGTCTACGCTTGTGTTCGTACAGGGATTTACATACCAGAATCCAAAAATGAATGTATAGATCGATGGAGTAGATAGGTATTAAGGTAAGGTCTGTATCTGAGGAGGACAGCTAGAGGGAGCTAGGTGAGAGGGTAAGTAAGAAGAGACAAGCAGGACAGAGGGAACTGTGCACGTGAGGTTGATATAGAGGAGCTGCTGTACGATTAGGCATAGAGTTACCTGATTTATTCCAGGAACCGGATTCGGTCCCTTAAATACTAGAAGCCAAGAAAATACAGAGTCTAGTACGGACAATACCTAGTAGAGAAGGAAAGAAGAAAAAGAGTGACTAGTTTAAAAGAAAAACAAGCTAGATCGCAGAGCGGACCCCACCCAGGCAGGCAACAGGATTCGAAGACGACATGTCTCATTAGCGATCAGGACACAGTCTGACATAGGTCGCCAGCGCCCCAGGCGAGGCTCAACTATTTTCTGATAAGGTATGCGTACCCCGAGATATGTGGCAGCAAGGACGAAGGTTAGCGAGGCCGGATCACCTCGGGGGTCCCCTTAAACCTCCCCTCCCTCGAGCATCCTCGTTCATCACGCTGAAACCTATAGTTGAAGTTGTAGTAGCACGGTTGAAATCGTGGTACAGTTGGTGGTGGTTGCGAAATAGATGATCGAATTCAAATGTGGTGGCTGTGCGCGTAGTAGTGATGGTGGAGGAGCGGGTGAACTTCGGTGACTTTGGTGACAGTTGATGAGTTGGCGGGTTGGTGGTCGTACGGCCTCGAGATATGCCGGTCGTGGTCGCTAGGGAATCAGAATCTTAGCGGTCGAGGTCGGGTCTATGGCAAGGCAGAGATTGAGGATGCGAGTGAGATTCTATGATTGCTCATTCCCTGGGTCGATTGATAGTTCATGAGTTATGTCTAGCCTAGTGATGTCTACTACAATTTGGCTAGATATTTTCTTCATTATACATGGTCGTAGACGTCCCGACTCGATGGCAGTTGAGTCCCCTGTTGCAGGTGATATTTCGTGATCATGTCTTGGACGCGGAGGTGGTGGTTGAGATTCTTTCGAGGTCGGCAGCTATATACATGTATATATAGGGCAGTACCGGCCATGGAACACGTGTTTTTGGTGGTGGCAGTACTACTACTCGTTAAAAAAGTAAAGTCTGGCGATCGATGAATTAAGTACCGGAATAGTTGGTGGGTTTCGAGTGATGGTTGGTGATCAACCTTCCTAAGACATTGGTCGAGTTGGCTGAGCGCGAGATCGGAAATTAAAGGAGATATATTTTCACACTTTCATGATTCGTGAACGTACTAGATGATACTAGACGAATCCCCAGTCAGACAAGCATCACCCAAGATAGCTACATGTACATGCATGCGTGTACTCGTATTTCTCTGACAAAAATACGCCAAGCTCATTATTTTGGGTGTATGCAATAATGGCCCAGTTCAAAAACGTCAGAGAAATACTAGTACTCTACTCTATATATGTATGTAGCTACATACTCTACACATACATGTATGTCTCGCTAAACAGTACCTACATACATACAGGCTTCAAATTTACTGATGAGAGCTGCTACTTCCAAGTCACTTTGATCACGTATGTCAGATCACAGTACTCTAATCACAGAAGTACTCTACTCGTCTACTCATAGCGTTTCCGAACACAACCAATATTGCATGACATATAAAAAGGCGGACCTGTCGCTTTTTTGTATGGTATACAATAGTACTTAGTCATGTTCGGAAACGTCATGTATGTAGTACATGTAATCTGCAGGTCTCATTTGTCACTGCTCGGACGTGACTACTAACATACAGGCTCGCTTGCTGACATAAGGACTGGTTACACTAGGACCCCAATTCTAGTTAACAGCTTGATTCGAACCAGCTGTCCTAGCTACATACATACCTCCAGCACGTACAATATCATTCTTTCTGCGCAGCTATTCCATCTTGCAACAAGCACCCTTCTTCGAGTTCATTCATTCATACATCTTCTGACATGTTAAGAAAACTCAGAGAACGCGCCCAAAAGAGATTTCCAGGTACCTCAAAAAACGGTGCTAGTCCCGATCATGCTATTGCATCCGCGTTCGTGGGAAACGAGGCCAGGTATATACTTGACCCCACGTAGAGTACATACATACATGCACTCTACCTAGGTGCACTAGATGTAGCTACACGTACCTAGATGTGTATGTGTCTGGTCCTCTATGCACCTACATACGGTACTGTAGCTACATCTTGTAAGATATGACGCCTGACAGCTGTTTTAATTCATCAGTGGGATACAGCTCTCTAGCGCGCGATCATCGATACCGCCTCCAGCCACAGCTGCGGGGACGGATGTCCAACCCCTCTCCCTCCCCCAACCAGCTGTTGGAGTAAAACATAGCGCTGGAAGCTCCATCAGCGCCAGGAGGTATATATGCCAAATCTCTCAATCAAGGTCATCTTCTTGTCTGCTAATGAATGAATGAATTTTTTTTTTGATAGCTCTGGTACTGGAATCTCCGCAGCGCCAGCATCTACCCTCTCTCCTGAATCTTCACCAGCACCTCACCATTCAGTTCCAACTCCACCGCACACAAGAAATGCACAAACACCGCTTGACTCATCTATTGACCGGTATGTAATCTTTCCCACTGTTCCATGGACATCTTGGATATATCTTGATGCCGATAGTTACTCGATAGTTACTTAAGACTGACATTGATAGGTCTAGGGCTACTGCACAGATCCCAGAAAGACAGTCCTCCACAGTCACTGCCGGGAGAGCAAGTCTTTGGGATAACGCTCGAGCGCAGCTTCCGGAGAAGATCCAAGAAAAACTGTGTTCAGTCGATCAATGCGATATCAATCTGGTTAAATTCCTTATCGAGACGATCCAAGTACAAAAGGAAGCCTGTGATGAGAAGCGATGGTCTTATGTGAATACAGCGGGGCAGAAGGTGTTCTATTTCGAGTCTCTCATCGAGCAGCTAAACAAGTATGCTCTCATAGGTGATATTTCCATCCAGCATAACCCTGATATTGTGGCACTTGCTTGGTCTGGTTTCCGATTTCTTCTACAGGTGAGCTTTACCCTCGATGGACACCCTATATTGAGTATGTCATGTGTGCCTGTTCGGGGTACATGAGAGAGGTTTGCGCGCTTAACCATGTCCTTCAGGTCGGCACTGCCTACACTGAAAACATGCGGTCCATAGCAGACAGTTTTTCGACCCTTATGCGGGTCGTCTGTTGTTGCGATATCTACGAGAGATTGTGTGGGATAGCTTTTTCCCCGGATCGAAGCAGAAGCTGGGAGACCTCCAAACCCTGGAGAAGACAGTCATTGCCAACGCCGAGGTTGCTGAGAAAGAGGGTTCGACTCCGCATACCATCAATCACCAAGAGAAACCAGAATGCTGACCATTAGCCAACGAACAGCTGCGGATGCGGGGCGCTCAGGTATCTTCTATTTATTAATATCTGGAAGTGTGATGAGGGCTAATATACGGTAGACAACATAGAACAAGCAAAGAATCTTAAGCTTCTTCTAAGTCAAATGCAGACACCTCTAACGGAAATTGAACTTGTGGTAAAAAAATTGTTTGCAAGTGTTGAGAGTGGGTGGCATTGCCGACTCCTTCTTCTCGTTCCGGAACTACAGTGTTAAGGCTGACCTCTATAGGTGAGCGATATTTGAAGATATTGATCTGGTTTTCGCAAATGCCATTCGCTAGTCACCACGCTTATTTTAACAAACACCGCCGTCATGATACCGGCGACTGGCTACTGGAACACCAAAAATACGGGAAATGGAAGATGTCTGATGAATCATCAATATTCTTAGATCCGCAATCGATACCTAGAACCCACTTTTCTCGTTGTTACGAAGACTAATCGTTTAATGCAAATTAGCTAGATGCGGCAAAAGCTACTTAGCGTATGTCTTCTCGAAATTAGCCAATATTCCTTCTTGAACCCCAGCTTACTGTTAGTAGCTCCAAGGTTATTGACTACGTTCTTGACGAGGTCAAGATGGATCAACATAAATGGCACCATGCGGTTGCTTACTTCTACTGCCATTATAACGATAAGGGAAGGAACGATCCAGGAACAATTCTCAGGACTATCGTAAAACAACTATGTCTTTCAACGGGTGATGGCCTGTTGCCAAAGGAAGTGCTATCGATATACGAGGAACGGGAAAAACAGGGACATCCATCCGGCCCGCTTAATGTGGATGAGTGTAGGGATTTGATCATCAAGCTATGTAATGGATTCCCGCAAACCACCATCATCCTCGACGCGCTTGACGAATGCGATGAAAAGGAGCGAAGGTCCTTGTTTTGCGCCTTGAGCGAAATCGCAAAGGGATCTCGGCTTACCAAGATCTTCGTTACCAGTCGCGATATCGAGGACATTAGGGACACATTGTCTGGGCACTCAAGTCATTGGATTGAAGCGACTGACAATCAGAGGAATGTCAACCTATTTATTCAAACAGAGATGGAGCGCCGCTCGCAGCCACATGCGATGCGAGGTGTGGAGAAGCCGCTACTCGGAGGCAAGGACGTGCCTCAACAGTTCAAAGACCAAGTGATCAGAAGCCTGCAGAGCAAGGCGAATGGAATGTAGGCTTATTTTTGTTTCTGCTCACATACTACATGGGGGCTATCCTCTAACAATTCATCTAGGTTCATGTGGGTACAATTTCAAATTGAGGCCATCTGCAAGGAAAGTACGATGCCAAAAGTTCTTCGGGCACTTGAAACCTTACCTGAGAGCTTGGATACAACATACGAGCGCATAATCGAGAAGATTAATTCAACTTGAAGTAACCAGTCCAAAGCCTCCATCGCCAAAGGTGTCTTGAGTTGGATATTCTTCAACCAGACTCCTTGTACACCCGAAACGATAATCCAATCCCTGGCAGTGGGACCGGGATCGGGTGAAACACCTCCAGATATGGACCAACTTGAGTTGGGGTTGCAAGACATACTGGACGCTTGCCAGAATCTTATAGTCTACGATGAGAAGCTTGACACTGTCAGATTTGCACACTTCTCCGTTCAGGAATATTTGCGACGTCATCCTGAGTTCGGTACAGAGATAGGCCATAAAAGAATGGCCGAGATTTGCCTGAAGTCGTTTACATATGAGTACGATACGGAGGTAGAAAGGCTCTATCTGCCTTATGACCTCCGGAGATACACCACCTTCCACTGGGCTTCTCATGTTCGATTATCGGGTCTCCAGGGTGTCGAGGTGTGCATGGCGTTTTTTAATCATTCAGCGGCTTATGATAGATGGATTGCAATGCGAGCAAAAGAGTTGGGGCTCGGTATACCCAGTATTCCCTCTCTTCTCTGGGTAGCATGTAAATATGGGCTGCAACCTATTGTTGAGTTACTACTGCAAGACATGTCGCCAATGAGCATCGGGAGTCCATGTGTGGAATATGAAGAAATAACACCCCTCATGTGTGCTACGACTGGGAATCAAATAGAAATTGCACGCATGCTGCTGGCCGTGGAAGGGGTGGATGTTAACCAACAGGGCTCTGGTGAAGCGACACCACTGTGGAGGGCTGCGGAAGGCGGCCATGTGGAGATTGTGCGCATGCTACTGGCCGTGGAAGAGATGGATTTGAACAAGTCGGACAGTAGTGGAGACACACCACTACTGATTGCTCTGAGATCACGACATAGGACAATTACTCGCCTTTTACGACAAGCATTAGAACCAAACATCAACCCCAACCCCACGGTATAGCCTGTCAGTCCAGGACTCAGGAATAAAAAGTAGGTACTGTGGGAACGGCCGGGGCTGTATCATATATGTATTGAATAAAAACCTCCCATACTTGGCCCCATGTCACCTAGAGCTAGCAAAAGATCAAACTGATATCGATAGAATTCACACTATGTACAGCCACTCTGCAAAAGTGTTCGTGATTCCGATTTCGGAGTGAGACATTTCCCCATATGTAACCACGGCGGACCATCAAGAACCCCCCAAGTGAAGACTTTCCCAGTGACCAATGGCGCCCAAATTAATGAAGAATAAGATCAATGGCCTATCTTCTTTTTATACGTAGTCACAAACTATATTATATATTTTTCGTTGTTTGAATCTCAACTTTAATTTAATAACATCAGTATTACGGGTGCGCCACACTGCGCACTGACATTAAAACCATATCACGAACACTTTTGATGAGTGGCTGTATATACATGCAGTAGATTAAGGTCAATTTTTCTCTCATTACCTCTCCGTATAATATGCCGATGCCCCACGTCTTATTCTACTTATATAGCTCTGGGTTCGAAAAATCATGGCTCAGGTGCCCTGCCGATGTATCAGGCCTCCTTGTAAACCCCGTTTCGTTTTGTTTCGCTTCGATTTTTCCACGCCCGGGGGGGAGGGGATGGGGTGGAAAAGGCGGGGAAGGGTGGTGGGCTCTCATCTTTACATATATCATGAGATCTTTCCCTGGCATTACGAATACATATAAATCCGATTTACCAGTAATAAACCTCATCCTATTTTTCAGCAAAATTCCCCGTATAGGAGTCTCACATGAGAACGGAGCCTGCCACGACAATGCGCCGTCACCGCGGTATATATATACCAAACAAATATGTCACTTAACGAGAATCAATGCAAAAACATTCGGAAACGCCCTAGAGCCCTCCCCGTAGTCTGGGTCAGACAGTTTCTCCCTGTGCCACTAGTGGCTGATCATGAATTCCCCCAACTCCGAGTAAAGTAGACAAAATAGCTTTGGGGGTCCGTCTTTCCCCCGGCGCGGAATACCTCCATGACCCACCGGCCCGTCAATACGAATACCGTGAGCTAGAGGTAGCGGGACCCGATAACCTAGGGGCCCTCTCTACCGCACCCCGCAATCAATGAATTAAACAAAAAAACAAAAATCTCTACCACACCCTGTGACGTGAAACATTCGTGTTTCACAGAATTTACCCGAGTGATATTTCATGATTCTGCCCGCCTTTCGTACTAGTTACGAGACTAGCACTTGACAAATATCAAGCTGTGTTCTTATATCAATTTATCCCCTCTCTTCCTGCTCCCTCTCCCTGGACCACCAAAACTACCATCAAAAAGGGGGTTAATCAGTGGGTACGCTGGGCGGGGAATTCAGCAGGAAGTTAAGCAGCAATTGGCCAGCTACTACTCCAACAGCGAATTTATCTCTGGATTGGGTCCAGCACCGGATCTAGCATTGGACCCAGCAAATTCAGCGAATGTGATCAGGCAGATAGGTAGGAAGGTGGGTGTGTTGGTATATAATGTAGGTATTCAGGTTGGCAGGCGAGCGAGCGCGCATGTAGGCGGATAACTATCGATGCGTACATTATATCTAATTTCAATCCCAAATTATATAAATTTATTCATGAGAAATCTCCTATGCTAAATTAGTGAAAACCAGCCTAGCTACCCGGGTAGTATCAAGTCTTATCCAACATAATCGTCAAATCAACAATACAGGTATCTAAAGTTTAATTTAATCATACATGTACTATCGATTAAAGTTTACAAGAGACCAAAAAACGAATAGGGTCTTGTTATCAAAAAAAGGCCAGTATAGTTATATCGGACTTGGAAAATACCTGTGTTGACCGCGAGGTTACGTCTATATCTCTCTAGTTTAAAGGATCTCTTAATCTGTAAATACATGCAGCAATAGGGAGGTTGCTCAACGAGGCAAGGTTTAATGAAATTCGGGATTGGACGTGATTGGAGGATAAAAGTCTATACCTCCCTACATAGCTTCGCTTTCAGTAATGAGAGGCAAGCCGCTCTCCCGCTCATGGAAGGATGTACCCAGGGACGCTGGGAACGAGCTTAGTACTGCGTGACCTGATATACCCTGCACCCGTAGAATTCAAAACTCTCGCTATGGCAAGAGATTCAAGACATGGCGTGTACATACATCCGTAGTCTTCCATACCTCATAATTCACGGCAGTACTTGTAGGCGCTGCTCCCACGCTCGCGCCAACAATCCCAATACGTACAGGGACACATGGCATGCGAGTGATATTTCATGATATTTAGCAAGCCCATTCCGGTTAGGTAATTCCTTGGCTGTAACTTACTAACTACACTTGTATTACATAAGGCAAATTCAACACCTATCCCTATATGGACAATGCGTGAGACAGGTTTCTAGAAGAGCACAAGTTCTAGAAGCTGTGCTTGAGCTTATTTCTGGGGGACTTGCTTGAGTTGAGCGCCCAAGGGAGTAGATGAAAACGTATGAACCCAGGTATATCAAAACCAAAGCTACATGTACTGGAGTTGTAATCCCCAAAACGACTCCACGCCATTTCCGAACATATATTAGAAAAGAAGAAAAAAAAGAAGGAAAAAAGATAAAGAAAAACCTCACGAAATACCAGAAACGACCACAAAACACAATCGTAAAACGCAAATTCCCCCAGAACCCAAAAATAAAAAAAATATACCAAAGAAAAAAAAAAATCTAAAACAAGTCCCGCGCAGACAAAAAGCAAAACCAAACTTTTCACCGAGTATCTGGCACGGGTATCCCCTTCCACCCCTGCCGCCCTCCTCCTTCATGACCAGCAGCTTGGTACTGCCACAATACCCCGCGCCTCCCATTGTCCTCTTCTCACCACCCCATGGCATCCCCAAGATCTTCGCAAGAAGCCAGTGCGGCCCCCGGAAAAGCCTTTCGATGCGCTTGACGGTCGGGAGCCATCTGAAGGTGCTCTCGGAGTAGGCGACGCGGATGAACGGGTTGATGAAGGTGCTGTTTGACGCGGCGATGTCGGCGTGGATGAGACAGCATTCGGAGGCATCCCAGTACGGCGCTTTTTCGGACCGGAAGAGAACAGGTCGGTGGGGTGTGTTTTGAAGCGAGTCGGGGGTGGACGTCGAAGTCGACTTGAACTTCCTGTCCTTGTGATAGCCATCTGCGCTATCCTCATCCTTCCCACCCTCCTTGCCTTCCTCGGTGTCATCGTCATCATCGTCTTCGTCCTCGTCACCATCGGTGTCGTCGTCGTCGTCGTCGTCCTCATCATCATCCTCATCATCCCTGGCCTCAACCGCACTATCATCGCTACCAGCCCCAACGAATACCTTTGCATCAAAAGCTACAATGCCACCCCAACAGCTCTTCACCGGAACCGCATCGCTTCCCCTCTCCACAAATCCCCTACTCCCTCCCGGCGCAAAGAACGGGAAAAATGGCACTCCCGAGTTCCAACCGTCAATGTCCCTCGTCGCAAAGGTATCGTAGAACTTCACCGGCTTTATAAAGTCCATCCCACACGCCGCTGTATACTTCCCTCCGTTCGTCGAGAAGAGCAAGTGCAGCGCTTCTACAGGATCGAATACGACATCGTTCAGGAAGAGGACCCTACCATACGACTCCGGCTTGTCAACCCACTGCGGGGGCATCGCAGGCGCGTCCTTGGCATCTAGACCTACAGGATCGACCTCCCATTCCGAATCTCGTCGGTAGACGTGTTTTTTCTGGCCCCAGCGATTCATGGAGGGGATGTAGCCGATGAGGGGGAGCATGGCGCGGTTGCGGATCTCAGCGAGGTAGGTGATGCGTTTGATGTAGGTTTCGCCTGTGGGGAGTTTGACGCGGGGGATGGAGCTGAGAGATAGGGTCGTGGAGACTATGGATCGACCGGCGAGGGGCATGCGCGATGCAATTGTAGCATCGAGTGAATTGAGAGCAGCTTTTGTGATCGGACCAGAATCATTCTCAAAAATGCCTTAGAAGGTCAGCAGGGGCGATATGTTATAGCTGGAATGTGATTGACGTAAGAGTAATATTAACTGGGGGTAAAGAGAATTAAGTTTTTGTGAGAGAGAAGGGTAAAAGGAACTAAATACTGACTTAAAAATACATTTTTCTCGCCAATCAGGTCCATCAACTCCATGACAGCATCCCCCCAGGCACCCGAAATCAATTCCGCATTGATGATATTCGCCGCGATGAATACCTTCACGCCATCTGGGTTTCCCCGACCAGAGGTGGTCACCTTGCCCTTCCCATCACCTTTCCAGAACCCTTTGGGGTTCACCCCACCACCCTTGCGAACGGAGCTCGTCACGACTTTGTAGTTGCTCGGGTATTGATCGCGTGTATACGAAGGATTGAAGATGAAGGTGAAGACCAGCAAAGACAAGGACGCCGCAAAGATGATGAACCCAAACTGGAGGAAGCGATGTCGGACGCTTACTGAATGCCGTATGAGGATTCGGAGGCGGCTGGCGCAAGATGCGCACCACCGGATAACAGGTGATGGCGATGAAGAGAAGGGGGATTTGTGGGAACGGCTGCCATTCCGGAGTAGGCGCGAGGAAGCTTCGAGGTCGTCAAGGTCGTCTAGTTCGTAGTCTGAGCTATCACTGTCGCTGGCCGGATCGTGATTATCGTTGCGGTTGGAGGGATTGCTGGGAGCGCTAGGGGCAGAAAGTGAACGAGGGCGCTTGAGAAGCTCATGGGACTCGGCCTGATCTGATCTTGAGGATGAAGACGAGGGAGCGGGCATGATTGTAGAGGAGGGAGGAAAGTTTGGGGGGGGGGGAGAGGGGAAAGGAGGGGGAGGATGGACGGGGGGGGAGTATCTCAGGATTGGTTCAGAGCAGATTCAGTTGTTGTGGTTGACAGCTCGTTGTGGTTGATGCAGTTAGTAATCGGCACCTGGCTGGATAAGACGGAACTTGAAGACCCTGGGGCCGTGGGCTAGGGTTGAAGATTTGAACAAGCGGCAATCCCTGCGGCTCATGGCTAATCTTATCAGATCTGTTGAGCCGCATCTTGACGTTCCTTGGCGCGATAGCCTCATACATGTACTCTATGCAGGGCGCTTGACTGACGTTTTTTTGTTTTTGTTTAATTCATTAATTGCATGCAACTTTACAGTTATGGCAATACCCCTGAACTGCCCCTTCTCTTCTGCCTCCTCTCACGTATTTCTGACATAGGAAATGACAACACTAGAGCCCTTCTTGTTCTATTCCTCGCTTCCAGCATCTTTCAGCGTCCCCCATCCATACCCTAGTTCTCTTCTCTCCTCTTCTGCACTCTCTTCCTGTCCATTTCTCTCATATTTCCATCTCGCAAACTGTTTCCAAATTTTTGTGGCCGCTTCGATACCGCTTGCCTTCCAAAGGAGTTTGATGACCGTGTTGGCGCTTGACTGACGCTACTCTAAACGAAAAAACCTACATGTAGAGGTAGAGTATACAATGTAGAGTACCTCATTACAACACATCATGCATCGAGCTGTCTTAAAAATCGAGCTGTTCTGAAGCCTTCAGCAATTCCGCTAGCTATGGCACAGGTTTCAAGTCCTACATGTAGAGTAGGTTATGTATTTACATCACCACGGGTCTTTTCTAATTATAGCGCCAGAGACAGATTAACGCATTTGCGCGGCTAAGCATGAGGAAGTGGGCTACGTTCCCATAATGCATATGCTCGCGAGATCGAAGAATGCTTAACGCTGACTTTGAAGGTCAAATGAGTTTCTGGTAGTTCCTGAGCACATGTAGAGTACCAGCTAACCCGAAACAGAAACCGTAATTCCCAGATTATTACATGTAGCTGGTAGATATCTATCTACATGTATGTAGGTACAAGCTGTCTCATACCCAGCATTTCAACCTCGCTAAGCTGCAAGTTACAAGGTTCAAGCTGAAGTCCCCTCATTTCTCACCTCTTGCGCGCTTATTGATGGAATTCGGAAAGATACATGTACCCTACAATACGCTTGCATACATGGATTTACATGTACCGTATATATGGTGGACTTGATGCCCCATGATTTAAACTTTCATTCCATTAAGCTTGATTAAAGGGCTGAGTTAGCCCCTCCTTCCCGATATATACATATATCTTTGTACATGTATTTGCTTGTACTTGTATGATCGACTTCCCCAATGCTCACACCAAAGATACCATATGTATATAGCTATCTCGGGAGGGCCAATACGGCCGAGCCTCTCGCCACGGCCAACTGGCGGCCTTTGACTCTTCGCACTCCATTCTTGTGCACCTTCATCACCATATGCATTATCTTGCTCATGCTGGTCGAGCTCACGATCAAATCTTGTCTACCGCCCCAGGGGTGTCCAATAATTGGAGAGCCCTCCCCCACGATGATATCAAACACTGCGGCTTTCGTGTACAACTATCTTCCCCCAGCAATCACCATCACCCTTGGGCTTCTATGGGCTACTGTCCACCATGACTACATGCGTATGGAGCCATGGTTCCAGTTGAGCAAGGAAGAGGGTGCAACGGCGGAACAGTCTTTATGGCTCAAGTACCCATACACATTTCCTCCGTTTGTAGCCATCAAGGCTGGCAAGGCACGGTATGTAGGCCTAGGAAGATCGAGAGCCCACCCACACAACGTAATATGGAAACTCTTCTTACAAACTATAACCGCAGGCACTACACGGTCATGATTTCTTCAATCGCCTCCCTATGTATTTCGATGTTTCTCACGCCAGTGACCTCTGGAATTCTCGAAGAATCACCCCTACACAAGCATGTTACCCGTGAGGCGAACTATTCCTATCTTCCATGGTTGGAGCCACAGATGGCCAGTAATGAGAAACTACCGTTGGGTTATGTATACATTGCGTACGCATACTCCTGGCTCAATGGCTCGTTACCCCCATTCACCACTGCCGATTATGCGGTTGCTCCCTTCACGATTAAGGGCAACAGAACGTCATATGGGCAGAACGAGACCTGGACCGGCGAGACCTTCATCTACGAGGCCGATATTGAGTGCGAACAGGTGATACCGGTTCTGCAAGTCCCGAGCCCTGATGATCCCATGTATGACAACGGGCAGCCGAAACCAGTATATAATTTACCAGTGTGGACGGCACTTTTGACTACGGGCGGGATATGTACTTCGCCAGCTTGCGCGAGTCTTGGATCTGGACCTATGGTGTTCAATTAGCCAACAACCAATTACCCAACAACCCGTCCTTAACCAAGCGGGAGTGGATATTCTCCTGGGGATCAAGGGATGATCCAGGCGGAAACTACAGCGCAACCATCTGTTCGCCAAAAATTCACATGGAACGTGTGAACGCCACAGTCCGTATGCCTTCCGGAAAGGTGGAATCTATATTGAGACTTCCGGAGCCGTATAGAGCCGCTACACGGACTGATATCCAAAGCTCGCCCTGGCTTGATGCCTTGTTTCTGAACATGAGCATGGATGAGGCTATCCAGGATGTAGAGGAGATGAATAGACCGTACGGAGCCCTTCCGATCTTATTTCCGAGCGGAGAGTACCAATCGGACCGGCACTTTGGGTATAGCAAGGGTAAAAAAACGGCAGAAAACTTCGACCCCTTTGTCAGTACGATTGATTTTGGTGATCATGTCGGCTTCCTGGGGCTTTCTTTGAGCGACCAACGCAACGATACACTGCCGGATCTGCTTCAATGGGAGAATCTCGCGGAAAGGAGTCGGAAGATCTTCAAGGTCATATTTAGCACTATGTGTGCCGACAAACGCTTGAGTAATCATAAGGAGGAAGCACCAACAACGGTGTTGAGTCGTTTTATAGTACGAGGATATCAAGTGAACGTTGCTTGGGGTAGAGCGGCACAGGGCGCTCTCTCGTTCGTAATATTCTCCGTACTCATCCTCCTTCCCTTGGGCTGGAATCGGAAATGTTGCCTGGATGGAGAGCCAAATGCTTTAGCAGCAAATCTGGCCTTACTGGAGAGAAGTCCAAAAATCGTGGAGCAGTTCCAGCACGGAGAGTACCACTCCCCGAAAAGCTTGAAAAGCAAGCTCCTAGGAAACGGAAGCATTTATCATCTGCGTCACACAGAGGGGGAGGGCCCCCGGATTGATGTGGATACTGTGGTACAGTTAGCATCACCAGCGGAACAGGACAAGCCTTACAGAATGCGCGAAGTCTGGCCCACGAGTGGGGTCTCTGGGCTTAGCTTCGAATTCGTTTTCCTAATCATAACTGCTCTTCTGATTTCCATCTATGCTTATGATTGTAAGCACAATGGTATGTACAAACAGAATCCTCAGAGATATGTTCTGCGCAGAGTTAGTAATAATAGTTTTCAGGAATCCCCACAATCTATGCTCTCAACTCTCTCAACTATAAGATCCTCTTTTCCTACCTTCCGACCGTCCTAGGTCTTGTCATGGAACCCTTTCTCGTAACGCTTGGGAGCTATCATTGCATGTTTGGCCCATACAAGATGCTTCGTCGAGGAGCTAATAGCCGTCGGACGCTCTGTCTTGATTTTGACAAGTCACCACCCCACTTCCAAATACTTCGCTCCCTCAGGTCCAGGAACTTCACCCTGGCTGCCCTATGTTTCGCAATTCTTCTCTCAAACGTTTTTGGAAGCGCTTTGAGCGGCATGTTCTCTTCCAGTATAGCGTATACCACCTACAATCTGCAAGGAAAGTCGTATGGAACACCCATCCTTCTCGAGGGCTTTGCCGCACAGGAGTTCGAGATGTACTCTAGAATTTCCACCGAGCTGATGAGCGGGCTCTCTATTCCAAGTTGGACAACTTCGGAGTACTATTTACTACCAGTGAGCCTTGACCTCCCGGCGACGGCAACCAATATATCTATACCCACGTTAGGACTCGGAGCATCTGTTTCCTGCACACTCATTCCGGATTTCATGGTAACGCGTCAATGCATGCAACCCGCTCCAGAAGAAAACCCCAGTAGCGAAACGTGGGTACTCGTAGGACAGCCGCCCTGCAATAAGAGTGAAAGTTCGGAGTTGTGGAAATACGAAAGCCAGGACTCTTGCTGGCCACAGGAGCGGCCAAAAGGGGATGAATATCAGAGCATATTCAAGTCCCCTACATGCGCAGACACGTACTTCGTTTTCTGGAGGGAAAAGGAGGGAGATGGAAACGTTGCGATGCGCTGCAAGATTACTGAGAGAGTTGCGGAAATGGTTGTGACGGTTGATTCGAAGGGCCTGGTTCTTGGGACTAAGGAAGTTGCCCAATTCACCCAAAGAGAGATCGCCGCGCTTTACGCAGAAGAAAGTCGATATGTCCCATCCCGCCGCATACTGCCAAAATTACTCAACCCAATCACTGGCCCTACCAGCTCCAGTGCTGGAGGAGTAAGCAATTCATGGATCAACTATCTCATGAGCACGAATTACCCATCACTAAGCAATAATACTGACACCGGATACTTCAATCTTCCAGACAAAGCCTACGTCGTTGAAGCCTTCGAGGCTGTTTTCAAACAAATCTACTCTATGAACATCTGTTACCAAGCGTCCGATATGATCTCTGTTGCGCCAGGTTCACCTCGAGATGTCACTGCAACGGTCACTGCCGTTCGCGATGTTGTCACGGTCAGCACAATCATGTTTGGCCTTGCCATCGGTATACTACTCTATACGATTTTCCTCCTCCCAGTCATCTACCGGAGACATTCGTCGGCTATGCTTCCGCATCTGCCCGTGAACTTGGCGCAGACATGGACAGCGCTCTACAGAAGCGAGGCGAAATTTGAATGCGGCATGGTTCGAGGGAGTAACCCTAAGGAGCGAGCAAGACAACTAGGAGAACTAGGGCACATCTATGAATATGGAACCTTTACCGATGCTGACGGTAAAGCGTCGTATGGTGTCTTCTGTAAACGCAAAGACGAGAGTGATTGAGGATGTCTTATGATGAATTATGACGAGAAGATCGCTAGATTATAATTATTTATATATAGGTCAGTATCATTAAATTTTTGATGGAATTTTGGTAATAGGTAATTAAATGTATATGAACTTGAGGGGGTGTGGAAATACCAATACGGAGTTTAAGGATAGGTCTAGAGACCCGATGGGAGTACTTTTTGTAGGACTTCTTAAAGGAGTGTATACAGATCTGGATTATAGTTTAGATTACGGTCATCACTAAGATAGAATATATGAACCCTGTGCAGAATCATTGCTTACGGTGGACTATGTATGGAGATTGTGCTGCTTATCCAAACGATAAATGGAATATCGTGTTAATGCCCGTCGATCACGAGTGATATTCTATGAAACTAGGCTCAATACGACTTTGACAAGCGTTTGCATTTGAGTTCCAACAACTCTTTCTATATCATCTTGCTAGATATGTAAGTAAAGTTATTCTATATTCGTACTGTTGGTCTATACTTCCCTGTTATAAGGCCAGTGATAGAAACAGTGAAGTATTTGGACGTACTAATATAATCCGAGAACCACAAGTTGGTCGTTTCTTTTATTACCGGTGATACTAGAAACCAGAATAGTATACTATCAACACATCCTCCCCCACTTGGCTTTTGTTCCAAGCCGAGTGATCATCCATGAAATCAGACATTGCCCGTCACCAACAGTCACTCGATGCCGCCCCCAGATCGGGCTACCCAGTTCGGCTCGTCGTGACTGACCGTGACATTGGCCTCATACACCTAAGAGCACAACAAAAGGCTCCGATAACTAATCCAGTGATAGGCCACGTGCAGTGTACAATAACGTTACAATTGTGAAAGCCACCTATTCCTCGGCCCGAGCTAGGTCCATTACCGTATGAGAAGTAGTGATGGGCACGGGACAAGACCAGGTCCGGAGGTATCTAGATAAGTCTCGAGACATTTTTGAATTTTTTTTCCTCACCTAAATAAATACTCCAGCCCCAGCTCAAAAATGAGATGAAGAAAATAAAGAAAATCTTGACCTTTATTTGCATTTATTTGCATTAATTAGCATAATTGCAGAGCTTTCCCAGCCATGAAAAGTCTCGAGACTTTGACGAGACTAACCCATTGTCTCGAGACTTTCAAAAGAATCTAAGACGAGACAAGATTTGGGGAAGTCTCGTCTCGTCTCGTCTCGTCTCGTGCCCATCACTAATCAGAAGATTTGATCCATCGGCGATGGCCGACCGACGTTCTAGTGGCTGGAAAACATATGTGGGATATATTAACTCGGTACGAAAAGAGTAGAAATATCCCGCGTACAGAGAAACCTATCAAAATTCTACCCTCTCGAAATTCCATCCCTACAAAACTTCCAGCGGTTGGAGAGAACGATACCTGTAGTTTGCTAACAAATACCTCTCTAAATTCCATCACTACGATAATTCTAGCAAAATTCGGCCACCACGGGGGTGGAATTCTGATAGGTTTTACTGTATTTCCTTCCACCTGAGAAGAATTTCGAAACCGGTACTCACAGATAGGTATGATGTCGATGACAACAGCCATCACAGCTAACATATATACTACTCTAATCAAGTGAAGGAGAGAAATATCATCCCTGTAAGTTAACTCAATGGAATGAAGACTAGGAATATGTTTGTGTATCTACCTTGCACCTTGGCTTTGCTGGGCTGTGTGAGGGCAATCACTTTCGTAGAAAGAGGGTTACGGGTCCTTTCATGTACTCCGGGTTCTCTGAGTACAGAAACTTATAAATGGCAAAAACGAGTCTGAAAAGACTCATAAGCCAACGCCAGTGAAGTTAAGTCTGCATCGTGGGTCACAACTCCACGCGGGATTATATCATGTAGCATTAGTCCCGGCCGTTTACATACTTGGCTAATACTAGCTCCCCCACTCTTCTCGGATGTCATTTCAATCGTATGATCGAGAGAAGCCGAGAGAAAAGTTTTTACGCACTCCCCCTAAAGACAATGCCTATTACCCCAATCCCAAAACCGCGAAAGTCAACTGCGCTAAATTCAAGAAATCCATCCACAGACCTTACCAAGCAAGGTGCGCATAAACCATTAATTCCTAAAGAAATTCAGCCCTCTTCCCGCGAAGTAGCTCCACAAAGCTTGTTTTAAAACCAACCATTCGGCCGCCAATCTGGTCTAGATCTTCTATTGAAGTGTCAATGCGGATTCTGCCAGCGCTCGAATTCCCGGCCGCGGGCAGCTAAACCCCCATCGAATACGGACGGTTCACGTGGTATTTTTGTTTCCTTCGCAGTCAGTCAGATGATATTTAATCTAAACTCTTACTACGGAATACGGGACAATCTCGTCATTAACCTTTGCGTGATTCATGTGGGATATTGACATTGTAAACCTCTCAAGCTTCCCATACATGTGTGCTGCCAGCCAATTCGTGAAGTAACTGAGTCTCTTGTGAGTAAATATATCGACAATTGGCTGAGAAATGTGCTAGTCCAAGAACCGTTTTCAAGTAACATCCCCTACCAGTCTGGTATTCGGTCCATATGTAGTGATGGGGGTGAGCCTGAGACTTCTCGGGAAACCCATGAGGCTTTTGGTCTCGAGAATTGAGAGAAAAGTCTCAAGACGTCTCGAGACAGTGTGAACTAGGATAAGCGAGGCAATACTAGTATATTTAAGGAAATAAGTGGGCCATTCTGATGAGAACACTCTCATAAAATTGTCTGTTATCATGCAATAAACGGTCAGAAAATGAAGAGAACCTGGCGGAATGTTGATCCCAAGTACCAACCCTTTTCCTATCAATTTCCACTGCTTCTAAAGCTAGACTTGCCTGTTATTCTTACCATTGAAGTCTTTATGGCGGCGTATATTCGATACCAGGTTGGATTAATATAGTTGCAACATTCTCATGAGCTCATGAGAACGGGCTCATCATTGCTGAGAAATCTCACAAGTGGTAGTCTCGAGCACCCTCACCCCCATCACTATCCATATGTATTTTCCGGACTCAATTCCGTGGGCAGCAGGGTACTACATGTACTTGTATGTTAAACCTTCTTTTTTCAATACTAATCTCTTCGGCTCCTCCGGCTAGCGGGTATCAAGGATTTATATAAAGCCTTTTCCACCGGACCGCCCATTGTGTGCAGTACTTGGCCACTGATCTCATCTTGAAGAAGCTACTCTAGCTCCAGCGCCGCAGCACAGATCTTTCTACGTATGTACTCGAGTAGCGCACCACAGAGATAAACTACAGTGGGGTACTGTATTGGCTAATGCTGAAGTGATCTTTTTTTTTTTTTTTTTTTTTTAAATCATGTAGTTTTAATTGATTCTAGGTACAAAACTCTGCATGCAGTCAAAGACTATGGCATAAAAATACCTCTCCCCGGCGAACAACAAAATGTCACAACCCCAGATGAACAAAGGAAATGTAAGGAAAAGTAACTGCGTACTCGTACTGGTTGACTAATGGCTAGGAAACAACGAACTTTGGCGGTCCATATCCGACATAAGAAATTCTTCCTGCTGGTTTTAAATAACCTGTTGCCCTTTTGAGGGTCTTGGGTGTGCGGTGTTCCCCCTTATGGTGGTGGTGGGGAGGGGTTTGCGGTGGCTAGGTGGTGGAGGGGGGGGAGCTGAGGGAGCTTGATGTCTCAGATCCGGAAAGTAGTGGGGAGATGTGCTCCTTTCTGGGGTAATTCGTCTTGGTGGCGGTGATGAAGGCTGCTAGGGCCAGAGTGTTTGCGTGGTTATTCCAGATCTCCTCGAGGGTGTTTATCCCTGTGAGGAATTGGGAGCGTTGGGTTGCTTTTGTTCGGCATGTGAAAATAGCGTGTTCGGTGGTTTCGGGGCCCTCGCCACATCTGTCACATGTGTCGGAGAGGTGGAGGTTGAGCCATGATTTGTGACCTCTAAGGTAGCTTTTTTGGGCTCTCATCTGGTGGATTCGAGTGGCCGTGAATTTTTGTAGGTCCATGAAGTGTTCAGGGCTTGTGGTGAGAGGGTAGGAGTAGTAGGGGGGGGTTGGGAAGTCGTTGGCCCAATTGCTTAGCATCTGGTCTTTTGCTTGTTTTGGGAGGAGCTTGTGGTTGGTTCCTCTTGCGATCGGATGTCGGAGAAGGGAACAGAGATGTTCAATGGGGAGGTAGTTTACTCCTTTTGTTGCCGTCGAGTTCCACTTCTTAGGTGGGTTGGGGCGGCCGCGTAGGAGGCGGGTGTGGGAGGGGACCCTGTCGGGTGTCAGGGTAGGGAAAGAGGGGTCGCAGCGTCCTGTCACAGGGTTGTTGAGGGGGTGGGCGAGTAGAACGCGGATGGCGAACTTCGTTTTCAGGTAGTGGATGTAGTTGATGAGGGGGGACAGTGGGCCTCTGCGCAGAGGACCCGACGGTTGGTTGCTCTGAAGCAGCCGGTGGCCCATCTGAGCACTGAGTACCAGAATTTATTCATGGCCTTGATGGAGCTGGTGGGGGTGAGGACGAACGCCCCGTATGTGAGCATCGGGCGGATAGCGAGTAGGGCGATTTTCCTACAATTAGATGAGGAGAGGCCCTTGCCGGCAGAGGAGAATCTCTGGAGGACTCCGAAGCTGGCTTGGGCGGAGGCTAGGCGGCGGATGAAGTGGGTGTTTGGGTTGAAGTTGGGGGACAGCCAGAAGCCGACCCATCTGACTTGGTGGCCTGGGTGGAAGATCTGATTGTCGAGGGTGATGGGGAGAGTGCAGACTGGTGCCTTGTTTTTGGGGGTTCGCCAGTGCATGAGCTCAGTTTTGGGGATCGAGAAGGTAGTGTTCTGGGCGGCCGTGATGGTTGTGACCGCCTTGAAGTGTTCTTCGAGGATGTGGATGTTTTGTTGGTAGCTGGGGGAGCCCACGGTTATTGCGAAGTCGTCGACGTAGGATAAGGTGAGCCCTGGGGAGGGGTCGTGTAGATGTAGGATGTTCATGTATATGACAAAGAGTAGGGGTGAGATGGGGGAGCCTTGGGGGACGCCGACTTGGACGGGAGTTGGGATTCTTGGGGAACCCTTGTAGAGGAGGGTAATATGCCTGTCGGAGAGGAACGATAGGACCCAGTGGTTCGAGATTAGCTGTATGGAGGGGAGTCGAACAGATTGATAGCTGTGCTTCTTGGCTTGCCCGTCTGCTGTTCAGCGCGCCGAGATGAACTGCTCCTGGCTCGATCCCGCTAAGTAGGTGTATAGCTTTGCGAGCCTCTCCGCCTCGAGTTCTTCGTCCCCGTGCCTCCCACTCTTCTGCGTATGTTCGTCTATGGAAGACCTCAGAGTCGGACAGACCCGCTTCTCAGGCTCTGCTGGCGTTTGCTCTTCATGGCGCGTTTGGTTTCATAGAGTGGAGGGGTGGCACCACCTGGCCCAGACGAGCGTCTGGACTCGTGCGTCTGCTTGCTTCCTGTCCTGGATGCGAGGGGCTCGCGGGCTTTATACTCACTGCATCCAAATCGATGGCATTTGTTGCTAACACTTGATTTCATAGGGCCGGGACTCGACCGCGTCGCGCCCGAGAATGCTTGCCGGTTTGAGCCGAGTTAAGAAGAAGAAGCAGAATGCGCTCTTCTGTTAACATTTATAAGGCACCCGTAGTAGAACACAAAATTTACTAGTCCTCAGGAGGGAACTTTTATCTTGAATGAGGGTTTGGAGAGTAGCCACGATTTATTTCGTGGTTATGGATTGCGGTGGCGAGCCAAGTGGTGTAGTCAGATGCTCTATGTTCGTGTGGAAGCTCTCTCTCTCGAGTGTACTCCAGAGTCATCTGTGTCTTTTGAAGGGTTTGTGAAGTGAGGTGCGAAGTACGGAATATGGCTCCGGATGATTTCTTATTGTTGAATTTGGTTGATGAGTTTGAGATGAGTACTTGGGGAGGGAGGCCCTTGCATGGATGTGGAGGTTGGGTCACTGATGATATTTTGCCGTGCCTTGGTCGCACACTAGTGTGTTAGGATGGTTTCTCGGATAGCCCGAGTGGGTGAGGAGAGCCTCGACACCCCCGTCTCGGACTGGTGCGTGTGGCTGCCCGAAGGCGCGTGCTGCTTCAATATAACGCTCTTAACCTTCTCCTTATTCCAAGGAGTGTGGTTCCGCCTATAAGTGAGATGTCGATGGAGACGTGACGAGAGAAGTTCAGGAGTTTGTGTGTGGGCGGAGTATCGACAGGGCCGCGGTTTATTCAGAGAACTCGTGATGTTTTGAAGAGAGCGTCCAGAAATTGACTCTCTCTCTCAGCCTCAGAAAAAGTATAACACAGCCGTCGATTCTCTGTGAGTAGGGTATAGGTTCTAGGCATGGGAGTCGAGGACACCCGTTCGGTGCACCGGTGCCGTGTGTGTGGGCTCGTCCACAATAGATGCTCTGTAAGAAGAGTTGCCGGAAACGATGCTCATGCGCATTGCTCCTATTTGACGTTTCAGAGCTTAGATGAACCCTTCCTGAGTACCCATACTCTCGAGCTGTTTTCCCTGTAGGCCCATCTAATGTTAACCTCTGCGTATATAGTGCAATTACCGTGTAATGCGAACCAGTTCTTTCTCTATGGTGAGCTTGTGCGATCCTTTTCTTGTTATTCAGTATAGCTCTGGTTTCAAGTTATTGAGCGCTCTGGACTTATCCACATCAGCTTAGTGATAGTCTTCCTGCGTGAAGGGGGGCTGGGCGCATTCCTGTGGTAATCGTAAAGTCAGTTCCCAGTACCGCTCGCGCCAGAAGGCGGTGCGCTACGACCGTCGACTTAGTAGCCTTGTGAGGACTGGCCGCAGTTAGATGGTGTGAGTGATTGTCATCCTTATCCATGTAATTTTCCAACCAGTCTTTGCCATGTGCCCAGTCCTAAGATATTACCACACCCGGCTATCCACCAATCAGATCTCTCCAGTCGACTTCGTTATGAGTCACCAGGGAGAGCAACCTTCCTCCACTTGATGCGTGCCCTCACAGAGGTCTCTGCGCAGGCTGGGTGTGGAGCTGCAACCCTCTAGGTCTTTACCTCTGTCATTACGACGCTCTAATGCCTCTCGCATCCCAGGCGGCATCTGCGGAGCTCGTGTTGGTCGCATCCGCTCCAACGTCTGGAACTAGGTGCACCTTCGCTGTACATTCCCTGCGCGCCATGCCGCGGTCCTTCGTAGCCCTCTTTCTCGCAGCGCTGAGACTTAAATACTCCAACATTGGCAAGAAGCCAAATGTCTTGCCTATCGGGCTGACCTCAAGCTGTGTTCGGGGCCCTCCCTGCCCGCCCGCCGTGACGTGTCGCAACGCCATCATTCCACACGCTCGCCGAGTCCCCCGTACTCGAGTACGGCTGTTCCAATCGGACCAAATGGTTTGTGGTGCTGCAACAGTCCTTCGGAGGTCCCGTCCACGCCGCAAAGCTCGCGTGGGAGCTGCCGACAGTCGCCAATGCTGGTATGAAGAGGTGGCGAGTTCTCTGTGCCATGTACGCTCGAAGCATGCCATTTGCTAGCGCCGGCTACGCTCGGTTCCATGCGCTACCTCGTTTGCCATTCTTTCTGATGGGTCGCAGGAGACGAAGTGGCGGCGGCTGGAGTGACTGGGTGAGGAGGCTTATGCCAGGCTTGGGTCGGGGTAAAGGTTCTGAGGAGTGAAAAATGTTGTTGGTCTGTGGCGGTGTGAGTGAATGGACCTTGAGTGAGCGGCAGTTCCCCTTCGAGAAGTTCCTGGCGATGGGTCGCTTGCGGGGGAGGGTGTGTATGTAGGGTGAAAGTTGTCCTAAATGACGCGATGAGGGGGTCTTAGGGGGTATTGGGTGAAGGATTTCAGTCGGGGGTTGAATCGAGGGTCCTTCAGGGTTGCGTGCGGTGTTAGAGGGAGCGTCTCTTATAGATGTTGGTTATCGTGAGGGTGGAGTGGGAGTTGAGGGAGGTTGGCAGGAACAGGTTAATTGAGATAAGGTCCCCTCTGTGAGAGGGGGTGTAACGGAGCCATTTCAACTGTCTGGTGTATGAGTACACACAGGGCCCGGTTACATGCTGAGAGTTATTGTTAGAAGCCAGTTGCACAGTGATATGCCAAGTACGGCAGTGTGGTTAGCTACCAGCTGTCAGAGATAACTACATTCTGAGCGCTAGGAAGAGATTACTCATGGGAGCAATGACTGGACGAGTCTGTGCCTCGCCCAATGATTAGAAGGCTAGCCAGAGTGAAGCTCTGACTGCTCAGCGATCTCCACATCCTCTGAGCATTGGAAGTCCGCATTGGGAAGAGACTATGCCTGGAAGTCTCAATAAGCGGAAGCTCTACAGCAATGATTAAGCTTACACCTAGCGGCAGCTCATTCATGCAGGCTTAGTTGTGTGGCAACAGGCTGCAGGTGTTACAAAGGCTTTGACTAAGGGTGTTGCCTTCCAGCGAATCGAGGTGGAAAGTACATCAGGAGTTGTGGTACGCTGATAGAGGAGGGTCGGGTGAAGGGCTATAATGGCCTTTCGGGCGCGGGCGCGGGGAAGACAAGGAAGGAGTTCTTGGAGGAGTTGGGCAGGCAGAATGAGCTTTAGTGCTCTGTCCGACCCTGTCTTCCTCTGTCCCCTTTCCGCTTTTCTCTGCCCTGCTCTGTCGCGAGGATAGATGCAGGATGTACAAGTATACGTATAGGCCAGCAGCTCTCAGTACATGCAATTAATATCCACAATTAGATAGCACTTTAAAGAATAAAGAATCCCTAAATTTCAGCGCCAGTCGTGCAGTTGGTTATGTCGCGCTGTGTGTGGATAGAGTACCGGGGTGTTTTTAGGTAGAAATGCATAAGGTCTCCGCCACTGGGATAACAAGGCTCTACCGGCCGCTTTGTATCTGCATCAATTATAGAACAATATAGCGGCAGCGGTATAGTTAGGAAGCAAAAAAAGGGGCCCGGTTGTAAAGTCACTAGGTTAATATAACTCATGAAATATCACTCGGTCCCCGTGGCCGTATCTCGGGTTGCCCGGTGTGTGTCGGAGGTTCGACGGTGGAATCATGGATTATGACTCGGTGTAGTGCGCTTACTAATTCGGCAGGCGGGTGCGGGTTACTTAGTAGGTAGTCCAGGTCAATCCTTGCTGTGGCAGTTAGAGGAGATACATGTATCTAGTTCACACCTGGTATGTCTAACTCAGCTTTTTACTTTCATGCCGACGTGTCGCAAGGGCTTCCCCGCTGCGCACGGATAAGTGGAACACCAAAAAAAAAGTTTATCGTTACTACAGAAAACGATGAACTCGATAATGATCGCACCAGGGGTCGAACCTGGAATCTCTTGATTTCGGATATGAATCGTAGTCAAGCGCCTTGCCATTGGGCCATGCGACCGTGTGTGACAGCTGCTAAACAATTTTTATAAGCAAGCAAACAAATTATCTACTAGCGCGGAATTGGACTTACTAATTACTAACGGAGAATGCCGCCGGTAGAACTGCTGGGAACTGAGTGACACTTGTAAAGAGATGTGAGGGACTTTGCCCGTCGCTGGAAGAGACCCGGGCGAGTGCTGTCGTGTGAAGGATATAAGATGTATGCAGGATAAATGTATTAATAACTGTTGCTGTCACGTGGCAGGGTGTCCTCGCTTGAGCTGTCTCTGTCTTTCTTTCCTTCTGTCTACAGAAACACTCAGTGAAACACACAGCTCTCTCTCACAGACATTCTCTCACACTCACTGTCTTCACTGCTGTCACTCAGCTGTCACTCTCCCACTCTCCTGAATCTCTTCATCTGTCACTGTGAATGCAGAGACATCTCCTCGCCCCGGAAAGTCCCAAGCGCGTTCCAGCTATTCCTGTAGACGCGCGCCCTGCAGCAGTTGGCTGCTTCTGAAACTTGGCCTCAACCAGGATCGGGTTTGGGAGCCTCACCCAACAAGACAGATATCACAACTGTGCCTTACCTCGACTTTGTTTGCTCTCGACTCGCAACCCCCCCCCCCCCCTCCTTCTCCCACAACTCACCCTCTCCTCCACGAAACCGCACTCCTCACAGAAGCCATAAATAAACTATGGTTCGGGGCGCCCTCGTGCTCCTTGCTGCAGCCTCTGCGGCTACTACCGTCAACGGCCTCTTCAGCGTCAATGATGACATCCTAGCTTTCCCGCAGGTAAGCTCGCTGTCGGAGCTCCCCCTCCCCCCTCTCTGCTGCCCGCACAAGTGTCACTAACCTGTTTCCACCCCAGTACGAGATCCAATTCCCGCAGGAGCCCATCCCCGCCTCGGAAGCATCCGCCCTCCTCGCGCAGGCCCCCACCTCCTCCGCCTCCCCCGACTCCACCACCACCCCCAACGACGCCGCAACCTCCTCCGAGTCCTACGAAGCGCTCTGGCTCAACAACCGGCAGTACCTATGCTCCGTTCCCGTCGTGCAGGCGCCGCCGGCCCTTAACGCAACCGAGAAGGAGCTCTCCCGCGCTGCGGAGGAGAAGGAGCTTGCACGGGCGACTACGCGCGGGTGGGAGCTGCTCAGTGGGCTCGAGGGGGAGTGTCTATATTTTGTGTCGGGATGGTGGTCGTACTCGTATTGCCATAACCGCGAGGTCAGACAGTTCCACCAGAAGGCGCCGACCGCCGGGAATAATGCGCAGTGGCCGCCGGCGGAGGATCCAATGACGCCGAGTTATGTCCTGGGAATGGTAACTCCGGAACAGAGGGAGAGAGAGAAGGGCAAGGGTGCCGGGACAGAGCTGCAGGCGACGGGGGAGCTGCGCTTTTTGGTGCAGAAATTGGGTGGTGGGACGACATGTGATTTGACGAGGAAGGAGAGGAAGATTGAGATCCAGGTGAGTCTTGGTATTCGGGTTAGTTTGGGTACATGGATGTGACTTACTGACGCCATAGGTGTAGTTTCACTGCTCGACAAAAGGAACCCACGACCGTATCGGCTGGATCAAGGAAATCTCCATCTGCTGCTACCTCATGGTAGTGTACACCCCGCGCCTCTGCGACGACGTCGCCTTCCTCCCGCCGCGCGAAGACCGCGCGAATGCCGTGCAGTGCAGGGAGATTATGGACCCAGAGACACTCGCCGAGTACTACGAGCAGAAGGCCGAGATCGAACGCACGGAGGCCCTAGAGCTGCTGCAGGCCGCCTTAGGACTCACCGCCGGCGAGGCCGAGGAGGGCCAGAGTAAGGTTGAGAAGAAAAAAGGAAAGAAGAAGAAGTCGGCGGTAGCGGGAGAGGGGAAGAAAAAGAAGAAGGCTACGGAGGAGGAGGAGGAGGAGGAGGAGGAGGAGGAGGAGGAGGAGAAAGTGGTGTTGGGGAAGGGTGGGGAGGGGGCGGAGGAGCATTGGCATGATGAGTTGTAGTAAGTAGTGTCGTCTCTTTCTCTTATTTATTTTTATCTTTTGCAATAGCGATTTTTTTTGCTGTCTTCCTTTTCTTGTCCCTGTTGAGTGGGGAGGGGTGGAGTGGCGTGGGGTGGAGTGTATGATAGATTAGCTGTGTAGAATGGGATGGTCCGAGTGATGAGCTGTGATTGCATGCGGACGGGCAATGACTAGGATACCGATAGCTAGCTGGGTAGCTGAGTAACTACATGTATGAGCACGTGATACTGGTGTCGTGCATGAAAATAGATATGGAAATGGCATTCCGAGAATAGGAATTATCAATTGGACCGTGGGCTCTGTCTGTTTTGTCTGTTTTGTCTTGTCTGTCTATAGAGTAGGTATTACGAATTGCGAACCATGAATTGCGAACCATCAATCGGCGAATCAAGACTACGTACAAAAAAAAAAAAACTCTCAACCATACATAATCACAAGCTACATACATACATACATTTACTGAGGTCCACTCGAGCACCCGTGTAAAAAACAGACCAACACGAACATGCGAATCGCAATGCACGCCCACGCCCACGCCCACGCCCACACCCACATACCTACTCTACCTACGCTGCACTGTTAATACATACACGAGGTTGTGAATCTGCCTGAGTGTATGTGTATATGTGTGTGAGAGTGCAGTTTCATCGGGCATCATCGTTCGCCCTACCATCGGGGTTTGCGGCGTGGGTGTGGTTTGGTTTTGGTGTCAGTGTCAGTGTCAGTGGCCCGCGGGAGCCACGGTTGTGTGCAGTTTACAGCGGGAGGAAGGGAGGGAGCGGCTGGTATGTAGAGGGGGGAGGGGGGGGTAGTGGTTTGTGGACGTACGGGCGTTGGGATTGGCTGGATGGCTGGAGCGCGGGAGTGGGAGTGGGCGCGGGAGAGAGAGGGGCGGGAGGGGCGGGAGAGGGTGTTTACGGGAGCGGGAGGGTGAGGGGGAGATGGCAGTACTTTAGTGTAGTTTACGGGCTTTGGTTTGGTAGATAGAACTGGAGTGCTCTGAGAGAGCTCTATCGTTCTGTCTTTGGTTTTTGCTTTAATTCTGTCTCGCCCTGTTTATGCCCTCAACGCTGTACTCTAGACTGTAGAGTACTGCAGCTGGCTGCGATCTACAAATGCCATGAAGGTTATGTATGCCCGGCGCCGGGCCCTCCCTCCTGCACAGAATATAGAGTATTAACCGGGAGCAGCAGCAGCAGATAGATTACCGGCCTACCTGCCTGCCTGCCGGCCTTGCATTGCCTATGCAAAGTACTCTACTCGTAGCTTTATAGCGTTTCCGAACACGACCAATATTGCATGACATACGAAAAAGCGCCAAATCCACCTTTTTATATGTCATGCAATATTGGTCGTGTTCGGAAACGCTATAAAGCTACGAGTACTCTATAGCACGTAGATCGCTTTGTTTTGTTTTGTTCATGTACGACATTTATTTATGTAGATTGTAGATTGTTTGTCTTGTTTCAACCGGGGGGGGTTTTTGTTTCACTGTACGGTACATATACTGCCCGCCGGCCGTTTGTGGGTTTTTGTGGGGAAGGGTTAATATCAATGCCTGCTCGGATCATCTCTGGTTACGCTATTACGCTATTACGCTATGTATGTACCACCCACCGTCGCTTTCTTCTTGGCGGGGATCTTTTTTCTTTTGGTTTTTAGTTTTCTGGGGAGGCTGGATAGATGGCTGGACTGACCCGAGGCGAGGAGGGAGGGAGGAAGCACGAGACGTTTTGGGGGATCCGAGGATATTGATGGCGAGGTTCGGTTCGGTTAGGTGCAATGTGAGGGTTTTTTTTAGAGGGGCGCTCGGAGGTGATCACGGTGGTGGAGGTGAGGTGAGTGGTGGACCCCGGGTATTTACGCTGGAGAGAGATCTTGTGGTACCGAAGGATGCATGGAAGGGTGGAGGAGAGGGAGAGGGAGGGGTGCGACGGAGGGAGGGAGAGAGGGGAGGGGAGGGGAGGGTGTTGTAATAATACTCTATTGTATCTGCGTGGTACATGAATGTAGTGTATGTACTCTATTCGCGGGCTGGCTGGCTGGGTGTTTCAGGGTTGGCGCATGTAATTAGGGGAGCTGTCTGTGGTTTGCCGCGGCGGACCAAAATGACTGGTGGATGGGGATGTGTTGGTGGTGATTGCGGAGGAATTGGGAAGGTATGTATCGGGGGAGAAGTATCGGGGGATTGGTGGTGTTGCGGGTGCGAGATAACTGTTGATATCGAGATGTCTTAGAAAGTGTCTCTGGGGGGGTTTACCAGGAAGTGGGCCCTCCTCCCCGCAAAGTGACAGGTAGGCGCCGTTACGAGGAGGGAGGAGTGTTACAGGTGGAGAGGAGATAGAGTATGGACTATGGAGATAAAGTAGAGTGCAACCAACCAAGCAAGGAACGGAACATACATGGATGGGGCCGGGGGAGAGCAGCGAAACAGAAACAGGCTGAGAGAGTCTTAGATACAGACAGACAGACACAAGTGACAGACGATTGACTGACTGAACTGACTGAATTAACTGAACTAACGGACGCTCAATGCCTTCAATGGGAATAGACGCTGCTCGAGTTGGCTGTGTGATCAGCTGCAGCTATGGATGAGGTTAGCATTACATGTATGCTGTGTGTGTCTAGCAGGACAGGTATGTGCTAGTATGCTGTTGTAGTAGTGACTTGACTGACAACAACTGGAAAAAGAGTCTTTCCTCTCTTCTTTCAACGTCACTTTATTCACGATATCGTCAATATACTTGCCCTTGACCGAGAGATACACCTGTCTGTCTGTCTTTCTGTCGGTGGGGTGAATAGTAATAGTAATAGCAGACAGTTGTTATTTCTCAGGACTGCTGGCTGCTGCACTATCTACACAATTATAACTCGGATTCGGACGCACTCGCATTATCTATCATTCACAATTATCTTTCTCTCTCTACTTACTGTAACCCCCCTCGTCCCTGTCACCTTCACTATCACTCTCACTCTCACACTCACTCGCCCCCCCGCCTCGCTCCTGCTTTGCTGGGTGTTGCTGTCATATTCTCACACACCCTCTCCCCGCAATAGGAAATTGCCCTTTTTTATTTTTTCTGATTTTTTTTCTCCGCTCACCAACCTCCTCGACAACACCATCACGACTCGGCCCTCACACACCACACACCCACACCCTCCCACACCCTCCACACACCCTTCTCCGCTCACACACCCATTCACGGCGCTATGATGCGAGCGTCATGCAGCAGCTCCTCATGCTGCTGCTCATTGCGCTCACGCCTTATGGCTCAGACTCAGGGCATTCGCTGCGGCAATGGTAGCCTGCGTGGCCTGGCCTCCTCGTCCTCGTCCTCTTCAGCAACGGCCTCCTCCTCCTCCCCTTCCTCCTCTACGCTAAGGACTGCCAGTGAATGGGCAAGAGTGCACCCAGTCGCAGCTGCATTGCCGGGTGGAGGAGATAATAACAGCACTACTCCCACCACCACCACCACCTGTTCAGGGGAAACACTGCCAGTGCCGCTGCAGGTTCCACCACAGCAGCGCCGGGCTAATATAATAGTGTCGCCCATCCTCTCGCAGCTCCATCCTGCTGCTTCCTCTTACTCTATAGCTGCAAAATCGTCCTTGCTCTCGGAAAAGTGGTTTGCCTCTACTGCTGCATACATGTCTCCGTCTATTGCAAACCCGCTGGTTGTTTCTCCTACGCCCATACGGCCGTTCTCGACCATGGGGAACTCGAGGTTTAATACTTCTGCGCCGGTGCTTAATAGTGCCACCAATACCGCAACCACAGCTACTACCACTAGTACTACTGCTGTACCGGCTGCTGCTGCTACACCGCAGCAGCAAAAGTTCACATACCACATCTCGGCATCCTTCGCCGCGAAGCAGAAGCGCTTCAGTCCAACGACAAACATATTCAACTTCAACCCCTACAACCGCGTTCAGGACTCCGCGCGCCGAAAGTCACGCCCGGACGCGGGACAAGATGCCTTCTTTGTCTCACGGATTAACGATAGTGGCGCCGTCGCCGCGGGAGTGGTAGGTCCCCCTTGCCTGCCTTGTGTCACTTTGTGGGGGGGGGGGGGGCAGTTTTGAAGGGGTCCGTGGGCTAACTAAACAAGGCGGATGGCGTGGGCGGGTATGCCGAGTCCGGGATCGACTCTGCAGACTTCTCACACACTTTCTGCGAGCGCATGGCTACGGCCGCGCACCAAGCGACCGCCGAAAGCGTCAGCGCAAAACAACTTATCGAGACGGGATACCGCCGCATCCTGGACGAGGACGCAATCGCGGGCGGCGCAAGCACGGCCTGTGTCGGCGTCGCGAAACCGGATGGACAGCTCAATGTCGCAAAGTAAGACCCCCACACCCTCCCCCCCACACACACATAGTTGTTGTGAGACCCATTGCTGACGCAGATGTGCGCCCTCACCTCAGCCTTGGTGACTCTGGCTTCCTAATCATCCGCCAAGGAAAGATCCACTATGCATCCGCCCCGCAGACCCACGACTTCAACACACCCTACCAGCTCGCAATGATCCCAAAGAAGCTCCTCGCCCAGGCGCGCCAGTTTGGTGGCGGGCCGTTCTCGGACGAGCCGGCGGACGCACAGGTCTCGACGCACTCGCTGCGCAACGGCGACGTCGTTGTCTTTGCGACGGACGGCGTCTGGGACAACCTCTCGATCCAGGACGTGCTGCGCGTCGTCACGGACGAGATGCAGATCGGCAAGGGCTGGGTCAACAGCGCCGACGTGGGCATCGTCCCGGCGCCGAACTTGGGGGGCGTGGCCGCGGAGACGGACGGAAGGGGGATACAAGCGCAGGTTGCGAGGGCAATTGCGACGAGGGCGAAGAGCGCGAGCGTCAGTACAAAGCTGGACGGCCCGTTTGCCAAGGAGGTGCAGAGGCTGTTCCCGGGGGAGAACTTCCATGGGGGGAAGAAGGACGATATATGTGTGGTTTGCATGGTGGTGGTTGAGGTATGTTTGGTTCTTGTTTAGTGTGCTTTTTTGTTTTGGAGTTGGCGGTTTGATACTGATTGTTTGTGGGGGTGGGTAGACAAAGGGCTCGACGGCACCGAAGTTGTAGAATATGTATTTTTTGGACTTTCCCGATTTTTTTGTATCTCTCTTTTTATTACTATTATCATGCTGCATTTGGGTATATAGACGGGCATCTTCTTTTTCAATGGCTTGTTGTTCCTTCTTACTACCTCTTACCTCTTAACCATCACAACCTACCACCTATCATCTACTCGGCGCCCTACACCGCACCGCGCCGGACATAACACAGATCACAACATAACACAGGACGTTGAGGAGGCGCGGAGCTATCTATATACCCACCCTTCCCTTCTCTCCACCTCCTTCCGTCCTTCACAACAACACTGTCTCCTTTTTTATATATATATATATACTAGTTTATCTCTTTTGTTTTTCTGTCACGCCCCAAAAAGTGGGTTCGGGGGTTACTCTTTTTTTCTGCGCTTTCTATGGTTACGCTTCTTTCTGTTCAATGCGTTACGAAAAATCCATGTCATGAATTTTCCTTTGGGAACGGGAGGCCGGGCGCGCGGGTATGGGATGGGATTGTATTAGTAGCGGGGGTCGGGTCGGGAGTGCGAGGGATGAGCTGTAACAAAAATTACTACTGCTACTGCTATGGATGGATAGCTAAATAAGTAGTGTTCGGTCATGATTATAGACGGCGATCGGGTGAAGAGTGAATTGCGACAATTCTTCATAACTCTCTCTACCTTGATTGACCGCTTGATTAATATCATTCATTCTCACCTCCAGATCCTAAACAAAAAACAAAACAACAAACACAAAAAAAAAAATTTCCATGCGAAACTACATTTGTTGAAACCTGAACGAACGAACGATGACGCTGGCGCCGCTCGCTGTATGCAATGCAATGCTTTTGCTTTTGCTTTTTTTTTTTACCTCTTTTCTTTTCATCTTCAGATGACCCCACCCACCTTTTCCCTTCGGTTTGTTGACGTTATGATTTTTGCTTTTTTGGGGGGGCTTTTTTTTGCGCGGTGAGGGTTACGTTGTATCATGTGGTGGTGGTGGGTTTGCTTTTTGAGGTTGGTGGTGGTGGGTGGTTGTGGTGGGGCTTGAATGGTTTGGGTTAGTGTGTAGAAGGGTGGGTGCGAGTGAGGGGTTGTGATTGTAATTTTTAGATAACGTCAATATAACACTTGCTGAGATACATGTTTGTGGTTGAAGATCATAAAATCAAATGTATGTAAGAAACCCGGTGGCCTATTCATGCCTACCACTTGCTGCCCTCGAACGCCCCCATAGATGCCATTAACTCTGACTCGGGTGATAATAGTGACTCGATGATTTCAAAAGTTTGGAGTCCAGGGCTGTCTTCTGTAGAGCGAAAGGACTCTATAGTATCATGTCAGTATCAGTACATAAGTAGGTATTTATGTATTATTTTGGGTGTCACGAGATAGTCGACATACTCGGGGGGTCTGGATCTAGATAACCGGTGCCAGAGCTATTAAACGGTGTTATTTCGGGGGTAAGCGGGGACATAGGTTTTGCCCCTATCCCATGTAATAATGTAGTTTCCAATATTGTTTCGGGCTCGCCGATCTGAACCGGAGTTTTATTTATGTATTTCTGTTCGAGTTCCTCGTTACAGTCTTGACGTTTAGTGTTACGCCCCTCACGTGAGGAACGTAGAGGGTGGGACCTGATAATTGAACAACAATAAGTAATGCGCCGAAGAGAAATATTTGATCATAGCGGCGTTATCTTACAGCAGACCTTGTTCTATAGAGCTGGACATCGGTAGGCGTTTAGGACAACCCTTCTGGTCGCTCGAAGAACCCTCAAAGCTTACACTCCAGATCCCACCCTGCTCTCCCTCTGATTTTGCATGGGGATGCTCATTTTTATGTGATGGGACCTTGCGTGAAGATATACCGGGTCTGTACCTGGGGGGGTGTTTCATTCCGTGGACCAGTTTCTGATGTTGAATTAGGTTACTCATAACACTAAACCCCCTATCCCCGCCCCTGGAACAGCCTAGAAATAAACAGGGAAACAGCTGCTTATCATGATGCGAGACCTTGGTTGCCCTCACAGATGAAGAGAGAGATTTCAGCTGCTGCTGTAGAATCATGTTCTTCTGCGCATGCTGCTGCGGCAGCATCCTGTTCACTCGCTGCAGCATCATGTGCTCTTAATGCTCAGCACCCCCGAATTCCGTATCATAAGATTCGTCGTCAGAGATGTGTTGGTGTCCAGCTTGTGTGGGTGAGTTGAATAGTATATTGGTGTTTGTACGTCTAGGACTCAGAGAATCCGGATCCAGATTGTTATCCTCTTGATTTAGTGTCCAGAACGTTGTCGACATCCCAGGGGGAGAGGATGGATGTGTGCTACGAGTTATTAAAGGATCTGCGGTGGGTATATAGGCGAGTGTTTGTGAAGTATCGGCTGTGACTGCGTTGAATGTTGGTCGAGATTGCTGCGAGCTAGGAGAGCTCTGGTTGTTCAGGACCTGAGGTATAGGGAGATTTTTGGAGATATTGCTCTCATGTTTAGCGGATTTAGTGCTTTTATTCTCTAGACTTGCCGACAATGCCATAAGAGCTATTTCATCCATATGTGTCCCAATATGAAGTTCGATGGATTCCTTAGTCTCTGGGATAACTTCACAACAAAAGGGACAGGAGATCCGGTCATTGCAAGCTTTTGATATTTTAACTTTCCGATTTTCTACAATATCGTTGATATCGGATTCGATGACTGCTCCTTCTAGATGATCCTCTAGGACGTGGCGTACAAACTCCTCCCTCTCTCCGAAAACCTTAGCACATGTATCACTACAGTGCCACTCGAAGGCATTATGTGGCCGGTGGAGTTCAAACTCGTGTGCTACCCAGTCATCTCTTCTAGCATATGTGATAGATTTCCATGGACAATAGCTGAACAGACAACTATATGGCCTGAGACTAGCCAAATCATCACGTGTTTTCTGCGCGGGCGTTTTGTTGCTAGGTATGGGGTTTAAGGTGCGGACAGGTGGAGTTGTTGGTCTTGGGGTTAAAGCTGGTGCTCCTGACGCACATTCTAGGAGGGGGTCTGTTTTTGATGAGCCCAGAGAATCCTGAGAGATGGGGCCAGAATCGCCTGTTACAGAGTCAGGGAGTATTTTTTCATATGATTTTCGATCTTTGGTCTCTTGGCCGGTGAGGATATTCTTTTCCGCGAACCTTCGGCTGCGAATTCTTTCAATTCGTTCCCAGTTTAACTCGGCCAGGGTTTCGATTAGGTGGTCGTTCATTTTTGGGAACTTGCTCCGGATAGCTATCCTATACGATTGTGTCGCAGCGCCATAAATTGGAGAAATCGGCTCAGCAGGGGTAGCTGAATCTTTTCATGTAGTTTCTCGACGAGAATATCTTCTTCTTCTTCAATTGGGAATAATTCGTCTATAGAAGGAATGAAGTCAAACAATGAATCCAATGAGTCTCCTAAGTCGCCAACGACCTCGAGTAAGTCGAATTCTGGGGGTCCACAGTCGCTATCGCTATTGCTTCTACTATCGTTGATTGACTCTTGTCCCACAAGGCTTGCAATATCTGGCATAAGCGTTTGCACTAAACCTAGTAAATCTTCTAAGTCCAGCATGGTGGGGGCTTGGATAGATTGACTTTATGGATTTCCTCATGAGTGGGTGACTCAGTGTTTCTTTTCGTCCTATCATTGCAAGTTTGTAAAAGTTCCTTTATCGATCCCTCACCACAAGTTTGGTCTATGGACTCTTCAGTCGGTACTTGTTGGATTGTTAATGCGTTATTGATATGAGCTGCTATGATGTTGGACCGGAGGCTGGGGCTTATCGGAACTCCGTATAACCCTGTTGGGGACTGAACGTTGATATTTGAGAAGTATGTATTAAGTGTTCTTGCTATACTGTATAGTAAGATAACTGTAGACTTTCTCAAGTACTTATTCTTTGTGTTTTCGAATAATATATCAAGCTTTCCCTCGGAGACAGCATAACTATCACCCCATAGTAAAAGCCGCCCTACCTCTTCTTGCAACTTCGCTCGATCCTTATCCTCGCCTACTTTATGACTGGAAGAGGGAATTGATGCTTTGTATGTAGATATACAGAAGACAAAAAGCTCCTGGATGATGTAGTACATATAATCTTGTTCGACTGCTAAACGAAACTAAGAAAGAATTAGACGCAGCACTGTATTTGTTTATATTTCTCCTCCTGTATTTTTGATATGATTCGGTAGTACCTGTTTGATTTGATCAAAATGTTGTAAAATCCTCGGAATTCGAAGATATAGAGGTGATATTGGGTAAGGCGTGATTGTATGCAGTGTGAATATATATAACGTACTCCTCAGATTTCATAGTGGCAAGTTAGAGTTATTGATCGTGAAAGTTGTGACGATAAGCTTAGTTTTAGAAAAAGGAGAAGCCTATATGACTGTCACTAACTCGCGAACCCGTAAATTGGCGGGTCTGGTTTTGAAAAGTGAGTATCAATGTCTAAAAGCGGGGCTTGATTGATATGTGGCAGCCTTGACTGGTCGAGCTGTTTTTCAGCCTCGTGCTACATAAATATGCGTGGACAAGGCGCAGTCGCGCACCAAAGGGTCTACGTAAAAAAATCGAAGATTTAACTGCAGAATCTCAGGAATAACGAATCGAACTGGGCTGGAATACCACTTACCCATTGGTCAAGACGACCAAAAGTTACGCTTTAGGTCTGTAGGATTGAGGCTCAACAAGCATTTGACCAATCCGAAGCACAATATTCCAGTCCAGTTCGATTCGTTATTCCTGAGATTTTGCGGTATATGACTGTAATATATATTTTGCTATCTTTACGACTTAGCGAGATGGTTCTCACTAGACACATCCACCCAACTGAATTCACCAGCAGCACGTATACTCATTATCATCTACTGGGAATACCGCGTACCACCTAGCATAAGTTTATTCGTCTGATAAAGGTTACAACATCAGCTACTAACAGGCTCTACCAGCTCATTTATAAGCTGATACATTGGCCATAGCCATACATCCTGTATATATTATAGCGGCTATATCAGCGAGGAAAAGCCAATTGCAATAGCTCGGGCAAATAACTAAAGGATCGATATCGATATCGGCTGGTACATACTTTCACTACAGAAATTCGGTCGGTGAGGTTACCACCCAGATCTAGGTACAACCTATTACGGTTTGAGCTAAATTTCATAACAGCTTTGAACATGGAGGTTGCGGGGGTTGTTCTCGGTGCAGTCGCGCTAGTTGGGCCAGTACATGATTTATACGACAAATGCACTACCCTTTTCGCCAACATCCGTAACTACACGAATGATTTGAGGAGATGTGGAGAGAAACTCTCCATTCAAAAGTTTGCTTTCTTGCAATCGCTCTAGCTTCTTCTTAGAAATCTTGTACAGGATGACTTGGCAGAGAGCATGGCGAAAGACAAGACTCATCAAAAGTGGAAGGATCTAAAATTCAAAGCTGACTGGGACAAAGCAATGGGCAAGTGTTTTGATGACCTTTTGGGGGGTATACATGAAACTCTGCGAGAAATTGAGGGAAAGCTCTCGAGATTACACGCAAGCGGGGCGCAAATCAAAATAGTAGATCGGTAGGCTTATATTTAATCTGCCTAAGAGAGAAGAAACCATTAACGGAAAATGATATATAGGTTTCCCGGCCATCAAATATTGTAAGCCGGGAAAAAATCACAGCTTGGACTCTAAGGACTGGCTGGGCCGTGTCCGGAAAGAAAGAAATTGAAGTCTTGATCAATACACTCCGTGTTCAAAACCAAGATCTGGGAAATCTTCAGAAGCAACAAAACTCTTTGCAAAAGATTGGGGCCAGCCCCCGGCCGCAGGCTTTTCGTTCGAAACCTCTCGATTCGAAAGCAATTTTGGCGCAGCTTCTCGCCATTTCCGAGGTTGCAAAAAGAGTTTACGACGGGTTGGCAGTAACTGCCCGGTGTTCTTGTCACCGTGTGAATTTACAGCTCCGAGGACAGCCCAAAAGTCCAAATATTCCAATGGGAAATACAAGTCCAGATCTCACTTATAATACTTCAAACCTCACCAAAAGTGCTTCGGCAGTCAACTTTTACCTTATTCTGACGAAGGAGATCGGAAATCAGAATATCAACCTGAACTCTGATGATCGCTGTGAGTGCACATGCATTACTATAAGTTCCGAGGTTCAGCAATCTCTCCCGGGGAATCCAAACCAAAAGTCTCATAGGATACCAGATCCTAAGAGGATAATTAAGTTTGGAGATATTGAAACCTCTTCTGCACGCGCCATTATAACGGTGACCGATGACAGTCAGCCTTCAAAGAAAAGGGCTATGTCAATAGATCTTGGGACCGGAAAGAAAAGATTGAAACTTGAGTTTTCCGAAACTAATCATAAAGCTCACCCCACAACGATATGTACCGCCACGGTAGATATTCAGACCAACAATATAACCCACGATATCGATGAAAATAGTGCTACACTTTCTATAACCTCCCGAGATATTATAGAAATCGATAGTCTTTGTTTACGACTTGCTAAACTCCGACCAGATGTACGGGGACGGGAGCTTCTTGGGAAAATATCAATAAACGAACGCGATCATTTAACCCGCCACTCATGTCTTATGTATCGAGAGCCTCTGGTCTCAGGCTTTACTTCTCGAACTTCACTAGAGGCAATTCTAACACGGCCCGATAAAGAATGTCTGTTACCCATTGTAGAGCGTCTCAAAATAGCCCATAGGCTATCACTCTCACTACTCTACTTCGGGCCGAGCTCTCCATCGTGGTTTCAAGAACGATGGCGAAGCCGGGATATATTTTTCTTCCTAAAGCTCCAACTTCCAGACAATGGATACACCTTGGATCCCTATGTAGTACCATGCTTTTCAGTGACAGCAAAGCCTCCTTCGATCAATGCCAATACCCCGACTACACCATTAAAAGGCATCGCATTGAATGAACAACTCTTTTCCCTTGCAATAGTGCTCATCGAAATTGCCTTTGGGGAAACGCTACTTAACATCTACGAACCCAAGGAAATTCCTAAGAAAGACGGCGATGATTTTACGGAAATCCTTAAGGCTCGAAGCATCCTGGGCTCGAATTCCCTTTTAAGAAAGATGGGACCTGTGTACTCTAATGTGATTAAGCGGTGCTTGGATTGTCGATTCGATGGGACCCTTGAGTGTGATCTCAGCAATACTGAGTTACAGAAGATATATTATGAACAGGTCGTTTGTGAGCTTGAACGTTGTCTAAAGGCAGTCCAGAAAATGCATGAGATTTAATGATGAGTGTTCGGAATATTAGGGGGTCTTCAAGGACGACGCTAATTTTTGGGTTTCTTTTTATATACTGTCACGGTCACTGTAGCTATAGCTGGGGCGTTAGTTGTCAGTGACCTCAAAGTGTCTTGGATTTTCGGGTTTTTTATCAGTATCGCGGGGATCTGTCTCGTGTTTTCGTGTTTCCATAGTTCTTTTGTCAGCGGCCAGGACTCTGGGTTTGGGGGGGGGGGGGGGCTATTAGTATTTTTGTAGCCAGAAGTGCATGTAAATGAAAAGGTGCTTTCTCTTTCATTCCAGGTCATTACCCTCTGTAAGCATCAGACAAGGAACCGGCCTGTTTCCTCCTAATTCCGTTTGAAACCGAAGGGTCTTTTAAATTTGGTTGCCTTTCTATTCTTCTAATTAACCCCGCCCCGTTAAAAAATGAAGACGTAAAACTCAAAGCATATAGCTTATCCAAAATCTTCATTTGTCAGAAATGTTATGATTGCCCAGTATTTTATTAGCAGTATCAGGAGTGCCCTGTTTTCAGAAAAAAGGATCAGGATGAAATCTTGTCCCAATTAACTAGAGTGCTCAACACAATATACCTACAGACTCGATCAAGCAAGTGTAGCTTCTCATCAAATCCATGGCGTTTCTCTACATGAAGTGGCCTTCAAATACATGCGGTGAGTTACACATGTAGAGTATAGTATGATCAGATGATCAAATCACATACTATCACTCGATTCCAATTCCCGAATTGATCCTTAGTTATTACCAAATTTTGACTATTATACACTGAAGTCTATAGGCATCCATACATTTCTATTAAGCCTATAGCTCGATATCCTCCCTGGCCCATAGCTTACAAGTCCTATCCTGCCCACTACTCACAATAAACCTATTGTCTCTGCTTACATCCACGCTCATGACGTTCCCTGAATGTGCGCTCAAATTTTTGACCAACGCCCAATCATCCGTCGAAAAGATATTGACATTCCCGTCGAACCCACTGGTGACGAAATATGTTCCCTCTGCCCTCATAACATCCGCAGCCCCCCCTTCCATCTCATCGACACCATCCGGTTTCCCAGAAAAGAATCGGACATCTGATACCAGCCCTTTGTGAGCCCCGATTGTGGCTGTACATCGTACCATACGTACGTCCCAGACCTTGACGGCTGCATCGCCGGAGGAACTAACAACACGGTACCCGTCGGGGCTCCAGGCAAGACCTGTTATTTCTCGGATATGCCCGTCAAGGACCATTATCGTGCGGCCTGTCCGAAGGTCCCACACACGACCAATGGAGTCAAGTCCGCCAGAAGCGATCAACGCACCGTCGGACTGGAAGGCAACAGAGTAGACCTCTCTACTGTGACCTTCCTGTAGGAGCAGTTCTTTTTGCGTTGTGAGATCCCATAGACGCCATGTTGTGTCAAATGAAGCTGAGGCAAGGTAGTTCCCACTCGGATGGTGTTCTACTCTAGCTACACGTGCGGAGTGTCCCGAAAGCGTAGCGATAGGAAGATCCTGTGTGAGGGACCAAAGGTGAATATTGCCTTCGCCGCCTCCGGACGCGATATTAGCGGATGATGCGTCCAGAGAAACAGTAGCCTGTGGATGCCAGGAGAGACCTCCGACACGGTCAGTATGGCCCCTAAGGAGACCTTTATCCTCCATATTTGGCACGCCGAGGAGCTTGATACTCCCGCTCCAAGACCCCGCTGCAATGATCTCGCTATTTGGAGAAAACCGTGCTATTGAGACTGCACGCTCCCCGGCCAATTGTGACCCAAGAACTTGGTACCCTGATAGCCGCTCCTTGATCGCCCGTCTGTGTTTGATATGCTTTTGTAGTGGCACCCCCGCCTCCATTCTTTGCCTCTCTACTCGCTCTTTCGCTCTCGGCAATGAGTATCCTGCCATCCATCTTCGTGCCTCCAGTAGCGCCGGTTCCCCTGGAGTGTAGAACTCCTCGTCCTCGTCCTCGTCCGCCTCAGGCGATGACACCCCACCAATCATATCTGTGTCCTCACCACCAGCCTCCCTAGATGTCCCTTCTTGTATATGGTAGAGCAGCTCCCGGAGTCGATCTCGACGATCGGCTGGACCTTCTCCGAAGAGTGTTATAGGTTCTTGGAGCTCCCGGAGTCGAGCACGTACCCGGCCGTCGTCAGTGGGGACAATAATAGCCGCGGCCTTCTTTTTGCGCTCCATTTGTGAGATGATAGCGGAGGCTTTTTCCGGGGCGACACCTGCGCGTGCCGTCGAGGGAATGTTGTAGTCGCGGTCGATTGGGACATTGTTGAGATCGAGCATATCGGAGTCCTAGCTGAATGTTAGTATGGGTTGGCAGTGGGTGCGAGGAGGAGAGGCACATCATCTTCGACATAAGCCTTCCGAGAAGGGTGAATGGCAGACATTGCTAGGGTGAGATTTTATAGGACGGGAGAGGTATTTCCGACCAGAATCGCAGCTAGGGCTACGAAATTGAAGGTGCGAGTATTGAATATTAGCTACGACTAGTAACTGGATAGAGGTGAGGTTGAATGTGGCTGAGGAGGGAGGGTAACTGCCTTACCCACGGGGTTAGACTGGTATGTCTTAGCGAGTCTAGGGGAGGCTTGAAAGTCTTGTTTTGTTACCCGGCTAAAAACCACTTGTGTTTCAGCACCCTGTTGCCCCTAGATCACCCCATGTTTCTAACTGTCTACGGTTACCCGGTTTGTAAATTATTGTCAGGGTTAGGGTCCCATTCTGGCCACCTTTCTTGTTCTCCCCTGCTCAGTGGAAATTTGGAAGGAGCATTCAGCCGCGTGTTCAGCAACAAAGAGTAAGTGAGACGACAGCTCAAATTGTGTCCAACAACTTCAGGGGAACAAAGAATCATCCTCCTCTTTTTCTTCGTATCCATCTTTCTTCAAAATAGCTTGTTGCTTTAATCAGTTTTTATAATTCAATTTTCTACTATTTCTCTACGCTTGTTGAATTATCTCTCACAACACATTTGTTCTTAACGACAGAATGTCGGACTCTCCCGTAGGGGTCCGCCAGCGCTCCTCTAAAAAAAAGTCGCCTTCATCACAGGCTGGGGTTGGCTCAGGGTCTGAAGATGAATTATTATCAAAGACGAACGCCCGGAATGTTGCCTCGGTCTCTGCGCCTACAACTTCAAAGTCGCCATCGCAGCTTGGACACAAGCTTAGTTTGGTTTTGGTGACTGTTTTAGCCTTCATCACAAGATTCTGGAAGATTAGCCACCCCAACCAGGTGGTATTTGATGAAGTGCATTTTGGAAAGGTGGGTTTCTTTAGAGGAAAGAATTGAGGAGTACAATGATTACTGACCCGGCGTGCAGTTTGCTTCTTATGTATGAAATCTTTAAAACACTTTCTTAAAACGCTTGGGAGCTATAGCTCACAGATTACATTTGACAGTATCTACAAAGAACATACTTCTTCGATGTTCACCCGCCGTTCGGAAAGCTTCTTTTCGCCCTTATGGGCTGGTTCGTCGGATACGACGGGCACTTTAAGTTTGACAATATTGGCGATTCTTACATCGACAACAAGGTTCCTTATGTGGCTTTCAGAGCTATGCCAGCATTAATGGGTTCTCTGACAGTCCCGGTGGTATTCCTAACCATGTGGGAGAGTGGTTATAGTCTTCCTGCTTGCTTAGTTGCCACGGGATTGGTTCTGTTTGGTAGGATCTGCACTCGGGGTGTACTCAACCGCCATTGCTTATGATTGTGAATAGACAACGCCCATATTGGCCAGACTCGTCTCATTCTCCTCGATGCGACCCTTATCTTCGCCATGTCACTCTCAATCCTCTGCTACGTCCGCTTCTACAAGCTCCGTCACATCCCTTTCAGCCGTAAATGGTGGAAGTGGCTTCTGCTTACGGGTGTTTCCATGTCATGCGTCATCTCTACAAAATACGTGGGAGTCTTCACATTTGTTACTATCGGCGCAGCTGTCGCAATTGACCTGTGGAACCTTCTCGACTACAAGCGTGGCCTCTCTCTTCAGCAGTTCACTAAACACTTTGCTGCTCGCACCTTTGGACTGATCATTGTACCTTTCTTTTTCTACCTATTTTGGTTCCAAGTTCACTTCGCTATTCTGTACCGTAGCGGACCAGGTGACGACTTTATGACTCCGGAGTTTCAGGAAACCTTGAGTGACAACGTCATGTCATTGAGCAGTGTCGATATTAACTACTATGATACTATCGTTCTCAGGCACAAGGAAACTAAGGCCTACCTACACTCTCACCCTGACAAGTATCCATTGAGATATGAGGATGGAAGGATTTCCTCTCAAGGTATGTGCACACTGGGTGAGAATATGTGAAGTAAACAAACATAGGCTTACAGAATGATATAGGCCAGCAGGTAACCGGATATCCGTTCAATGATACAAACAACCACTGGATCATTCTTCCCGCTGTATCGGTTCCTGAGGACCAACGCACCAACCTCCCTGTTAGAAATGGAGATATCGTCAAACTCCGCCATGTTGTTACCTCCACAGATCTCCTCTCCCACGATGTTGCCTCACCTTGGTTCCCCACCAACCAGGAATTTACTACTATTGAAATCGAAAAGTCTGAGGGCGAACGCCATAATGACACTCTTTTCGAAATCAAGATTGAGAACGGCAAGAAGAACCAGAACTTCCGCACCATGGCCGGCCTCTTCAAGCTCCTTCATCACCCATCCAAAGTCGCCATGTGGACGCACACTAAACCTCTCCCGGACTGGGGCTACAAGCAACAGGAGATCAACGGGAACAAGAATATTGCACAATCATCCAACCTCTGGTTCGTCGAAGAAATTCCCTCCCTCGCCGAGACAGACCCTCGCAACAAGAAGGAGGCCAAAAAGGTCAAGCCTATGCCTTTCCTCCGAAAATACCTCGAGCTTCAGCGCGCTATGTTCCACCACAACAATGCACTGACCAGCTCCCACCCCTATGCTTCACAACCAATTCAATGGCCCTTCCTCCTCCGCGGTGTCTCCTTCTGGACTAAGAACGATACCCGCGAGCAAATCTACTTTCTCGGCAACCCTATTGGCTGGTGGCTCTCCTCATCCGTGCTTGCAGTCTTTGTCGGTATTATCGCCGCGGACCAGCTCACACAACGCCGTGGGGTTGACGCGCTTGACCGTAAGACAAGGAACCGCCTTTATAATTCGACCGGCTTCTTTTTCCTTGCCTGGACGGCACACTATATCCCTTTCTTCTTGATGGGGCGCCAACTCTTCTTGCACCACTACCTTCCCGCGCACCTTGCATCTGCTTTAGTCACGGGTGCACTTGTGGAGTTTGTGTTCTGTGTCGAGCCCCTCGAGACAGAGAAGATTGGCAAGGATGGGAAGAAGATTTACGAGGCTCGTAAAGGACCGCAAAGCTTGATCGGTGCGTGGATCGCTTGTGTGGTCATTTTGGGGGCAGTAGCAGGCGGATGGTACTTTTTCGTGCCACTTACTTATGGCAGTCCCGGGTTGGACGTTGCTGGTGTGATCGCTAGAAAATGGTTGGGATATGATTTGCATTTTGCCAAATAGGCCGTGGTATTGAGTTTACTGGAGGTGTTGAAGAGAAAAGGTAAGAGGATGTGAGATAGTATTAATCCAATTGGGTTGGAATGGTTACTCTTCAAAAATCCTCTTATGTTTGCATGTATCTCCGATGCGAGTTCATGATTGAGATGTACTTTTATCGATATTTACTCTCTACCTAATAATTATGGGCGCAGGATTGTTAAACAGGTGTAACTTCATGTACTACTGTGATAGAAACACAGTTCCATGACGAATGATATCCTATGACTGCAGCTATCACCGATTCGCACAAGGGCTGGAGTAGTGGTAAATCCATAAGTCTTGCGTTGTGGGGGAATATAATGTTAAGTACTATTTGTATTTAAAGAAATACTCTTAGTAGTTTTGCACCTCTCACCTTATTAGTTCATGTATAGACTTCCTGTAAAAGCTATAAGAACTTACTCGGCCCTGTACTTACCAGGAAGCTGGCTGATCAAGCTCATGCACTCTATACTTCGGTATTGGCACTTTAATTCCCGCTTAATATACAGCGATAGGTAATAAGTGATGGAACGCCCTGAGTACAACCACTTAATGTTGGTGGCGTTTTACCAAAACAGGCATCGCTGTGTTCCATCACTTATTACCTACCGCTGCAGCTGTACATGTAGTGAGTACATATTGTAAAGAAAAAATATGATACACACAACAATGAGGCCCCGGCGGGGAAGGGGGAAAGAAAAAGAAAAAAAGGCCAAAATATAACATCGATAAGTTACTCAGGATAAAGTTTGGATCATAGAATATCACTCGTGAGATTCGCCCCCATGTGCGATCCCTTTATTTACTGTTACAACTACATGTACCACCCCAAAACCAAAATACTGCTCAGTCCCCGGCTTAAGCAAAAGCTATAACAGGCCCTTAGAGTCTGAACCTGAACCTGAACAACTACATGGATATACCTAAGAAATAACAGATAAAATATCACACCCTAACCCTAGTTACACATGATCAGATAAGATTAGATTAGATTGGCTTTAACCGAAGACCCACGGATCAATGCTTACTCCGCCGGCACTTCCGACACTGATTGATGGATTAACTCGGAATGCTCCTAGCTATCGAAAGTTTTTCTAGAAGCGAGGTCTTGTTACTCTGGAAAGTGATCTATGAATGGTCGTAACTGTTTGGGAAAGTGCCGTCGATTCGGTAGGCTGACCTTGAGACGTTCAAAAACTCGGGACCTTTACCCATCCCTTTTACTCTGAAAGCAAGGGGAAGAAGCCTTACGAAATGGGTCAGATATGGCGAATTGGAAGCAGGAGAGAGAGAGAGAGAGAGAGAGAGAGAGAAAATATAAGAAACGGAAAATCAAAACGGCAGTATGATACAGAAAAACCCCAAGAGACTTCTTTTTCTGCTCTAAAAACCGTCCGAGCAAGTAAAAAAATGAAAAAATAACACCCAACTTTCCTTTCCACAGCTTCTCTCCCCCCTCTCCCCATGTATATATTCCCTGGACCCAAACTCTATTCGTGATTATATGCGGAAGCCCAATCAATATCCCTTTTTTCCCATTTTGTTTTTTTTATTCCTTTTAAGAATTCCCCTGTATCAGATACACCTTATGAATTGAATAGCAAGATGGGGGCGTATGTTCATCTGAGCAGGTTTCCATATCCGTCACTATTTTATCCGGCCGAGGCGAAAAGGTTCAAAAACAGAAAGAAAAAAATCTAAAGAGAGGCCTTCTTGTCGTCCGCTGCCAGCTGCAGTAGGAAAGCCTCCATGTCAAATCGTGGGTCGTTAGGATCGGTGATGACTAGAAGAAGAAGAAGAAGAATCCAGCTATTAGCCCCCCACAAACGAAAGCCAATTGAAGGAATATAAAAGGTATATGCATACGTCCGTCAGGACCGACAGACTTGGGCGCGTTCTTTTTTGCCCACTCCGCCTTCGCCTGCATGATCAAGGCTTCTTTGTGGTTGTATTCGTTCTGGGCCTGGCGGACCTTGGCCTGGGCACTTAGTTTACGCTGGTGAGTGAAGCCGTAGAACACTCCCGCGCCGAGAGCGGTGTACCGGAGGACCTATGTGGTGAGGAAAGAAAGCATCTGGAATTAGCAAGTTTTAATTCATTTAACAAGCTAAATTGTTGATTGATTTTTTTGAAGGGGGATCAGGATGGGGGGTTGATGGAGGGGTTGGCGATGGAGGGGGTTTGCTTTGGCCGATGACGGAAGAAACAACGAAAAAAAGCCGGGGATGATTTTTTTTCTTCTTTTCTTGGACTATGGAGAGCGCTTACATTCACGGTTTGTGTTGAGAAAACCATGGCTGCGGGGGTGAAATTGATAGCTGGCCGGAGGTGGTAGAGTGGAAGTTAATTGACAGAATGCGAGACTGCGGGAGGACGCTGGTTGATCTTTCGAAGGGACGACGGGGGTGGAGGAGAGAGAACGAGCGGTGGGTGGAGGAGTCCGAGGTTCTGGTGGTTGGTGGTGGTTGATTGACGTTGCGTCCACTCGGGAAAGCGCACAAAACAGAACGTTTCTCACCTGAGGAGTAAAACTGGATAGCCAACGGACCACCAACAAGTACAAAAAATATTATAACAGTATATGATAAGCTTCAGAGAGGCTTTCTCATACGATTATAACTATATCCAAGAGTTAATAACGCGCGTATCTCAATGTTTTCTGTATCTCGCTGTAGCCGCATCTCCTCCTGCATGGACGTTACTTAGCGAGCAGGCCAGGAACCTTCCTTTCTTCTTCTTCCGGTCCCTATTCCTATTCCTATTCCTATTCCCTAGGAGCATAGGTATTTTTCGAACTTCCCCTGTCTCTCTCTAAAAGGCACGTCTCGCCTAGCCAAAGGATTTCTGTCATATATACAAACACAGCTCCCTACCCCACTCACCACCCCACCTCACACGAGCCAGCATCCATCCTTCGTTCCATCGATTCCATAGCTGTTACTTCTCCCCTAGAAACAAACACCCCCATCACGAGCCCACCATGAGCACAAATACGACAGAGCAGCGAAGAGCAGAGATCGCCGCAAAGAAGGCAAGGCTTGCAGAGATCAAGCGCCGGAACCAGGAGCGGCAGCAATCTCTCTCAATCCAGAGACGGAGCACAGAGCTTAATGAGGTACAAACTTACATTCCCGCAGAAACATACATCTTCGGCACGGGCTAATCCATCTACCTGGAGGGCCGACAATAGGTTACAGCGCCTCTCCCCCGGTCCTATGCCGACAGACGAAGCTTAGAGGATCTGGTAAATGTCCTCATAGGCGACCGCCCGTCCTCGACGGGGCCTGGCGCAATGAAGAGCAGCAGGTCAAACTCAGTCATGTCTGGTGCAGATAGCAATTTTTCGGACTCGGCTTCTCCCACAATAATGTCACCGTAAGAAAAGAACTCCTGGGGGGAAATAAACCTTGTTGAATGCCCTATGCTAAGAGCCCTGTTTCATTTGCAGAGGTGTTGCAATGACCCCCGACTCTACGCCTACGCCAAATCAATTGAATTTGCAGCATATGTCCATAGCGCCCCTTACAATCACCTACGACGCGCCACCGTCCCCTGTACGCGAGGTCGTGACCTACAGCAAGGAGGTTCAAACTTCGGAGGCTTGGACTGGGCCTGACGATGAGGAGGGAGATGATGGCTTTGAGAGTAGATCGCGAAGGACGGACGAGGAGCTACGGGAACAGATACGCAAAGAGATAGAAGAGGAGTTGAGAGAACTTCATGCCGACGAACAACAGCAAAACGGAAATTCCGGGTTGGATTCAAATGGGGGCTTCTTTGCAAGGGAGTTGACGGATGAAGAAAGGGCAGCAATTACAGCCTCGGAGGATTTTGTAGACTTCATCGAGAGGTCCTCGAAGGTCGTAGAAAGAGCATTAGATATGGAATACGACGTACTGGCGGACTATGGGTTGGGTATGAACGCTGAGGACGAGGAACAAAGTGGAAGAAAAATCAAAGAGATCGCGCAATTCTACGACGAGCGGTGGTCAAAAAAAAGGATGATAAGTGATATTAATTACTCACCGAAGGTATGGTCGAGAGAAGTACTGCGAAAGAGTAGTAACTGATTTTGGGGCAGTTTCCGGAGTTACTTCTAGCATCGTATACAAAGAATCCTTCTGCACCACACGACCCTGATGGTTTGGTTCTGGTCTGGAACATGCATATGCACGACAGACCGGAATACGTCTTCCATGCACAGGTTTGTACTCCTTTTTATCATCAGAAATCCCTCTTCTGACGAATAATTTAGAGCGATGTCCTTACTGCGCGGTTCTCACCCTTTCATCCCAATCTCATCGTAGGGGGGCATATAGCGGGCAGGTTCTCCTATGGGACACCCGTGCCAAGTCTCAACCTGTTTTGAAAACCCCCCTAACAGGTTCTGGCCACACGCACCCGGTCTACTCCGTCTCAGTAATCGGAACCCAAAACGCAAACAACATTCTCAGCTGTTCAACAGACGGCGTTGTCTGTGGCTGGACAGTGGACATGTTAGCGCAGCCGCAGGAACTCCTAGAACTGATCACACCCCCTCCCTCCAAAACTGACGACCTCAGCCCGACCTGCATGGCATTCCCCCACTCAGACCCCACCTACTTCCTCGTCGGCACCGAGGAAGGCACAATCTACCCCTGCCACCGCTACGACCGCGCCGGCGCCAAGGCCGGCGTCGAACCCCGAATCTCCTACAAAGGCCATGCAGGCCCCGTCATGTCCGTCGACTTCCACCCCGTCCGCGGCCCCGTCGACCTCGGCGACCTCGTTCTCAGCAGCTCCGTCGACTGGAGCGTCAAGCTGTGGAAAGCGCGCCCCCCCGCCGCCACCACCTCCAGCGCATCGGGATCGCCGCAGATTGCGACGCCGATCTTGGAGTTTAGTAGGGAGGACGTGGTGTACGATGCTGCGTGGAGCCCGGTGAAGCCCGGCATGTTTGGGCTCGTCGATGGCGCGGGCCAGCTGGAGATCTGGGATATCACGGTGGACACGGAGGTGCCCGTGGCGAAGGCGCAGCCGAGCTCGAGGGTGGGCGCGACGCACCTGACGAAGGGGTTGAATAAGCTGGCGTGGGAGGAGCATGATGGGAAGAGGGTTGCAGTCGGGGGGCTGGACGGGACGGTGACGGTTTTCGAGGTTGCAATTGATCCGCCGAGGAACGAGGAGTGGGCGAGTGTCAAGAGGCTTGTGTCGAGGGCGGAGTTGGGGAACAATAGCATTATTGCTGCGGGGAAATAAGGGGGGGTACAAAGGGGGAAACGAACGCTAAAGTCTGCTCTTTTTGTGTGTGTGTGTGTGCGTGTGTGTGCGGTAAGGCTTTTGTAATGTGTTTTTTCTTTTTCATTTTTTTTTGTCCATGTGGGAAAGCGTGGATGTAGGGTGGAACTGGTATCATCTGTACTGTACTTTACTGCTTGCTTATATATCATGGGTGGCGGGGTTAGTTTTTTCTCTTTTTCTTTTTTCTTTTTTTCTTTTTAATACTCGGGGAATGGGATACTGTAATTCTTATCTCGAGTTCTGCCCTCTCCAAGTACTTGCTTGCTGCATAGGGTGTTTGTGGTATAGGGTTATGTAGTTAATGGAGTGGATTTGCATGTAAGGGGCTATATTACTTCTGTTGCTGTTGTGAGAGCACGGTTTGTCTCAACAAAGGTTGCTACATATATTTAATCATGTATTATCACTCGCACTAATGAGTTCTAATAGATAGTCCATGCCTGCGAGCTATCTGCTACACCGAGATACATGTAATCTCTCCTACGTGATGATTCTCCTTGTTTGTGTCTGCGCAACCAAACGAGAGTGCGAACAGTACGGTACATGTAGCTACTGACTGCAGTTACCAGCCTCGGTCATGGATTGTGATTCAGACTAATCGTTACACAGGCACTGCTGTAACGCTGACTCTTCTGTAGCTGCCTACAAGCACATATAGCCTCACATCTCTCTCCCTCCTCTAATCTACACCTTCCTCCTCTTCTTCCACCTCACCAAGGCAATCCTACAGCTAAACCGCCCATCCCCACCATGGCGACCTCTCTAACGGACCCCTCGCTCCTCACCCTCTTCCAAGCCGCACCCCCCACCACACGCCAAGCCTTCCTCGACTCCCTCGCGCTCCTCTTCCACCCCGCCGACTGGCACCAGCTCCACACCCTCCTCACCGCGCGCTCCTACCACCTCGACCTTCTGCCCCTCCTCCCGCTAGAAATCACCATCCAGATCCTGCGCCTCCTCCCGCTGCACGAGACAGTCCTTGCCCGCCGCGTCTCCCGCAGATGGAACACCCTCCTCCGCTCCCCGGACGTGTGCCGCTCCCTCACACGCCACTTCTTCCCCGCCGACACAGACACAGAAACGCGCCCGCAGGACCCTGCGCACAGGTTCGAGAACCTGGCCTCGCGCCGCCTGGCATTCCTGCGCCATCGCCCCGCGGCGATCGATGAGTTTGTTGCGGACCCGGCCGAGAGCGGGCTCGAGGATCAGTTCAGCGTCGATATCGATTTTGAGCGCTGCCGTATGGCCGCCTGGACGCGCGGTGAGAACAGCATCGTCGTGCGCGACCTGCTGTGTGCGTCGGCGCCCGCGGCGTTTCCAAAGACATACATGGACAACCACGGGCCCATTGGCGAGGTGTCGCTCTCTCAATCGATTGTGGCCGCGGTGTCGACGACGATGGGGGTATGCCAGGTGTGGGAGCTGGCGACGGGGGACACGCACTCGTTCAAGCTGCCCAGCGCGGTTGTGGCGACGATGCACAGCGACGGCAGTGTCACGGGGATCCTGCTGCACCGGCGCAATCTGGAGTATCAGCTGGTTGTGCACAGCACGGCGACGAGGAAGACAAGGTGTATCGATATTGCATGCGCAGAGCAGTATAACGGGAACCAGTTGATTGTGCATGAGGCTAGCAACAGGGTCGTCCATGTGAGGTTTTTTGTGGACGGAAAGCTGGATATCGAGCTGACCTCGTGGAGCATCGACACGGGCAAGTTTATCGAGAAGTCGACGCAGCGGATCCCTAGCGCTCGTGAAGTGCGGAAATTCTGGCCTATGGGGAAAGGGCGGTGGGTAATAAACGCCAATCTCGGATTCAGTGCAGATTATATGAACATAATGCATCGCGAACTGGATCTCACAAAGCCAGGTCTGAATATTGTCCCCAAGCCTTACGAGGTGTCCATCAGTAAACTGTATCGAGCAAACGAAGAAGAGCCTTATTGGGTGGAAGAGCTTGGAACTTCTGGCAGCATGACCTGGACCATAACCCATAACAGACTAGATGACAGCTATGGTGAAGACCTCCTAACAGGCCTAATCTGGGAAGAAGGTAACCTGGAAGTGAGAGCCATTGACTTCCCACCTGCGTACAACAAAAACTCGACGTTACCCCGCGGCCAGGTAGTCGCCCCTTACTATTTTGACCCGTATAATCGATTCATGCTATGGGGTTCCTGCCCGGGTGGTTTTGGAGCTTTGGACGGGGGGGATATGCGTGATGGGCGTGGTATTGAATCTTGCGCTTTCATCGTGGAGAGATATTATGGTATACATGAACGGCCGGAAACTGTATAGATGTTTGCGTCCATTGTTTTGCTACCATCAGGGCCCCCTTTCATTTCTATCAAAAATTTATTTGGCACCCGCGCTGGATTAGGTAGGGCCTGTTCGGATAAGCCAACAATTTGGATTATTGGTAATAATCTGACAGATTATCGACTTAATTGTAATAATCTATGCTGTTTGTGCAATTGAATAGCCCAACTTTCTAGACTGCGGCCCGATTTTCCCAAGAAGTAGTGACCTTCGCAGGTAGTTGGTATTCCCAAACAATACAGATCAATATTTATAGAGTAGTTATTTTAAGTACCGTCCCAGAAAGGAGACTGTAGCTATTCCATCCGATGTTTTCGTATTTTATGGGAAATTATTTAGTAGATGGATATGTAGTAGGTAAATCCATACACTTTGGATCAGGCTTCCTTGCCATAAATATTGCTGTTATGCGTATACTGCTCCCCATAGGCTTACAATTAGTCCATCGCCGTTGTTAGTATTTACCTTTACCTAGTCCAAATTCAACCGAGTCGATGTCAAATAATCTAATAATTAGTCCGGTTGCCTGACCAATAATCCGAGCACAAGCCTGGACCCACTCGGACCCATGCACGTGACCACTCACCCACCAACTATCGCTTACACAGCATTACTTAATGCATGACATGAATGAAAAAGGCACTCGCATAATTGATGATTGATGCACGGTCAGTCCCATCTAATGTTCAAGTCAGCCATTACGGATAGCTAGTAAACAACCACCAAGCGAGGTAGCAAGTTTTTTTTCCTTCCATGAGCTTCTCCACCCTGTCTGTAGCAAGACACTGGTCTGGTAGGAGGGCGGGAAATGGGGGGTGCTAGAGTATTAGTATATAAAGAGCCCAGTCCTCCAGCTGTTAGATTTAGAAAGGAAAAAAAGGGTTATGTTTACTGGCTCATCGATCATTGTCTCCATCCGTAACGCAGCAATCACCATTTGGATAACCTTGACCACGTTTTTGAAAACCCTGACTTCGTCGCAAACTCCATTCCAGTACAGCAGAAAGGAAATAGACCTCCCAGAAACCATGTCTGTCGCCCGAACAATCGTGAAAGCCTTCAAGGCCATCGAGAAGGCCGAAGGAGCTGGCGCAAGGGTCCGCCGCTCAGTAGGGACCCACCAGCTCCAGCACTTCAGTCCCTTCCTCATGCTCGACCACTTTACAATTGGCGAAGGCGCCGGATTCCCGGACCATCCTCATCGGTTTGTACACCCCGCTCATCCTCTTCTGTATAACTAGACAGGTCTCTAACAAAAACCAGTGGGCAAGAGACAATCACCTACCTCCTCGAGGGCTCCGTCGACCATGAAGATTTCGCCGGAAACGCCGGCACGATCCATGCCGGCGATCTCCAGTTCATGACCGCCGGACGCGGTATCATCCATGCCGAGATGCCAGGCAAGTCAGTCGACGGCAAGCCCAACGTTGGGCTACAGCTGTGGGTGGACCTGCCAAAGCACCTCAAGTTCTGCGAGCCGCGGTACCGCGACCTACGGGCGTCGGAGATCCCGGTGGCAAAGACAGACGGGGACAAGGTCGAGATCAAGGTGATTTCCGGGAACTCGCATGGGGTGGATAGCGTGCGTGATTTGGCGTACACGCCGGTGTGGATCCTGGATGTGACAATGAAGCCGGGTGCGAAGCTGGCGCAGCCGCTGCCAAAGGGGTGGAATGCATTTGTGTATACGCTGAAGGGGAGTGCGTCGTTTGCAGGGAAGAGGGTGGAGGCGTTTCACAATGTTGTGTTTGCGCAGGAGGGGGATGGAATTGATGTTGCGGTTGATGAGGCCGAGAAGGAAGATGCGCGATTTGGTATGTTCTTCTGTTCCTTTGTTTCCTCTGGATCATGACTGGATTGCTAACGGCGCATGTTGTGGTGTAGTCATCGTTGCAGGACAGCCTCTCGACCAGCCGGTGGTGCAGTATGGGCCGTTCGTCTTGAACACAAATGAACAGGTCTACCAGGCTATGCTTGACTTCCAGAGCAACAGCAATGGCTTCGAGAGAGCCAAGGGGTGGAAGTCAGTCATCGGGAAGCGCATGTAAAGGAAGAAAGATTACCGTTTTTTTTCTTTCTTTCTTTCTTTCCTTTTGTTTGGATACCACGGGTTATTATAACGTTGCTTTTTTTTCCCCTTGTTGTTTGGATATCGGTGTATTGTATTGTATTCCGGAGTTATGTATTTACTACACATTTAGAGTTGCAGAGAAATTCAGTTGATTATTAATCTACTCTGAAAATGACCTTGAGTGGCACGGATTTTTTTTTTTTGGGGGGGGGTGTCAAATATGGTGCGAGTGATTGACTATGATGGATGATTGGTTGCGATTTCTGGCGGTGATGCATATGAATAAACACAAGACTAGACAGTCATAGTGGAGATTGAAAGATATGGATGGGTGCAGGATAGACGGGGCCGATGAGCTGATTATCTTTGATGTGACTCTCTATCTTTGGAGCTGGAAAGACATTGCCATATCTTTAAGGCTGCGTGCAATTAATGAATCAAACAAACAAACAAAAAAAGCTGGAAGGACATGGCCAATGGGGGAGCGAGATTGAGAGATCTACAGGTAGCTAGGAAGTACATGTATTTATGCAGTTTAGGTTGAACAGGACGACCACGCATGTATTAACCTTACATGTAATTACATAGAGTAGCTGTCTTGACACATGCGACCCAGAACCATATGGCCAACTAACCTACCCGTTGGCGGTATCATCCATTTTTAAACTGTAAGCGATAGCAGGTATCGAGAGCTCCTCCTCCACGCCTCCCTCAAACCTTTGACTTTCACATGCCGGAATACAGACAGGCACTCTGACATGTATGTATCGCTTTTCAACCTAATACCCGGGCCTACATCTACATCTACATCTACCTAGTACTCTTCCTCTGGCCGGTGCACAGAGGCCAGAAGCTTCAATAGACCGTTCCCACCCACCCGTGAACACCTTGAATATAGGCCCCTTTCCCAGCCTACGTGATCGAGCCCATCTCTTCCTCAGGAGTGCGTGCATGTGCCCCGTGGATCAATATCTAAGCAGACAGTATATCAGGCCCATCCAGAAACTCTTCTCGCCTCCCCCCCGAGGACCTGGGGCAACAAGCTCTTTCCACCTCAAATTCCGTATTTAAGCGTTTTTGTTTTTTCGTTAAAAAAAAAAAAAATACTAGTGTTATAAAAATTACGAACAATCAATCCATTAAGCAAAAAAGAGTGTGTCATTAAGCAACCCAACTAAAACGAGAGTAAGTCAGTGCACTCCTCGAAAAACACCAAACTACATGTACCTACAACACCTCCTAAAAAAAAAAAAAAATACCTCCCCCCCAAACAACTAATTAGTCGCGTTATCAAACCCTCCCCACTTGACAAACTCCCACGCCAGCTTCACCGCCGCCTTCAAATAAAACTCGCCATCCTCCTCCCACAGCCCCGCTGCATCCCTCATCGCCCTCACCGCCTTGAGGTAGTGCGCATCCTTGCTACTCTCCTTCTCCAACACATGGCCCACCACCTTCTCCCACCCGCGCCCCTCCACGTCCACGTCCCCCACCAGCTCCGGGTGTATCGCGGGCCGCAGCTGGATGATGTACACAATCAGCACAAACAGCCAGTGCGAGCGCACCAGCGGCAGCGCATACTTGACGGGCACCACGGGCAGCAGCGTGCGCACGGCGTGCGACACCGTCAGCAGGTGCACGTAGAAGAAGTCGAAGTTCGTCTCGCCGGGGGTGTGGGTTGCGCAGAGCAAGAGCACGGCGGCGCGGGTGATTGCGCGGTGCGTGCGCGCGAGGTCGGCGGTGTCGAGGGAGTAGTAGTGCTCGAGGACGGCGGACTCGCGCTCGGCGAAGAGCTTCTCGATGTTGACGGAGCCGGGGGAGGAGAAGAGGTTGTCGAAGCGGGTGTCGGTGCGGACGGAGTCGAGGACGGCGAGGGGGTCGGTGGTGTGGGCCTTTGAACAGAGCTCTTGCGCGGCGGGAGTTTGGGTGGGGACGAAACCGGTGGTGGGGAAGTCGCGGTCGATGTAGGTGTGTAGGAAGTTGTAATTTGTGGCGGCGAGAGTGAGGGCTATGGGGGTCAGTCTCTTGTAGAGCAGAGGAATTAAGGGACAGTAACAAGTGGAGGCAGACCTTCCATAGCGACGTCTTTGCTGTTGAGTTCAAAGGCGTACTGGTTGGTGGTGGCGGTCATGTTAGATCACTCGGCACATAGGTCAATGATTGCGATATCCACTTACCCCAAGATGGATCAATGGATGTCCCACTGCGACACACCAACACGCCCGTTAGCCCACCACCACCACTCAATCCAACCCCCAAAAAGGCAGAAAGAGACACTTACATCCCCCAATGCCTCCAAACAGCATTGGCTCCGGCCCCTTGAGCATATACTCCGTGACGACCGCCTTCCAGTCATACCCAAACCTCACCAGCTCGTCCTCAAAGAAGTCCAGGAACGCTCTCTGGTACCTATCGCCCTCCCCCACCCACCCCGCATCAGCGCCACCCTACATACACACACAGAGAGAGGGGGGGGGGGGGGGAGGGAGAACCAGCACTCACTCGCGCATCGACAAGAAGTCCCTCCAGTCATGCCTACTAATCTCGCCCGGCGCATCCACCCACGGCTCCAGATGGCGAATCTCCTCCTCATACATGCCATTCAGCGTATCCGCACCCGCGCCCAAAAGGTATGCCGATCCCAACGCCTACAAACCCCAACCCGCGCAGCCAACCAAGCCACAAATCGAATCAGCCCACTTGATCTTCTCGAACTTAATTCTATCGACTACATAGAGGAAGAAGAAGAAGAAGAAGAAACACTTGCATGCGGCAAATGGTTATGGAACCTCAACTGCGAGTACAGCACCGAATAGTTCTGGTGGTTCGCGCGCAGCAGGTGCTTCAGCGTGCGGTCGCGCTTCTCGGGCGAGGTCTCGTAGTCGACGGTTGCGATGGGCGGGAGCCCCGTGTACGGCGCTTGCTCGGCGGGGGTTATGTCGCTTGTTGAGACTACTGCGCCCATTGCTGCTATATATGTGTGTGTGTGGATGTGGTTGTGGGAGTGTAATTGGTAGAACTGTGTATGAGATAGTGTTTTTTATATCGCAGTGGATCGAGCTACGGATGGATCGAGGGCGCAGAGCTGCTGGCGTGCGGTATCATGCGCGTATGAGGTCATGGTTACCCGGAACCACGTGCACGGGCGGGCCCGGGATGTGCCGCTGACAAATTGTGAGCATCTTTCGATACCTCAATTCAATTCTCTAGATCTACAGTACCTACAAGTACATATATACATACATACATAACCCACCAGCCAGCCAGCCCCCATCTCCGCATCTACACCCCCCCCCCCCCCTAGAACACCTACACCTACAGCAAGAAAGAACCCACAATGTCGTCCACCACCCGCACCGTCCCTCCCACCGGTCAGTCCCTCCCCTCCTCCTCCTTCGCATCTCTCCCCCCGTCTGTCTGTCTCATAGCTAACCTGCAAGCGCACCCCACAGCAAAAACCTCCGAGGCCCCAGGTACCCAGCACCTCCGACCACAATTACAAGCACAAAGATAGACAGCTAGCTAACAGAGAGCACCACCACCAACAGAAAACGTAGTCCTCAAGCCGACCGCCAACGGGCCCAAGCCCTGCTGCGTGTGCAAGGACGAGAAGGCGTCGCGCGACGAGTGCATGCTCTTCAGCGACAAGGGCGAGGTGCAGTGTCTGGACAAGATTGCGGCGTACAAGGCGTGCATGGCGGGCTTTGGGTTCAAGATCTAACTGGGGTTGGGGTGTAGAATAGAATGAAAAATGGCGGTGGTGGTGTATAGTGTATGGGGTGTATGATATTGGTTCTGGTTTGGCTATAGATGGGGTGGGATGGGATGGGATGGTTAGATAGAGGCGGGCAATGGATTACAAAGTCTCTTCTCAGTGTGGTTTTTTGCAGAGCTCCCCACCACGACCGTATGGCCGAGTCAATGATCTTCTATTATGTACTGGAATACGAAAGTTCTCGCACCCTGATTGGTCGACAGCCACAGGGGGTTTAGTAAGCACGACACATCAAAATTGGTGTAGTTACCCTGCTTGCTCACTTGCACGCCTGTTGCTATGCACCCTCCAGGCAGGCACGGTGCGAGCGCTCTGACCCCTAACCCTGACTGACTCCTGCATGGCTGACATTATTGCTGAGCAACGGAAGCTCTACGGTTCACGCCCTAATATTTATTTAAAAAGGTCTCTGTATAATTCTATTTATTTAAAAAGGTGTATGTATAATTATAAGATAATTAATTTATATGATATGATATGACCAAGAGTACTGGGGGGAGGAGGTGAAGGCGTTGAGTGGGAGGCGGTGGGAGGCGTGGAGGTGGTGGAGGTGGAAGGAGTTCTCTCCATCAAATGCGTTTAATATTCATGTAGTCCAGCGTTAACAGCTCGCGGTCGTGAGCAGGCACACCCCTACATAGTACATGTAGTCTACATAGTACATTTACTACATTTCTTCCCGGGGCTCACGGAGGACGCGTACAAGACCAGCCGCCCAAAAACAGACATAGCAGCGTTGACAACATGTCTCGGTGGTGTAGTGGTTTGCATCTCAAGAATCGACTAGGTGGGTAAGAGTTGTGCGAGGGGGCGGGGCAATATTTTTTTGGTCTCCCCCGCCTACATGAGAGAGCTATCATCCGAAGGGGGGGTATCAAAAGCCATAAATTCATTAATGGGGCGTGGTACGGTAAATTTCAAAATGTAAATCAGTGCCATAACAGCGCTCCAAACACAACTCTCTAACTACAACAACCAACCAAAAAGATATATAACGAAACCCCACTCCCCATCCCCCACTACTCACTCTTCACCTTACACCTCCCACTCTCCCACCACAGCCTCTGCAGCACCCACCCCCACGCCACCACAAACGCCCCAAAACACACCTCCACCCCGGCCACAACCCACACATCCGGCCACCTCCCCACCCCCTTCCCGCCCACCCACCACTCCGCCGCATGCAACCCCGCCACCGCGATATAACTCCCCAGATGCACAACCTTCCCCACCCACCCCCTCGGCAGGCGGCTAAACCCGCCCATGAGCCACATATACAGCAGCGACACAACGCCGTACTGCAGCACGAGCCCGTCGCGCTGCAGAAGCGGCCACATGCTGAACATGGCCATGTTGTTGACCCAGCTCACCCACGCCACGACTTCGCTGTCCAGGCTGCCAGAGAGGTACAGCGTCAGCGGCACCAGCGGCAGAAGAACGCTCTTCTCGTGCACCTGGAACGAGAACATGTAGAAGCCCCATGCACACGCCGAGAGCGCGAGCGGGAGGAGGCGCTTGGACGGGTTGAGGAAGATGATGGTGCAGGGCGGGGCGATGGCGAGGAGGGTTGCGAGTAGGCTGTGTGTGGGCACCCTCTGTTAGCTGTGGATGGATTGGAGCCCGGGGGGGGGGGGGGGGGTGACACTTACGATACTTTCTGGAGCAGCGGCGCAGAGAAGCGTTCGCGGAACTTGATGGCGACGTTTGCGGCGCACCAGAAGTTTGCGACTTTGTCTTCCCAGAGGCCGCGGGCGAAGGGGAAGACGCGGAAGAGGCACTGCCCGACCTGCTCCGTCCCACCCAGGAGCACGAGCGGCGCAAACACCAGTGCGAACGAGACCACGACTGTGGCGCCCAGCAGCACGAGGCGCACGATGTTGAGGCGCGGGAAGACACACAGGCCGAGGAGGTAGGCGAAGACGACGGGCGCGTAGTACAGCGCCATCTGCTTGAACGAGAGCGCGAGCACGAAGAAGAAGGAGCCCCAGTAGATGTGGTCAGTGAGGAAGCAGTCGAGCGCCGAGATGGCGAGGCCGAGCATGACGCTGTTGTACTGGAAGTGGCCATTGTCGATGATTGTGAGGGCGGGCTGGAGGAGGATGGCGCCGAGCGCGCAGGCTTTGTCGTATTTGCTCAGGGAGGAGAGCGTGCCGTAGAGGCGCACGAAGATTACGGTGGCGGGCACGTAGAGGAGGAAGTCGGAGACGAGGACGGTCGCGCGCATGTATGTCTTGAGCGAGGGGTCGTCAGAGCCGCGGGAGGTGTGGAGGGCGAACCAGTCGGGGTTGATGCGGTCGCCGCTGTGGGAGGGTGGAGCTGTGTTAGCTACTAGCTACGAAAACGAACTACTACTCCGGAGAAAGAAAAGAAAAGGCAGCACGAACATCACGCCCAGCACCCACGAGTGGTATGCGGTCAATGGCGGGTAGTCTAGCCCCCACCACTCGAGCTCGTGCCAGTACCACTCCCGCACAGGCAGATGCTTTGTGATCTCCATCCAGTGCCTCTGTGCCTCGAAATCACCGTGCATTGGCGGCGCGGCCATCCCTAATTCCCCACCACCACCAAGAGCTATCAGCAAACCAGTCCCTGTGCTGCGGACAACCTTAGGACATACCGGAATACGGCCCTAACCCCACCACCCACCTCACCAGCAGCACCACCATCAGCAGCACCGGCAGCACGAGCCATTGCGACGACGCCGAGCGCAGGGGATGCAGGAACGACGCGAGCGGGAACGGTAGTGCCGGGAGTGAGAAGGAGACGGAGCGCGTGGGCTTTTTCTTTTTCTTGTGCGGGGACTTTGGAGGAGCTGGTTGTTGTTGCTGTGCCGGTATCGCCATTGCGGAGTTGTTTGGGGGGGAGAGAGAAAGAAAGAAAGAAAAGAGAAGGTCGGGGGATTCAGAAGAAGAAGCCCAGAGCGAGCAGACACAGCATCGAGCGAGGCAAGCTGGTCTCTTTCTGTCTCACTTCGCTAAGGGCATGCCAAGGCCGAGGATCGCCAGGAGTTGACAGGGATGTGGGAGCCGCAGTGCCGAGTGAGAGCCTGTGATTGGGGGCGAGGGTTGGTTTGTTTGTGTGGGAAATGGCTGTGGGGAAATGGCTGTGGGAAGAGTGGGAGGGGAGAGGGACGGAGAGGGACGGAGAGGGACGGAGAGAGGGGACGCTGGATCTGGGGCAGCGATCATTGGCCCTGTTGGCGAGTGCTTGGTCCTGGCTGGGTAAATGCAACGACCGAGTGATCCCCCATGACCACCGACCGCCCAGCCAATGACTCCCGCGGACCAATCCATCCTGAAATCACAGCATCCACAACCACCCCATCCACCCCATCCATCAATCCATCCACCCATACATCCATCCATCCATCCATGCCCCCCCAATTGACACGCCAGGAAACACGTAGGTCCGCCCCCCCCCCCCCCCGGTGGCTGATTGGAGACATGTCGACAATGTTCCGACAAGTAGCTGCTAGCGTTATGTAGGTATTGTGTGTGAGAGTGAGTGTGCGAGTGTGTGAACACTTCACACTCCAGCTCTCCTTAACTGATCATGAAGACTCATCATCACCATCATATGCATCATCGCATGCAGTCCTTCGTGTTGAGCTGTTAGTCAGCCTATAACCCATCTGCATATCATGTAGAGCTAATTATTCCCCCCCTTCCCTGCCCCGCCGCCCAATCAATCACGCCCCCCCCCCCCCCCGCTAGAACAAACCGGCCATGGCGGTCGGATGTTGCCGTACTGAACTCTTTTTTTTTGTATGTGAGGAGGGAGCTTATGTAGTTTATCATATTAGATGGGGGCCGTTTCAAGAGATTGCTTTAATTGACGATACTTCATACCCACCGTGCACCACACGACACAGGACACAGCCAGCACCTGTCTGTCTACAGCACCTGTCTACATACATATCTACGTGATTACTTGCAAGTGCCTCTATACGAATTAATCGACATCTACACGTCCTGTCTCCATGCCCCTCGACCCTCCCCACAGCACCTAGCTTCCAGGGCACCTCCTCCTCCTCCTCCTACACAGCACACCACACCACATCCACACACCCAGACCTTCAAACAACACCCCCCAAACACCCACCACCCACCCCCCATGGCCCAAGCCCAAAGCGCCGACCACCCCCACCCCCGCCGCTCAAGCGCCGCCGCTCCGACACGACGCACCACCCCCATCACCACCCGCACCCCGCCAAACACAAGCGTCCGTCCGTCTCCCCCGTCCCCGCCTCGTCCCCGTCACCGTCAGGAGACGAGATGCAGATCACCGCGCCACCGCTGCCGCAGAGGTGCCATGTGTGCTCGCGCGCGCAGAGCGTGGGCTTCGGGACGATCACGGTGTGTGGCGCGTGTAAGAGGGGCACGTGTTATGTGTGCACGAGGAGGTGTGATGGCTGTGCGGAGACGGTGTGTTCGGGCTGTTGTGAGGAGAGGGGGGTGCAGTGCTTTTGTGGGAGGTGTGCGGGGAAGTGGGGGAGGTAGTGGATGAGGCGGGGAGAGGGGGAGGGGGGGGTTGTTTCAATGGTGAAAGGGGCGGGGGGTGGTTGTTTCAATGGTGAAAGGGGCGGGGGGGTGGTTGTTTCTAGTTTTTGCTTGCAGTTGTTTGGTCTTTGGTCTTTGGCTTTGCTTTGGTTTTGCTTTGATCTGGTTTGGTTTGGTTCGATTTGAATTGCTGCGTGGGTATGTCTTTTTCTTCTTTTTTTCTCTTTTTTATCTTTAACTCTTTTTTCCCCTTCCACCCCCGGCCCCCCCGTCTCATACGTCTCTTACCATACATATCTCTACAACTGAAAAGCTTAAGAAAGGACTCAAGGAAGGAAGCCTGTGATGGACGGATATACATGAGCACAGGCAGGCAGGCACGCATATAATGTATGCAATTGATTGATGGCATTTGTAAAGCACACACTCGTAAAAGATAACATAGCATAAATTAATACTCAACAGACCCGGCTCAGAGCATCTGAAAACTAAAGTACTACGGAATACGAGTGACACACACACACACACACACACACACACACACAGGCAATATATACTTAAGCTTTCGCTTACTGCAGAGCCGCAACCTCATATGTGCAGGGTTGCTGTGGGTGTACCATGTAGCTTAATTTCCCCCCATGTCCAGTGTGCAAGCTCACACAGCATTTTACCCGCTCCTTCCTTTCCTGTAGACCGCGTGTGTCTTGACTCACTCACCCACTCCGCAGCGGGGAAGGTTAAGTTCTAGAACTTCGGCTGGAAGGGAGGAAGGAAGGATGGGGGAGATAGGAACTTTATTACATAGAGTTTAGTTGGTTGGGTTAGTTAATTGGGTAAGTTCAAGTAGCTAATTTGTTTGGTTTGCAATTGCTCATAGATACATGAGCGTATAACACCGTTGACGCGGCCAGCAGGGTACGCAGGGCCACCCAATCTATCGAGCGTATTGGCCGTTGGTGGGAGCATACCTGCCTGATGTGATGGATACATGTAGTACTTGCTACTTGGAGCGCGCTGAGGTGTGAGGTTGCGGAGCCTTGGTTTGGGGCTTGCGTGGGCTTGTTACGTGGATGACTGGAGTGTGGTGGAATGTGAGAGACGGCGATGATGGTGATGGTTGAGCTCATGGGAGAGGGGTCTGTTATACGTAATTGAGATGATGAGGATGAGGATGGGGAGCTTGGGTATGGAGAAATTGGGGTATAAAGGTACCTCTACGCCGTAGTAGCTAAAGGGCATCAATCACTGCAGAATCAGAAGCTTCGAATTGCAAAGTCAAAGCGGTATTCAGTTGTTTAGACATCTTATCCTCAAAACCTCAAAACCTCGGAAGCTAGCTACAAAGAAAGCTTTGTAAATTTACTTCTTCAAGACATTATCCTCAAATCAACTCTCTCCTCGACCGAGCTCTTCGGTCTCATTACCAAAATTCAATAGCTCCTAGCTCAGCTAGCTACCTAAACCCGGCCCACAATGTCCAGCACATCTCTCCAGCGCACCTCTTTCGACTCCACGACCACCACCTCGACGGCCCAGCGTCCTCTGCTCGAGCGTGCACAGGGCAGCGGTGATGTAAAGGCGAAGATCAAGGCTGTCTTCAAGAAGGCCAAGTCCACCGAGGAACAGGGGCAGGAACAGGGTAGGCAGGAGGATGGAAAGAAGAAGGTCGCTGTTCCGGGAAGTGTCAAGCAGGGGAGCTTTGGCGGGGAGTCGAGTCATATGAGGATGCATATGTAGGTGGGTAGATAGATGGGTGATATGTGGGTTGTGTGGTTGGTGGATGATTGGGTGTGGTAACTAGGGGGAAATGATTGATGTGACGGAAAGTTTGTAGTAATGGAATGGAATGGGGTTAGTGCGTTATTGGGAAGGGTTTTATTTTATGTTTGGTCACTTTTTTGTAGTAGGAAGCGAATTAAGGATTTATGAATACTCGGTATTTATTTGACGCTGCAATTATAACGTACTGGTACTACATAAAACGGAAAATAAGCAGCCCCACTTACTGCTTGTCGTTCTGCGCATAGAAGAAGTTGGCCCCTACACCCACGTCAGCACCCGTTCCTAAGTAGTGAATTCATAAAAAAAAAGCACTACAAGTACCCACCTATGAGCTCCAACCCATACTTATCCGCCCATATCTTCGCCCCCTTCCTCTCCGCCGAGTCCGCATGCCCCCACTTCTTCCTATCCGACGGCGCCTCGACCTTCTTCCCCGAGCCTTTGTACAGCAGGAACACATACCTATGCTTCCCTGTTTTCTCCGGCGGCGCTGGGCCCATGTACTCGACGACCTGCGTGGCCTTCGACAAGTCGATCCCCAGCGTGTCTGCGTTCGCCGCGGCCGTGACTACGTCCGGAGACGCCACCTTGACGTCCGTCATGATCCAGTGGCAGAACTCGGACCACTTGTGGTCATCGCGCGAGGGTGCGTCCGGGTCCGTGAGCACCACGGTGTAGGTCTTGCTGGAGTCCGAGTCCTCGGGCATGATCTGGAGCTGGGGCTGCTTTTGGGTTTCGCTGGGTTTGAGCGTGTTGCCGAGGGAGACGTCGTTGTTGCCGGGGTAGATGACGGAGATCATGGTGCTGGGGGTGAAGTCGTCGACGACTGGGGGTGTGTTAGTGGGATGTGGAGTGTGCATAGGGAGGCGGGCTTGCTTTAATTACATACCATCGGGGATGATGTCGTGTTTCTTGAGACTGATGGGTGTTAGTGATTGTCTGTAGGAGTGACAATATTTGCATGTGCAATTGCGATAAATCGTTTGTGGTCCGATATGATTACTACCCAAAAGAGGGCAAAATAAAGTGTGTAATCATATATCGGATCAAAACGATCCATCGGCATTAATTTCTAGGTAATGGAGCTATCTGGAAACTCACGAGTCACGGAGCGACTGATTGATAGTTACCTGTTAAAGTGTTAATTAGGGTAAATTGGTAAATGAAGTATTATAATAATAAAGCACTCACAAGAGGCATTTTATAGATCAATGGTTTTGATACTGGTCTGATTGGACAGGCTGGTTTGAAGGCAGTGGTACAGGTGATTCTGTGAGAAGCGATGGAGAAGAAGGATTTACTGAAAGACGAAACCATCACTAAATACTAGAGGGATTGGAAATTGTCTTGCTTTATATAACAGGCCCAATCCAATATGGTGTTGCTTGATATCGATGCGTTGAGAATGACGTCGAGGTCGCACAGCACCTGAGACCACCTTACATTAGCTAAGCAGATGCCCAGGAATAACGTTAATCCGGGGTACATCTGTTAGACCTTGATGGCCAAGTTTGGATGCGAATTTCAAATCAACGAAAAACCAGTCTGCAGCCACTTTGGCAACTCTTAATAAACTCCATCTGCAGGATCTTCCCGTGGCAATCTTCGATGCTTATCCCTTTTTTTTTGTCAACCAACCTAAGGCCAATGATTTTTTTTCGCCCTGATCTCTGGCGCAGCCTGAGACAACCACCCAGGAAATATGCGCTTGCATTGCCGTGCAACGCTGCCGAACCACCAGGACCCCTCGCGCGCGCCGGGCACAGTGGCACACACAGAGCCGCAAGCCTCGCCGGCGGCAACTTACAAAAGCCAATTTTTTGCGCCGGTGCTATCTTGCTTGTGATATTCCGTAGCTTAATTGGACGTCTGCATGCCGTGTGTTACTCACATGTTGTGTTGCCATAGGCACGCTAGTTAATACTTTTTGTGTTGTTTCGCTCTGGCCGAAACTTGGCGGGGTGAATCTTTGTTCGCCAGCAAATCAATTCGGCTTCACGCAAACACCCACGGCCAAGTCATCATACCTCTACCTCCCCGCACCTCTCCCTCCCTCTCCCCCTTCCACCAACCCCCCCGCTTTCAATTCAATAGGGTAGGATAGAAAGTCTTTCTTTCTTGCGTCGTCCTTTCTCTCTTCTCTTGTTTTCTCATCTTCATCTACCCCCCCTCCACTCCCTGTCCCTCTTTCCCGCTGTCAGTTTAGGACATCGATACATCTATCTAATCTCTATCCCGCAACCATGGCTTCTCTTGGGTAAGTCCCCATCTACTTGCGCCGTCCCGCACACCCCAAAAATTAATTGCCTTCGTAATGCTCATTCATTCCACAGTGAAGATTTGCTCGGTGTAGTCAACAGGCTGCAAGATCTTGTATTTATCTCTTTCTCTCCCCCGCGGGGTAAACCCTTTATATAAGTGCACATCTTTTAACTGTGGCTCGCCTCCTTCAGGTTTTCAATACGATCGGATCTGACTCTGGCCTTGACCTACCTCAAATTGTAAATTTCCCTCCCTCTTCTCCCCCCCCCCCCTCCCACCCCCGCCCTCAGCTTCACCCCCTCACCCACCAGTCAACGCGAATATGGTTACCGTAGTAGTAGTGGTGGCGGGGTTAGGCTTCGCCGTCAATCACCCGTCGCTAACCCGTTTCCGCGCGCCCGTAACATAGGTCGTAGTTGGTTCCCAATCCAGTGGCAAATCCTCGGTCCTTGAGAACATTGTCGGCAGAGACTTCCTTCCCCGTGGATCAGGCATCGTTACTCGTCGCCCATTGATCCTCCAGCTTATCAACATACCGACGGAGGATGGGTCCAACAGCGTCGAGCCTCACACCCCAGAAGCTGTTGCCGAGCACCCAGAGTTTGGAGAGTTCTTGCATCAGCCTGGGCGCAGATACTACGACTTTCACGAGATTCGGAGGGAGATCGAGGCGGAGACGGCGAGAATCGCGGGTAACAACAAGGGCATCAACAGGGCTCCGATTAACTTGAAGATCTACTCTCCTCATGTTCTGAGTTTGACTTTGGTGGATTTGCCGGGTTTGACAAAGGTTGGTATCTCTTTTGAGGCTACATAGCTTACTAGGACCATTGGCTGATCTTGCTTAAAACTACAGGTGCCAATCGGAGACCAGCCGACAGATATTGAGAAGCAGACGAAGAACCTCATTTGCGAATACATTGCTAAACCCAACAGTATCGTCCTCGCTGTCTCTCCTGCCAATGTCGACTTGGTCAACTCTGAAGCTCTCAAGCTTGCCCGCCAAGTCGACCCACAAGGGAAGAGGACCATTGGTGTGTTGACCAAGCTGGATCTTATGGATCACGGCACCAACGCCCTTGAGATTCTTTCTGGAAGGGTTTACCCTTTGAAGCTTGGATTCATTGGTGTGGTCAATAGGTCCCAGCAAGACATTCAAGGAAACAAGTCCCTTGCGGATGCTCTCAGTGCTGAGCGAGAATTTTTCAAGCTCCACCCGGCATACCGAAACATGTCTCACCGATGCGGTACACAGTTTTTGGCAAAGAGCTTGAACTCTGTATGTTGAACCGGTTCCTATTGTTAGGTGGGGCTACTTTACTGACCCCGCTTTAGACTCTGATGGCACACATCCGGGACCGCCTGCCGGATATCAAGGCCCGGTTAAATACACTCATGGGCCAGACACAGCAGGAGCTCGCGTCATATGGCGATATGACCTTCAGCGGAAAGGAGCACCGGGTGGGTTTTTATTGCTGCCTTAAAGGTTGACTGGGCTAATTTGTACAGGGTTCTCTTATCCTCCAACTCATGACCCGTTTCGCCAGCTCTTTCATCTCTTCTATTGACGGAACCTCCTCTGAGATCTCTACAAAAGACCTTTGCGGTGGTGCAAGGATATACTACATTTTCAACAGCGTTTTTGGTAACTCTCTTGAGCTTATAGACCCCACTACAAACCTTTCGGTCCTCGATATCCGAACGGCCATTAGAAACTCTACAGGTCCCAGACCAAGTCTTTTCGTCCCCGAGCTCGCTTTCGACCTACTCGTAAAACCTCAAATCAGGCTCCTAGAGATCCCATCTCACCGATGCGTGGAGCTTGTGTACGAGGAGCTGATCAAGATTGCTCACACTTGTGGAAGCCAGGAACTTCTGCGATACCCAAGACTGCAGGCAAAGCTGATTGAGACTGTCAGCGACTTGTTGAGAGAGCGATTAGGACCCACTTCTACTTATGTCGAGAGCTTGATTGCAATCCAGCGAGCATACATCAACACAAACCATCCCAACTTCCTCGGCGCTGCTGCGGCGATGTCCTCAGTCATCTCAAACAAGCAGGAGAAGGAGAGGAAAGCTCAAGCTTTGGAGAGGAGGAAGGAGCGTCCTGCTGCCAACGCACGCAGGTCAAATCTGGCATCAGATGGCCAGCCAATCTCAAACGGAACTGACACACCCGAACCGGAGGAGACTGCAGGCCCTAACAGCACCAGTGAGCTCGTCAGGCATTTCCGTGCCAACTCCAGGTCCATGTCTCCAGCTCCAGGCCACCACCTTCAAGCGTCAGCTGTCAGTGGGGCCATGAACGGAAGGCCAAACAGCCCACAAGTCTTCACCTCACCAACACAACAGCAAAACAAGGCAACTGACTCGTTCCTGAACTACTTCTTTGGGAAAGAAGGCGGAATGCCAGCGTCTAGCGGAGCTACACCGAAATCTGTTCCGGAACCAAGCTTCAGCCAGAGCGTTAGGCGCGGTCACGAGAGGATCGAAAGGGAAAAGTATAACGCGCAGGATGTGCAGAGACTGTCGAGAGATTTTGATGACACCTCTCTGGTATGTAGTCCAATGGGAATTTCTATGGCCGGACCGGTACTGAGTTTTTCATACTTTGTTCAGGAACCTGCTGGCCAGCAATCGGACGAGCCAGTTCTTACAGAGCGGGAACAGATGGAGACTGAGCTGATTCAAAGGCTGATCTCGTCGTACTTTAACATTGTCCGCGAGACTATCCAAGACCAGGTCCCGAAGGCGGTCATGCACTTCCTTGTTAACCACTCCAAGGATGCCATCCAGAACCGATTGGTCACCGAGTTGTACAAGGAGGACTACTTCGGCGATCTACTGTACGAGGATGATGCCATCAAGGCGGAGCGTGTCAAGTGCGAGAGGCTACTGAAGACATATCGTGAGGCGGCGAAGATTATCTCGGAGGTTGGACTTTAGGCGTAAAATGACAATTAAGATATAGATTGGCGGCCCCGTAGTAGGACTAGGGTTGAAGTGTAATTATATATATACGACGAACGCATGAACGGGTACGAGCGATACGATGGTTGGTTTGGGTTGAACAAAAAAAATGCCTGAGACGGGGTTTGTTGGTGGTGTGGGTTTTTGTATTTTTCCCTTTTCCTTTTTTCTTCTTTCCTTCTCGGGGAACGATTTTTTGGGTCCAATAAGTCGTCCGTCTCTACCCTATTTCCTTTCCTCTCTTTTTCTCTCCTTTCCCTTTCTTTCCGTTTGTTTTTGTTCTGTTCTTCTCGCCTCTACGAATTCACTATGTCCAATTTCGTTTGGGTTCTCTGTTCTACTATCTATTATGGGATGTAAGGACTTGTTTGGTTAAGATGGATAAGAAAGAGCTGTTTTTTCCCCTTGTTATCTCCCTTCATATCCCTTCGTTTTTCAACATTTGGGGGAGGAGTGGGGGAGGGCGGGGAGCTGTTGTGTGTCGTACAAAATAAAGTTAAAGAAACCATGCTTGAGCTGCGAGTGATAATGTGTGATTAGATACCCATCCACACACATTGCCTCAAGTGTAGCCTGCTGCCTACCTAAGAACATAGAGCTATGTATACAACCCACCACGGGAAAATATAGGTGTAGACAGCTAGAATGCGGTTCTTACCTCACTAGAACCCCATCAAAACACCACACCGCATAGGGCGTCCGAGAAAAGTCGGCCCCATTCCGGGCCGCTAAGCAATTTCTGACCCCGGGATATCCACTTTGCTAGGTATTTAGTCATTTTTACTGATTGCTATGTATTCCATGATGTAGGGATCCATCTGTCTGTGAATGTGAAGACTGTTGAAAGTATGGCGAGTCTTAATGCCTCATAATTCGGTTGTCGGTGTCTAAAGGTAATACAGGCTATATCATAGGAGCCCAGGGATGACACCGTTCGAGTTCCTCTTGACAGCGAGCCCTTTACTATC